TGCTCACCTACAGGGCTTCCCCTCGAAACTACCCCCCCCTCCCCTTTTGACCAAAAACTTGCGTAAACTTTCGTGGTTTCAAAACAAAAAAAATATATGTTTATGCGATGACAGAGAGAAATAACAACAATAGTAATAACAATACATGAATAGGCAGGGAAAAAAAGGTGTTATAGGGGACATTTTGGCAGCTTTATTAGCAGGTTCGTGAATGCGTGTGTTCAAGCCATTCGCAAAGTCATGGCAGTTCCCCAAGGAGTGGAGTGGAGGGGAGGGGAGGGGACGTGGGGGGTTTTACATGGATTTCGCTGGTGGTTCAACGGCTTGAATTTAAGTGGCTAAAACGCCAGGCTAAAACGCTAAGGTCAAGGGACAACTGACCCGCGACTCGAGATTGCCAAAGGTTTCTAGAAAATATTCGCCTAACCACTAATTGCAATAAGCTTTTTTTGGATTTCTTGAATATCTTAAGTATTATAAAGAATTATATTAGTTTTTGGTAAAACAAGTTACTTTATTTACCAAAAAACCTTGGCAGTTATACTTTTATGCATTTGAAGAGCTTGTTGTAAAATTTTATTAAAAAACATATAATAAAAATTTACAGAGTTCTGTAATACACTAAACTTTAATTGAAATACCAGAGAATCACAGTTGATTGTTAGCTAAAAAACAAACTTTCAAAATTCGTCCTTATACAAACTTGCATCAGAATTTAAAAAAACAAATTTTTATTCTATCAACATTTATTTTGCTAACCTAACATAGAAAACAAATCTTGACATTAAATGATTAACGTTCATTGAACCTTTGATTTCTTAACCAATTTTATCAAATTGTATATATCATTCGCTTTGGGCTGCACTATTTATAAAATTATTTATAAAATACAATACAATACATTACAATGCACGATTTGTGCAAGTCAACCTCTGCTAGAAAACCGATAAGTTGCAATCTGTATGCCCATGCCCACCTGCCCACTAATGAGTAATTGGCAACATATTTGTCAATCCGACCAGCCAAGCGTATTGCCACAATGGCAGACCATTGTCTGCCCGTCAACGCTGCGTATACGTAATGTGTTGCACGTATACGCCCCGTTGGTTGGCAGCTAATGACAGGGCGTGGCCGATTCTTGACTAGGGCTTGGCCTGATGCAATAGATGTATATAGATGCATATATATATGTGCCGGAAAAGTGTTGCGAAGACCTCATCGTCAAAGGCCATTGTTTTCGGGTTCAATTGCCCGATCCTCTGTTTTTTTCCCTGAGTCTGGGAACGAGGTCACCTGAGTCGCGGTTTTTGGCACCTGGCGTGCCGATTCCGCCCCACAAAGCTGGGAAATTGCCCAGCTGGCGGACATACCTCTAAGTTTCTTACGTTTTACACAGAGAAATATATACTATTTTTTGAAGCACATTCAAATTTATTATCTAACTGATTAAATAATATTTATATTTTAATTATTATTTTTTTGAATTTGTTTATTACCATTTTTCTTGCATCACTTAAACACATTTCGAAAAAAGAAATAACTTTCTGAATTTCGAACTTGTCTGTAATCCCTAGCTGATAAATATGAGAAGATCATAGAAGGGAATACATATGTAACTAAAAAATGTATTTAATAATACATTAAAATAACATAAATATCTTAAAATTAACTTAATTATTTGAATGTCAGAAAGAGCCTTATTTTTACATACCCATTTTATAAACATGACTTTTTTTATTGTTCATTGGTTTTTTAAGCCCACTGCAATTTGCAATTCATCAACAGTTTTACTTTCACTTAATGGTAGCTACAATTTTTGAATTTTAAAATTTCTTGAGTTTGATTTAAGTTTTATTTAAAAAAGTGCTTTCGACAAATCAAAATATAAATGCTCAAAATATTAAAGAAATGAAATCTACCCTTTTCATTTATTAATTTTTGAGTAAACGAAAAATGTTTCTCCTTTTTGGTAAACGATGGAAAGACATAACAAACGTTCTAGTGTCTCTTATGTGTGGTGAATGGGGTTTTGAATTATTTAGAAGCGTTTGGCGACGCCTTCAACTATCGACACGCAGCCCGAGACGGCAAACCCTTGACCCTTAAACCGTATCCTTCGGCAAACCGCATGGGACTAGTAGACCAGCGCGAACTTCTCCAGCTGATTAATTAAAGAACAACTATAGTTGACTACCTCTCTCTTTGGCAGCAGGTTGGATACGTGGACGGTGTTTTTGGGTAGCGGCTCAGTCCAGCCGGCGATGCCTTAGTGGCAGCTCCTCCAGATCGAAGAAACCACAACGCCAAGATGCCCTACAACCTTGGGCTGCGACGGCGGCTCCAGCTGCTGGCCTCGCTGCTCTTCTGCGTTCTTCTGGGCTATTTGACCTCGGAGGCGGTGGCCAAGCCCACGTTATCCTTCAGCCTGCCGCAGGGACTCCAAGGATTCCCCTCGTTTCAGTCCTTCACCCAGCAGATCATCGAGCAACGCAGCGTGCGCCAGATGAAGACCTACAGGTTAGTGTTCATCTATCTAAACCGTAGACATTGCTAATTACTAAAGTAAAATATTAAAGTAAAATATAATAATATAATATAATATATAATATAATAATAGCAGATGTTAGGGAATTTCATATTCCTTAGCTAGTAATTATGAGAAGCGCATAGAAGGGCTCACTTACTAGAGGTGCGCTGCGTGCGCCAGATAGAGATGTACATGTGAGGGGTAATTCATTCCATCCGGGCTGTGATCAGCAGTCGACCAACGTTCGACTGGAGGGTTTCACTCGCCCGCCGAGTCCATTGCCATGGACGTCACGTATCCGCACGGTCGGACGCCTGGCCATGTGCCCATAACCGCCACACGGAGCTCTCACTCAACTCCCCCCCCCACACACACACACACACACTCCACACATAAAAAAAAACATAGCTCGATATCAAATCAAATATAAATAGGTAGGTTTCAAATTAAAATCTAAATTTCTGTACTGAAGATGACATAATATTCCATTTCATCTCCTTCTATCACAAAAGCACGTGTTCAAATCCACCTCTAGCCAATCAATTTTTTTTTATTTTGAAATATTTTAAAACATCATTTAGCTCGAATAATTGTTCGATAATTATAAGTGTTAACATCAAATGTCTTACACATTTTTCTTTCTGTGCAATTTCTTTTTCGACAGTGGGAAGAGGGTGAGCAACGACTCGCTCATTATGATATACTATCACGATCTGACCATAGCTGTAACGGAACTGGGCCCCCAGAAGCTGCTACTCGGCTGCGAGCTGATCGAAATCTAGTAAGTATAATTAATACTTTACCATTCAAAAATTACAATCAAATTACTGCCTTTCAAAATACTTTATTTAGTATATAACTAAGAAAAAACCGATTTTAATTAAAATTTTTTGTTATGCCTTTAACTAATATACCAATATAAAGTATCTTTTTAAATAAATCCAAATTGTTGTCTTTTCGTACACTTCTCTGTATGGAAAAAATCAAGGCTTTCCGGAAATATCATTTTGATTGATTTACGTGGACAGCTGATCAGAAAATCAATTGGATATGCCCTGAATATTAATTGGCCAGACAATATAAACGTACTTATAATATCTTAATGAAAGGTTTTGGTATATTAAATGAGAATTAGCAATTATTTAACTTAAAACAAAGAAAACAGACGAATTATCTTTCCCAATTTAATAGAAGAGATTACTTAATGTTTCAATATAACATTTCACCTGGAAATTCACTTAGCTAATAAGTATGAGAAGCGCATAGAAGGGCGTGCTAACGAGAGCCATTCCTCATTTTTTGTAATTCGTAGTAACGATAAGGAGGGCAAAATGCTGCTGGAGGGCCTATCGCACTACAATCGCCCCCTGGAAATCAAATTCGACGAGATGCTAAAGCTGATGGATCAGTGTGAGCATGTGGACAAGCTGAGCTACGCCTCCCGCCACAAATCCAAATTGGAGAGCGGTGAGCGGAGCAGTGGTGGTGGCGGAGGAGGCGATTCATCCTCGATGGGGGGAGCCAATGATGGAGTGGCCCTCAAGTTGGCCACCAACATCTTTCCCAGAAGTCCCTTCTCCCTGCTCAGTGGCATTATACCAGGTGAGTTGGTTGCCCATAAAGTGATTCTATAGCTTTCATTACTCCTTTCCACAGGCACAAAGTGGTGTGGCACCGGCGATATTGCAGAGACGTACAGCGATCTTGGGAGCGAGATGGCCATGGATCGATGCTGTCGCCAACACGATCTCTGTCCCATCAAGATCCGGGCCTATCAGCACAAATACGACCTGATGAACGATTCACTGTACACAAAGTGAGTGGAAATTTGGTTCAAACAACAAAATATATAGAGTGGTTGGGTCCTAGGAATGTTATAAGCTTTTAGAAACTATATATCCAACCATGATCTTTTTAAAATTATATTTTATAGAACAAAAAGTCTTAGGAGTTGATAAAAACTTTTAGCTAAACTTATAACTGGATTTAACGTTTCACAGAAAATAGCATACAAATAATTATATTTAATTTAATCTTATTTTAAATGATTTGAGTAAAAAGTAAAAAAAAGGGATATTGAAATGTTAGGAGACAACAACATCACTTTAATGGTACTTTCCCTATGTTTTGTATAATCAACTTACAACAGATCTTTATACAATACTCTTTAATTATTTCGAAGCTTCCAGAGATATCTACTAATCCGCTTGAACCCTCCACAGATCCCACTGCATCTGCGACGACATGCTGTTCTCCTGCCTGAAGATGACCAACACCTCGGCCTCGCAGCTGATGGGCTCCATCTACTTCAACCTGGTGCAGGTGCCCTGTTTGGACGGGCGGAGCAATCAGTACAAGTTCCGGGCGGCCAAGGAGGGATTCTAGGGGGGCCGGAAGTCGGGGGTTTCGCGGCTCAATTCACACTGTACAGGAGGTGGCGACGAGAGGAGGAGAAGGACATGGAGTCGGTCTATTTATTGTTTTACAAACGATGACGCCCGCTTTTTATTTATCGAATATTCAGTTGGGTTTACAGTTTACAGTTAGCGTTAACGTTATCTAGGATAAAGTAGAATTGTAATCTTTGTTATACAAATACGAATATAAACATAAATATATATCATTTATTTGATTAGCCGTCTTTATTCGTTAACAATGTAAAAAAAAAAAGAGTGTATATGGGACAAGAAAAACACGCACAGTTTTCTTTTTTCTGAAATTCCGATTCCATATTTAACTACAATGCTTAACCTTAATCGTTGTTTTTTTGTTCACAATAATGCACTAACAATCAACGTTTGCACACAAAAAAAAAACACACACAGATTTATGTATACACATACAATTTTGATTCGCGTTTACGGGGAATTTTTCTCATTTTTTATCATGCAGCGAAACTGACTAGTGGAGTCTTTCTAAATAGGTTGTCTTTGCTGTTCCGTTGGGATCCGTTGCGATCCGCTGTCTGGTTACGGTTGCAGTTACAGTTGCAGTTGCGGTTCTAGGTATTTGGAAGGGTCTTGGCGAGCCTAGAAGATGCTGGCCACATTGGGGCCGGGCTGCGAGTTGGTCGGAGTGGGCTGGGTGGGCCGGTCGATGTCCTGGTAGCTGCGCTGCTGGCTGGTGGGGAAGACCGATCCCGTCTGCAGAGTGCCGCCCCTGGTGTTGAACTCACGATAGAGCAGGGCCACGCTCACCGGACGCAGGACCAGATTGATGATGCTAAACGCCACGGCCCAGCCATCTAAAACGGGGTACAAAGAAACACAAATATCAATACATCACTCTGCCAGGGAGCGTTTATCTACGCCGTCTGTCGATAAGGTAGATGGATGGGGCACACTTACTCATGATACCATAATGGAGGGCGATGCTGACTATATCAAAGAAAATGCTAGAAGCGTTGATGACGAGTGCCTGCAAAGATACGAGATGGTACGACATGAGTGTGGGGGAATGGTGTGGAGGGGATAAAGGGTTTGGGCTGCTTATCCTTCAAAGACATATCATACAAGAGTTCAGGAATTGTCAGCTCTTTTTCATAGCACACTTTTGGGCTTACAAGAAAAGCCACTGCAAAGTGAGTACGTATTTTATTAAGCCTTTTAATTCGATTTATTGCTTGTAAAACTAAAAATAATAAATCAAAGCTAAAGATAATTTGTAGATACCTAAAACTGTAATTAGAATATAATAATATAATAACAGTGCTTGCAAAATTACTTTAAAAACTACAATTTAGGCAATTCAGTTTACTAAAAAAAAGAAAAGTTATTATTATCTAAAAGACAGTACAAAATCTAAGTTAGCGTTAAAAAATCCTAGAAAATATTTAATGTTTAATCTGATTTATCTTATTTTACATTGTGAAATATCAACGTGTGAAAACAGTTGTTTGTATCATTTTTTAGTCAAATTGTATGCCCATTTAAAGCAATTTACCCAACTACATAGTCTTTTTTATTTACAAGTTACACGTGTCCCTTTTTTCATATAATAATACGTTGGTAAACTTAAGTGGACAACATATGTTGAAATTCAAACACCCAGACCGCAAGTCCTTCCAGCGAAATCCTTCACCCCCTTTTTTCAGGAATTACTCGAGCAAGAAGGCTTGTTTGGGGAACTCCAATTTACATATTTGAAATTAAATAAATTATGTTCATTGATTTTTCTTTTACAATTTGGCCAGCGCGGGAAAAACACAAATGTAATACCTACTGGCTTAGCTTGTCCAGGATTTGACATCGAGTTGAGTTGAATTGAGTTGATTAAAAGGCGTTGCTAATGGCTTTCGAGGAAGCAAATAAAAGAAGGGAATCCTCGTTTGGCCGAAACGCCGGCAAATGGAATTGTAATGTCCGATTTATCCGGCCTGTGACCCGAAATGGCAATCGCGTGCCGGGCAAAAGAAAGTTGGTAACTTGGGGCAGTTGGGTGATGAAGTGTTGGCTTTTCGGTGGAGGTGGTCACTTTTCGGCCGGCCTTAGGTCGAAGTTGAGCCATTTTCCGTCTTTACTTACAGCGAACTCATCCATTAATACACACATATCCCCAACATCACACGCAATCCAACAAAATAGCAAGGACTTGTATGTGAAAATATTTATACACATTTCTTATTACACGCAAAAAAAAAAATTTATAGCCAGTGTAATTTAAAATCACGTAGCTCTCAACATTAACTTATAAATCACACTCAAAGTATGCTTAACTATCCAAACTATCCAAATTTTAGTAATTGTATTTATTTATTGCAATACTTTTAGATAAATATATACATATAATATCACAAAATACCACTAAAAAAAATGTATATAACATTCGATTTATATAAAGAAATGTACTTTTGCTTGTATATAATTTCGAAAAACCACAAATTTTTAAAAACATAGATTTTAATAGGAAAGAAAACTAATTATGAGAAGCTATTTTTTTCACTGTGTACATTGGAATAAAATCCACTTTTATTAGCATACCTCCACGCGTTCAAATTCGGATTCATTTCCGTTTTGTTTTTATTATTTTGGCCATGCCACTCGACGGGTTAAGGCCATTTTGGGGGTGGATCAGAACATTAGGGATTAAAGATCGGGCCGCGGGGAACCCGTTATGGCTGGGTTAACCCATAAGCGTGCTAATTGATTGGCCATAACTGTGCCGCAACTTTTGGCATTAACCAAAACAGCACTAGAATCTTTTCCCTAAAAATATATAGCTTTTATACTAGTGAGACCTATTTTTCTACGAAATCCCAGTGATAAATCATATTGTGAAATAACAAAGACTTTCCAACTTGGATAACCCAAAAGCGTTATCTGAAACGATAAGAGAGTTGCTTTTTCTTCGGATTTAGCTCTATATCTGCCCCATTTTTATATTCTGTTTAATCTCAGCTTTCCTTCTGTGCTTTTTATACCCTTGCAGAGGGTATTATAATTTTGGTCAAAAGTGTGCAACGCAGTGAAGGAGACATCTCCGACCCTATAAAGTATATATATTCATGATCAGGATCACCTCCTGAGTTGATATAGCCATGTCCGTCTGTCCGTCTGTCCGTCTGTCCGTCTGTCCGTCTGTCCGTCTGTCCGTCTGTCCGTCTGTCTGTCCGTCTGTCTGTTTCTACGCGAACTAGTCTCTCAGTTTTAAAGATATCGAATTGAAACTTTGCACACACCCTTCTTTCCTTTGCACGCAGTATATAAGTCGGAACGGCCGGGATCGGCCGACTATATCCTATAGCTGCCATATAACTGATTGATCGGAAATGCCATAACTCTGCTGTTTGTTAGGTTAGGAAGTTGGGACTTTCTATGGGTTTTATATTTGGCCAATCAATCCGACGTACCAAATTTCATAAGGATCGGCCGACTATATCTTATAGCTGCCATATAACTGATTGATCGGAAATGCCATAACTTTGGTGTTTGTAAAGTTAGGAAGTTGGGATTTTCTATGGGTTTTATATTTGGCCAATCAATCCGACGTACCAAATTTCATAAGGATCGGCCGACTATATCTTATAGCTGCCATATAACTGATTGATCGGAAATGCCATAACTTTGGTGTTTGTAAAGTTAGGAAGTTGGGATTTTCTGTGGGTTTTATATTTGGCCAATCAATCCGACGTACCAAATTTCATAAGGATCGGCCGACTATATCTTATAGCTGCCATATAACTGATTGATCGGAAATGCCATAACTTTGGTGTTTGTAAAGTTAGGAAGTTGGGATTTTCTATGGGTTTTATATTTGGCCAATCAATCAGACGTACCAAATTTCATAAGGATCGGCCGACTATATCTTATAGCTGCCATATAACTGATTGATCGGAAATGCCATAACTTTGGTGTTTGTTAAGTTAGTAAGTTGGGATTTTCTATGGGTTTTATTTTTGCCTAATCAATCCGACATATCAAATTTCATAAGGATCGGCCGACTATATTCTATAACTGCCATATAACTGAACGATTGGAAATGCCATAACTTTAGTGTTTTTAAAGTTAGGAAATTGGGATTTTTTATGAGTATTAAGAATGCATTATGAATGATTTTGGAGAATATAATTTGCAGAATATTCTGCAAGGGTATTTCAACTTCGGCTCCGCCCGAAGTTAGCTTTCCTTTCTTGTTAGTTTTCCGGTTGTAAAAACATTTTCTATTAAATTATACGAAAACCGATAAAAATAATAAAATTATTTAGCTCACATGTTTTTCTTTGGTTTTAATATTAGATAACTTAGCTATTTAAAAAAAAAAAAAATAATATTTAAATAGTTAAGGCGCCTAATTGCGTTTGGGAAAATACTTAATATTAATAAAAGAATAAGTTTTTAAGTCCACATTTTATTAAGTTTAAACAAAGTTCTAAACATAAAGTGAAATACACCGATACAAAAAGTTAATCTAACAACTTTGCTCTAATTTATTTTACCCCAATTACAGAATTATTTGCACTGGCTGTTCATATTAAATTTAGATAGTGCATCATCACTGCAATCAATCACAGCATTCATTGTTTTAATCTCGATTTTCTCTCTGGCACCTGCTGATCGTCGAACTATTTTGGTGAGAACATTCGTTATTTATATTTTGCATGTGTATGCTAATTGCTTATTGGCGCTTTTTCGAACAACCGGTTTAGACGATTTTATAAATTTCGAGGTGATATCAGTGTGAGTCGGCTGGAATTTATTTAATTTAAAATCTCAGCGCAAAAATCAAGGGGAAGTGCTATGCGAATATATTGAATTAAATGGATGAAGAATACACACTACAAGCACCCTTATCACCACAACTTAACGATCAACAATACTTTCATGTGTCACCAAATACGAGTAGAATAGAAAGCCGTTTCAGACATTTACGTCTTAATTGCAATTGGACTTCACCATTCTGATTATCATTAACCATTATAAAGTTGGTTTATATATATGGTTTTAGGGTGTAAAAATAACAAAGTTATATTCCTATATATTAATATTTTAATTATTCTCTGCCAATGAAACTAGAACATATAAATTAGTTTATAAATATATAATTAGCAGAAAAATAAAATTGTTTTTAAAATGTATTATTTTGATTACAGTCTCAACAATTGGAAATCTAACAATCAAAGAACATCCGAAAGTAATAAAGTTTAGGATTGATCAAACTCAAGATTGATCACTTATTTCGATGAAAATGTTTGGGATAAGGTGGTAAAATTTAAATTGAATTTAAAATAACTGAGAATAGAAAATTATCAAAATTGTACCATTATGTCACTGACTTCTGGGAATATGGACTATTATTAATAAGCTAAGAAAAAAATGTAATATAGATATGATTAAGAATAAATGTGTTATGTATGCCTACATTCTTGGTCAACTTTGCAGGGTATAACAAGCCAATAAAACGAATTAATTGGTGGCGACTCAATTGTTGAAATCAAAACTTGGATCAATTGATTCCTTTTTTTTTAGTTGCGTGATCACATCACTCACCGTTTGCACCGCCTCGATGGAGTCCTTGCTGTGCATTGTCCAAAACATGGCGATGAAGAATAGAAAATTGTAGAACTCATACGCCCCGTGGCCCCATGTTCCCAGCATGGCATTCGAGACGAAGAAGAAGTGCACAAAGGCCACCAGCTGAAAATAGTAAGGAAAATAGGAGTTAGGTGGGGGGAAATGCATCTGGTTATCTGTTTATCTGGTTAGCACATAACCATAACCATAAGCGGTTTGGTGCCAAGTGAAGCCCCACGAATCCGCCGGCGAAGTTGTGAACTGCAGTCCATATCGGTTGTCATTCGCGGTTAACTTGGCACGCTAATCAGCGACTCCCAGCGACTGGCGACTGGCCATTAACCCAAGGAGGCCCAACAAGTGAGAGTTCAGAGTACAGCGGTGGTGGCCACAATAGCAGCGATCAAGTGACAGGTATTTCGAAGCCCTTTATATGATGTCTTTAAAGATTACTTAAAGATTTTAATGATATTGTAAAGCCTGCACTCTACAATTCCTTGTACATGTAATTCAAAAACTTGTTTATTAAGAAGGACCACAAATCTTAAATATTATTATCTACATTGATCGTTTTACTCGTACTACTTCAAGAGGTATTTACCAAAAAATAAAAGAAAGATATTTACCTAATAAAACTAATTTGTAATTATCTCAAGAACGGTTAAAAAAAAAATTCATTGAGTGTTCAGCGACACAAAATTTGTCCAATATTATAATACCCTCTGCAAGTGTACATTTTATTATTTGTATTCCCAATTTTGATTTATTTTTTATGCAACCATATAAAGATTTTGCTGAATTTGTTATACGCCCAGTGCTATTGTTTCGACACGAGCTATAAATTTGATATCTAATTTGCATTCGTATTTGCTAAAGCAATTTTCATTTTATTGAGGACAGATCTGTATGTATGTTACTTTTAGATGGTTTTTTCTATTTAACAAAATATAGTATACATTTTACGTTCAATTATTTCTCTTTCGCAGCTGAATGTTTATTTTTTGTTGCAACCAAAATCCATTTTCCAGTTATTATTTTTAAATGCTTTTTATGTCCAAAATAAATATGTACTTTTCATACGCCCACTGCTATTACTTCGACCACAGCTGTACAATTCTTTATCTATTTTGTACGCGTATTTTTGAAACCAGAATAAACAATCATTTTATATCTGCCCACTGCTATAACTTGAACCACAGCTATGATATTTTTTATTTATTTTGTAGGCATTTCCTGAACACTGAATAAATAGCAATTTTCATCCGCCCACTCCTATTATTTCGACCGCAGCTGTACATGCATGTGTATGGGAATTTCGCTTTGTGGGGGGCGGCGTTGCACTGCTTGTTGGATGCTGGAGTGCAACTGCATCTCCCGCACCGAATGCACTGCTTGCTTACCTTCACACGCACAAAAGGGGATCCCATCAATTCGTTGAGGTCGGTCATGATGTCGCTCTCTCTCTGTCTCGCAGATGTTTGCAAATGCAGCCGCTCACTGCTTCTCCCTCACTCCTTTTGCTCTCCCACGCAGATGCAAACAACTAAAACAAACAGGCGCACAGCTGTTTTGTTATTTTCGTGCGCAACAATTTGCTGCAATCGTTCCACTTTTTTGTTGCGCCCGTTCGTTAAGTCTATTTTCACATGCGATTCGCTTTCAATTGATGCAAAAAAAACGCACTCGCGATTCTTTCGGCGTTTGTTGTGGGGGTGTGTGTGTGTGTGTTAGCGCACTTGTTGGTCTTCCCTTCTTATTTGCCACTGCTTTTGCGATAATTTTGCAATCACTGCTTTGCGGGGGGGCGTTAACAATAGTGGGCAACAAATTCGTTAGCTCAGCTCCACAGCAACAATAATAAGATAGGCGCAAAAAAAATAATGTTTTTGAATTCGTTTGTAGCCACCAGCGCAGCAGCACGACCGATTGCAATTTAAATTAAAATTCGGATGTTTCGATTCAGTGTGACCGTTGGCGGACCGACAATAACCCGCTATTTAGTATGACCATCGCGTAGCGCCTTTCAAAAATACCGAGCAGTTACGTGGCTTTCCAGATGCCTGGTATATTTAGGGTGATTGTATTCGATTTTTAAATACTACTCTGACAGTGTTGCTAAACGTCAGACAGTCACGGCTTTGCTCACTTGTCTTGGCATATAATTAATTATTAAATTTGATTTATCCTGCAAATTAAAATAAAACAAATCAAAAATACGTATTTATTATTTGCTTCAAAAAACTTTACTTATATTTAAAGGGTTTTTCGAGAAACCCCAAATTATTGGCGGAACACAATTTAAATTTATTTCCTGAGAAAAATTAAAAAATAAATTGATCAAAAATATATACTTTCAAAACAACCCGAAATACAGTCATAATTATAGCTGTCCGTCGTGTTTTGGCGAAGTTTGACAAAAAATTTCATCTTTTTTTGGGTTTTTGCAATCAAAACTCTGTGAAATAGTGGTCGAATGTTCGAGTGTCAGTTAAATTCGTAACAAAATTTCCAAAAAAGTGGCATTTACAGAAAAAATATCACGAAATAAGGGTTTTCCCAAAAAAAGTCATGGGGATATCCCTTATGAAAAATATTTAAGTCGAAATCCTGAAAAAATCTGCTCTATTTTTATGTTTTTTAGTCAAAACACTGGAAAATAGTGGTCGAATGTTAGAATGTCATACCTCGTTAAATTCGTTCGAAAACCCTTTTATTAACCCAAAACCAATTAACATAGTTCATTCTTTATTTTCCTTACATTTCAGCATTTAAATTTGTGTTCATTAGTTCCTCAAATAGCGGGAAGTTTAAACAATAAAAACAGCCCTATGTTTCCAGTCGCATTGTTCCACAATCATCGCTTAGTCACCGATGATAACTTGACGCCTGATAACCAGTACCACCCTACTAACTTGGGATTTTTGTTTTAAGCCGGTACGGTCACATAGGCCCAGCACCCAAAAGAGAGGGACAAAAAACAGAACAGAGACAGAAACAGCGCAGCAACCAAAATAATAACAATTAATAATACTTAGTGTCCGCTAAAGATATAACACAAATAAAGTCAGACACTTGCTAGCCTGGTTTTTCGCTAGTAATAGTTTTTTCCTATTGTTTGGCAGCAGTCTCTCTTGGTTATTTTCTATTTTTTTTCTGTTGCGACGCATAAATCGTCTCTTAATCGATAAATAAGTTAACGACAGAGTACAAAAACAAGGCGAACGATTTGCAGACTTAATGTCGCAGTTTCTTTTTGTGTAGCAACAACAACAACAAAATTAGTAGTAGGCAACAACAACAAAATCATAAACGAAAAACGACGAAAAAGAAATTAAAATAAAACGTACAACGCAGCGCAATCGTGTCTGTATTGGTGGTGTGCGTGTGTGTGTGCGAGTGCGAGTGAGCCAGCGATAGGGCTCTGCGTCGACGGCGGCAGCGGCAGAAGAAATAAAAAAAGTTCAGTTTTTTTCAAACAACTCGAGCTCAGCAGTTGAGAATTGGCTGTGCGTCTCGAAAAAGCTAAAATTTATAAATTCGAAGTAGCCCTAAGTTAAGCAACAACACTTGAAGGGCGTGGCAAAACCAAATAAGAAGGGGGCGAAAAGAGAGAAAAAGCAAGACGCAGTTGGAAATTTTGTTGCTGCTGCTGCCGCCTGCAACAAACGAAGATAATAATAAAGAGGAGCTCGTAAAACAACAACAATCGAAAAGCACACACCAAAAAGGAAATCAACAACAACAAATTCTAAAGCAAGAGAGAGAAAAGAGAGCGAGCAGCTGAAAACATATGATTTTTGTTTGTGTTGTTGTTTTTGCGCGCGCTCTGCGGAACGTGTGAGAAAATTGGAACGAGCGAAACGAGTGGCATTGTTGTTGTGTTTCAGCTGCTGCTGATTCAACCAACGAACAGCCACAACAACGCAAGTGGTAAGTTCTTCCTCTTCTTCCAGTTGTTGTTTTTGTTTGACGCGCAAAAAAAAAAGACCAAATCGAAAACGAAAGAAAATCGTGTATATATGAAAACTCAGACTTCTATTTATGCAACTATTTGTTTATTGTGGGCTCTGTCGAAATCACAGACGTGTAAATTGTGCAAACAAAGAGCCAAGAGTAGAGCGAAAAAAGGGGATAAGAGAAGCGGAGAGTAGAAATTGTATCAAGAATTTGCTGTTATTTAAATGCCAAAAGTAGTGGAAATTTTGTTTTGGCTGTGAGGGGAAAAAACAATATTTCAAAACACAAACAATAAAGGAAAAAAATCACAGATACACTCGCCTATATGCGCGTGTGTGTGTGTATGTGCGCATTAGACGGGCAACAACAAAGCAGTAGAAACGAAATGAACTGATAGTGGAACACATTCGGGAACAGTGGTTAACAAGAGCGACAAGTTACTACTTTTTAAAAGTGGTTTAACATTAAACAAACAATTAAGAAAATTTATAATATTTTAATTATAAAAATTAAAAAAAATTATTTAAAAATTATATAACCTCTTTAAAATTTGTCAAAATTAAATTTAAATTGTACTCTTTAGATCCAGCATTTTATTTATAACTATTTTTAAACATTGAATCACTTGATCTTTATTTAGTAGTGGTGTACAACGTTTAAATACGATTGAGTTTTGACTTTACGTATTTGGTCCACTGTGCTGCGGGAGAGGGCAACAACAAAATCTCGTTGCAGCTGAGTTGCTGCCAATGCGTTTGTGTGCATTCAAGTGCATCTGGCTATGTATGTGTTAGAGTTTTGTTTTCGTTTTCGGCTCTCTTCTTCTTTTCATCCTCTCTCCCTCTCTTTTGTCTTCTGTATATATTTTGATAATTGCTCTGCTTTTGGCTCTTTGTTTTCCAACTGTATTCAAAGGCAGCAACAACAAAACTCAGTCGTGTAATCAAAAAATAACAAAAATATTTGGATGGCACAAATTGTTTTCGCTTCATTTACAAATTTAAAACACACATTAAAAGTGACATTTTTCAATTGCCTCCCCCCAATATCAGCCTGCTCTTCAATTTGTGCCCCACTTTCCTCCTTCTCTATGATTTTACCTAATAGAAATGTTTGCCAAAATATCTGCCAATGTTTGGGCGAGTGGGTGGGTGAGTGGATGTCATTGAAAATAATCAAATACACAAAAGCGTAGAAACAAAACATCAAAAAAACAAACGAAAATTGCATTCTGTCTGTCAGCACTACAGTGAGACTTCAGTAACGCACTTAAATATAAAGAATACTATTTGACACTGATGACATTTCCATTTTTAGACAGATAAAAACGTTAATGTCAGAGCAAAGGAACTTCGGAAATTTGTTCGAGAATTATAATACAGTTTATCTCAAAAGTTGTACTGTGTATAAAAATGTGGCCTGTAGGTTAGTTTTATCTTCTCTAGACCAGGGGTTCCTTTGTTCGCATCCAAGGACTGCCAAAGGTTGAGGGACGGATCCGGGGATGAAGAACGTTATCATTCGATGAGGTGTTCGGGGGCGTGTTGAATTGATATATGTACGTATTCCTCTTTAATCTGCTCCAATAGAAATTATTTTGCCTGTAATCTAGTGAATATAATCAGCTGTGGGTGGGTTGATGAACTTGGGCTATATAGAATCTGTTTCACAGATACGCTATAAAGTATCTGCACGTAGCTGCACCTTAAAGGGGACAGTGATGATAAAAAACAAAAATTACCATTTTTGTTATAACCATTTTTAACTGCCAAAAAAAAAATATTTTGAATATGGGAAACATCGTTTATATTGAGTTAGCAAGAATAACATTTAAATACTACAAATAAAAAAATTATTGTATTGCACTGCATATGTGTAATTTTTTATTGCATTAAATTTGCTGTTACTCACAGCCTAAAAACACGTTTTAATTACTAGAACTGATGAAATAGCATGTCTAATATCTAAACGGTGTGTGTTGGTATTTATAGTAACACCTGTTCGCTAGCTGCAATCGTGTGCGAGTGAGCTATTGTTAAATATTCTTTGCCTATCGTAAAAGAAATGAGAAACAAAAGGGACAAGTCTTGCTGAGATTTTGTCAAGTAGCTTTTGGCAATGGGCAGCATAAACAATGGGGCCCCAACAACAAAAAACATGCTCAGCACATAAACACTCTTTTGGGGCCTCTCTTTTTTACTTTGTTACTCTCTCTCTCTGTGTTTCTCTCTCTGTCCTTTGACCAGAAGAAATTGCATTGAGCCTGAGATTCGTTTATGCGTTGGCTTTGAACTTGCTCTGGAATTGATCGAGTGTCAAGGATACGTGTAAGCTTATACAAGGGAAGGTACAGTTGAACCCCGATAAGTAGAATTGAATCTAACTGCAAAGACTGACAAATTTATTATTAAAGATCGGAGATTTGAGCAGCACTTCAATTTAATATTAACAACTACACTGAAAATATATAAATTTAAGAACAAACTATAGTTGTTTAATGTATTTTAAGCCTCAGACGTCTTGGAATGGTTACAAAGTTTCTATAAAAATTACTCATACCAAATGTGTGCCAGTTGGAATTTAATTCTAGGCTAACCCCCTGGTGAACAAAAATTTGATCAATAGGATTTTGGTTTTATAAAATTTTAAATCGTTTGACTGTTTTTTTTTTGTCTGTTCAGAATCATATCATAATATCGTAAATGAAGTAGACACATTTTTTTAAATTTTTTATAATAGCCTATGATTTTGAAGTTTGACTGCATTAACATTGAAGGGGTCTTGTTTTTTCTCCCTGACTGTTTCCTTCTTTGTTACACTCCCGACTGCGAACGGCGAATTAATGCCATTTGGTTCCTATTGCTAAACAAAGACAAATGCGTTACTGATGGACGCTATTGGTGAGTGGGGAAAAGAAACAGCGAGGGGGCGGAGGACCCCCTCTTTCTCTCACAAGTAGCGTTTAGGTGTGTGTGTGACATTGCTTGTTGCTATTACAGTTGCGGTTTTTGTTTTTGTTGCGCGTGTGCCAAGCCAATTGAGGAATGCAGCGATGCAGCTGCACTCCTCCCACTCCCCGTTTTATACCGTTTTCGGGAGCTTAACCCTAAAGCCCCCCCCATATAACAATGTTGTTTCAGGAACTTTGAGTGATTCAAAGTATGTGCCTCTTTCAAAATGAATTTCTAGTATTTCGCAATTATTGCAGGCGATTAATTAAATCATTACACTTTTACAACACGACTTCGTGCCTTATCATTTCCCAATTCCAATACGGAATACTATGTGCTATATGAATACTTCTGTACATATAAATGAATAGCTTGGTAATTACCTCATTTCTATCTACATGTGGCGAAATTGTCGTTTAATCAATTGTCACCACACGTGGAAAAGATTTGCAAACTGCATACATATGTTCGCCAAATCGTTATTTGATAGGGATCATTCACCCGTTGTCCTCTGAACGTTTTGAACAATTATTGAGTGGGTGTTGTCATTAAAGCTATCAGCCCAAAATACATGTTTTATTCACCTATTTGGTGTATCTATAACTCTATGATAACTTATTCCTTCAAGTGATAAATAGCTGCTCTAGGCAAATAAAAAAATGTTGATTTATATTTAAAAATTTATTCATAATGTCCAAATGTTTAAAGTGATCTTAATTTTTGAGAGATCATGTGGGTTAATATGGTCTCTTTCTGGACAACTGTATCTCGGTCCTCGTTTCCTCTGTTCCTTTGGTCTTGCAAATAAGAAAGAGTAGTAAAGAGATCTTTGGATTGGCTTAAACGGTTATTTCCAATAAATATGGGAAACAGATACTAGAACAATTCATTGCTAGTTTCTTTGTGTTTGCATATTGTGTTTTGCTGGCGAATTGAAGGTGTAAAGGAACAGAAAACTTAAACTAGAAGCAAAAAGCTAAAGCAAATGGCCTGATGATTTCTGCGTGACTTTGAGGTTTGTTTTTGTTGTTTGGAGCTTGTTTTGGTTTGTGTGTTTGCAGTGTGAAAATAGAAACGAATATTGTTTTATTTTTTGCGCTTGATACGTTCAATTTGTAAGCATATTTGGTTGTTGTTTTATTGCACTTAATTTGCGCCCCATGGAACTGAAATTGACAAAAGCGAAGGGGGGGCACAAAGCAACCGAAAAAGTTAAATTAAAATAAAAACAAAAACAAACAAAGCGCAGAGCAAAAATACACGTAATGCGCTAATAAATTGGTAACAAGAGAGCGAAAAGTGGGTGGTGAAGAGGGGGGTGAGTGGGTGGTTTGGGGGGTGGGAGGTGGTTCTGTCCAAAGATTAAAGCGGTTTGATTGAGACAAAGGGAAAACGGAACGAAATGGAATGACCAAAAGGAACTATGAAATGTGCGCATTAGGGTGAACGTTGGTTGTTCCAAAAAGAAAACAACGAATAAAAGTTGAAAATTTATTTATCACTCATACGTAGTGTTTCCCATAAATATGTTTGAATGCAAATAAAATCGTGGTTCGCATTAGTATTTTAATATCCATTTTCTGAATTTGTATTGTTTTTTGTTGTGGATAACTTTCAAAAAAAAAACTTGGTAAATAATTCAATATATAACTTATTCGGATCACATGTCGTATGATTATTTTTTTCTCAAAAAAATTTTTAATATGTGAGAAATTAAATAAATTCACGCTTTTTATAAATATGTAACAATAATATCCATAAGCCTGCAAAATGTTGACCACACCATCATTATTAGTTCAAAGCCTATATTATTTAGATTTAATGTGTTTTAAAAGTTTGGCTATTTGATGTCACCCTAAAAATAACGAAAGAGGGTGTAAAGTGAGGGGGGAAAGTGACGCTTATGTGTGATATTGTTCAATTTGTTTATTTATTGTTTTTGCTTTCTATTTGCAGTTGACAACAAAAGAGCCAACGACAGAGAGAAGGAGAGAGCGAGAGCAAAAGCGCAGGGTAAAGCAACACCCGATCAGACGCAGTGTCTCCAGGAGAAGCGATAAAAGGGAATAGCATAAAAGAGAGCAACAAGCGGTGACTGCCACCCGCCACCCACTGCCACCCACAACCACCCACAACCGCCCGCTGCCGACTGCCCTCCAGTGTGGAGGCACTGCATCCTTGTCAGCAGCTGTGGTAGCAGCTAGAAGAGGAGCGATTCCGGCGGCCAGTAGTTACCACCGGCTAATCCCAGCATCCGCATTATGTCCGCGGACTCGCCACGCCGCCATCCCTCCGGCGTGGTCGGTTCCGGCATTGGATCGGGCTCCGGATCCGGTTTGAGCTCCGGCTCTGGCAGCAGCAAATCGGGCACCACAGTTCCCGCTATTGTGCCACCGCAAGCAGTGTCGGATCGCTCGATCCTTGACTCGGCCATCGGTTTCATTAACGATGTGACCTTGACCAACCAGCCGGTACAGGATCCCAAGGACACCATCACCTGGGCCCGTTTCGAAACGGGTGCGGATGTGAGCGATCCGCGTTTCGGCGACGACTGGGAACTGGAGGGGAATGCAGCTCCGCCACTGCTCCTAATACTCGGCTACGGTCTCGGCGTCCAGGTGTGGGCCATCCCAGCCAACGGCGAGGCGGTTGAGGTGCTATCATGGCGCCACGGCGTCGTCACTGCCCTCCGTGTGCTGCCCACGCCGTCCACGGCAACCGCTCTGGACGAGAATGGCCGGGCGGATGAACCGGTCGATGCCTTTGCCGAGAAACGTCCCCTGGTGGCGCTCGTCGATGGAGGCAGTGCAGCGGCCAGTGGTCTACTGGCTGGCAGCTCGGGATTGGGTGGCGGCGGAGGCGTTACAATAGTTGGCGGCTCGGGGGGTGGAGTTGGCGGTATCGGCGTATCGGCCGCTGCCCAATTCAGTGCCGTGAATTTTTTGTCCCTCAAAACGGGCGTCCAGGTCAAGACGATCAAGTTCAAGAACGCCGTGCTGGACATCCAGGCCAATCGATCGGCGGTGGTCATCACGTTCCACGAACGGATTGCCGTATTCGATGCCAGGACGCTGGAGGACCGCCTCACAATCACCACCTGCTATCCCAGTCCGGGGTAAGTTAACTGAAATCTTTGCTAGTTCTAATTGATTATTATATTGTAAACAATATTTGGTCATTAGATTTTAAGTCAATTTAGTTATTCCATCTAATCATTCCGATTTAAATCGTATAAGGTATTAAGCTTTAAATTCATCTAGTGTTTCAAAGGGAAAGCATTTACCTGGTTAATAATACCAATCAAAAACGTAAACATATTATTTTGATATTATTCACACCGAATTGTTGAGACAATACCTACGATATTATCATTTAGTTAAAAACCGAGTTATCTTTTCCACCTAACCATTCTGAATTATATAAAGCTATAGAGATCATAATAAGAGAATTAGAATGGCTCATTTTTAAAATCTAAATAAATAATCTAGATAAAATTATCTATTTTATTTTACACTATTTAGAATCTATCAAACGTTATAAATATTGTGTGTTCTTCCTTTGTAGTATCAATCCCAATCCCATTGCTCTGGGACCGCGCTGGCTGGCTTATGCGGAGCACAAGCTGCTGCACTCTAAGCGCAGCGGCGGCGGATGCGATGGCGAGGGTGTTCCCAGTTACACGGCCACCGTGCTCAATGCGGCCAAATCCTTGGGAAAGGGACTGCGGGAGCTGGGCGAGCAGATGGCAGCCGGACTTACGGGCACCACCGCCGGCAGCGGTGCCAGCTCCAAGAGCAGCAGCTTCGACTCGGCCACTGGTGGACCGGATGCTAAGCAGTCGGGTGTGGTTACCATTATCGATGTGAAGGTGTGTAGAAAAATAATTTCTTTGTTTGTACCTCATTTGATTCACACCTCATCTATTTGATTGCAGCATCCGGTGAAGGACTACAGCCCCACCACGGGTACTCCGTTGAGCTCAACAGGCGGCTCACAAGGCGGTGGCGATCCAATCGTGGCTCATTTCGTGGCCCACAGCGAGGCCCTGGTGGCCATGGAGTTTGACAGCTCAGGCATGCTGCTCCTAACCGCCGATAAGCGCGGCCACGACTTCCACGTGTTCCGGGTGCAACCGCATCCGGTGGGTCCCAGTCTAGCCGCCGTGCATCACCTTTATGTGCTGCATCGCGGCGATACTACCGCGAAGGTGCAGCACATCGCCTTCTCGCTGGACTCGCGCTGGGCAGCAGTGTCCACGCTGCGCGGCACCACCCACGTCTTCCCCATTACGCCCTACGGCGGCGCCATGGGCGTTCGCACGCACACCTCGCTGCACGTGGTCAACAAGCTGTCCCGCTTCCACCGGAGCGCCGGCCTCGGAGCTGATGGCCGCTCCAGTTCGCCGATCTCGCACTCCGAGAGCACGACGTTTGTGCAGTCGCTGCAGCCGTATCACAATCCCACGTTGCCACCGTATCCGCGGCCGTCGGTGGTGCAGCCGTTGGCCCAGCTGCGCCAACCCTTTACACTAGGATCACCGCCAGGATCGGCGGGGTTGGGTGTGGGCGGCGGAGTGGTTGGAGGCGGAGGCATGGGCACAGGAGTCAGTCATGGAGGTGTCGGTGGTCATGGAGGAGTCGGCGTAGGCAGTGGCGGCCAACGGCAACGTCAACGCCTCTCCTCACTGTCGGACGACACTGGCAAGCCGCTGAGCGTCTGCTCCATCTTCGCGAAGTCGCGCTCCTGGCTGCTGGAGCCACCAATGGCGACACGGGAGCAACCGCATCGCGTCCAGCGGAAGGCGGTGGACTCGCTCTTCGTCATGGCCGGCCACGGGGCTCTTATCCAGTATGACCTGGACACGAAGCTTGCCTCACGTGAGTAACTTACTTAACACTAAGACATTTTTTTTATCAGCTACTATATGGAACAATCACTCATCAATTGCAGATGTTGCCAAAGAGAAGATTTGTGATGACACGCCCATCGAGCTGGAGGCGGATCCCCGCGCCCAGTGGAATCTGGGTCGGCGCAAGGATGGATCTCAAGAAATCATACCACCGCTGTCGCTGGACAACTGGCTGATCAAGGATCGCCATGCCAGCCTGCTGCTGGACAGCGCCCATCAATTCGACGAACCGGACGAGCGGGCCGAGAGCTGGCTGGCCCAGGTGGAGATCATTACGCACGCTGGTCCCCACCGCCGGTTGTGGATGGGTCCGCAGTTCGTCTTCAAGAACTACAACACGCCCAGCGGGTGAGGGATGATCCTAAGTTCATTTACTTGTAGAAACATGTTTGGAATATCTGAAATTCCATTTAATATACAAACTAAATTAATTGTTATGTATGCTAGTATTTTATCCCAAACTCATTCGTATATGTATGTTCGTTTCCAGTTCCAATCTGAATCACGTCGATGCAGAGGCGGTGGAGATAGGCGTAACCAAGGCACCGACAACCGCGCTGCCCTCGACGGCAGCTGCTTCCTCGGGACTGAGTTCGGTGACAAGCAAGGATCGCTCCAGTCCGCTGAATATGCCTCTGAATGCAACCACTACGGTGGGAGGAGGTGGAATCGGGAGCTCTGCGGTCACGGGACGCAGCGGTGCCGGTGTACCGGTTCTAATCGAATCGGGATCTTACAGTAAGTATAGAGGGTCCTTTCTGTATGGCTTATAGAACTAACGCGTACTTTCTATGGACGCTATAGGCAGCATTGAGCAGAGTCCCAAGTTGATGGATCGCTTCCGACATGGTCACTTGGATTCGGATTATGGGCATGGCGATATACGTCTAAAAGAGGATTTGGCGGATGCCATGCGTGAGTCCCCATCCACGGCAGCGGCGCGACGTGAGACTACGGGTGAGTGGCTAACCGTCCTGGATAGATGTATACATAAATATCGCATGTTGTGATAGACTATTCGAATGCTAGCCGCTGGTTTTGGGAAGGGTTTTGCTTGTGTGGTCGGGATGGGATCTCTGTCTCTTTTCGGTCACCCAAGCGAATGAATCCCCAGAATCAAAGGCATCCCCGTTGATCGTTAGCAGGTTCTCGATGTCTTCACAAATCTGTTTATTAATTGTCTACGATCTATACAAACGTTTAATGTATTACTTTTTACTTTTGGATTTATTATTTTTATTTACGTTTTTTGTTTTGGAAACACATATTTATCTCTAAATATATATATATTACGTTTTTAGTTTCGAACGCTTTCAAAATGAAAATGTTTAATTCAAAATATTTTTGGTGGTCAAACAAAAAAAAAAAATGTATTTTAATCTTGATTATAAAACACCACGAAATTGGCATTGGTTGTTGGTTGATAAACTATGATGATATGATGCTGATGATGATGATGTTACAGCCATCCCACCCACCTCTCACCTTTGCATGATCCTTAAACTCTACTTTCTCATTTCACTAAGCTTTCTCCTCATTCTTCATCCATTCACATTTCCCCCTTTCTCTGTGTGTATGTGTGAGCGTGTGTTTTGAAGTCTTTTTGTGGTGTAAGTGTGTTGGTGTTTTTTTTAAACTTTAGTTGTTGAAATTTTCTTTTTCTAGCCGGAACACACAATTCACTTATGCAAATTAACAATGAACTTTTCTTTGGTGTTTTTGTCTAGCCGTAAAATGAGATACAACTAAAATTAATATATTTCTATTTTAATGACAACTAAATTTAAGCTAACAACATTTTTGGTCACAGCAGAGCCCCTACCCAAAATAAAGACACACAAAACCCTAACCCAAAGAGAATTCTTCTGCTACACATCTACTTTTAACATTTGTTTGCCCCATTGGTCGCTGTTAATCCTGTCGTGCACTTAATCCTTCGAAATTTCGTCGGACTGATCGGGTAGAATGTATGAGAATACATCTAACCCTGATCTTGTCTGATACCACTAGGAAAATTGTATACTACAGCTCGGCTTAAAAGCTTTTCTTACCACGAAAATCATTTCCATTTTCAATTCTTTCATTAGACCGTCACACTTTCACAACAATTTTTACAGTTGATTTCTTAATTTTTACCATTCTTGGTATATTCGTTTAAATTTATTTTAAAGATTTCCATCCTTATTTCTAATAACCCTTTTCTAATTTATACACCTTAATTATTTACCATTTCTGGTATTTGTTTAAATTTCTTTTAGACTTTTAAGCATTCATTTATACTTTTTGGCACTTTTTTATAATTCTTATTTAATACACCAACAACATTTTACAGCTTCACCCACATTTGTTTTAAACCTTTTATTAACCTCTGATCTCCCCTTCAACATTGCACTTCACCCCGTTTTGTGTTCTTTTCACCTTAAATCTTACATTTTCATCACATGGTTGCACTTTTCACTACAGTGTTGCACCTTTCACCTATGTGCTTCGCCCCTGCCCTTTCTTCTTCTGCTTCACTCTTTTCGAGGGTGCCCCTTTTTGTCCTTTGTCTCTCGTGATTTATTTAAATACACTTTTAATTTTTACTCGTTTGCTAAAAATTCTAAATCGAAAGTTTCATTGCACGTGCGAGTGAGAAAGCCATAGAGTGATTGGGGGCGAGTGAGATGGAGGGAGGGAGAAAGCAGGGGGAGAGAGAGAGAGAAAGAACGGTTGAGAGGAAAGAGCACATTAATCTACATGAATCTTTTAATAAAAAGCCAAAGCCATTAAAATTTCGAAAACGCAATTCAAAATTCACTATAAAACAATATCCAGTTTCTTTATTATTTCCCCAAAATCAATGTCACGCTATTTTCTTAACTTTAATTTTTTATTCTTTTCGTTTTCACACTAAAACAAAAAAAAAATTCCTAAAAAATATGAGAAGATAAAAAAAGAAGTTTTTATTTCGTTTTCCATTTTTTGAGTTGCCTAAACAAATATATATATTTACAAAGTATTAATTTCTGTTCCACGTTCGATTTTCCATTTTTGTTTTGAGTGTTTTCCGCTTACTTTTCAATCGACCAACTGCTCGAAAAAAACGTAAACGCGCATACTGCCAAAAAAAAAAGAACCAAGCTTAGCTAAAATAAAAAAAAAAACGTTAAATAAAATAACAACAGAAGCTAAAATGTATTTTCAAATTAAACATTTTCAAAACTTCGAATCAAGATCCAAATCAAAATTCGCCTTTGGCTTTTTGTTTTTTGTTTCCTGTACGATCGAAAATGCGCTTTTCTCATAATTTGTTTTCTCTTCTATTTCTCTTTTTCTCCGCTCTGTGTTCTGTGTCCTGTGCCCCACCGTTGTTGCCCCGTCTCCAGCAGCTCCAGATCAGACTGCACCGCCGTGTGGCGATCATCTGGCTACCGCTTCCTCGCCAGCTTCTGCGGATCTCTTGGCCGCCGGAGGAGGCAGTTTGTCCTCGAATTGTGATAATGCTTGCTACTACGATGCCCTCGCCGAGCACGAGAGTCTCAATGATCTGGACGAGGTGGAGGAGCGTCATCAGCCGGATACGGAGACGCATTTGCACTCGATGGATTCCATTTCGGCCCTGGCCTCCGTCCTGCCCAACATTTGCAGCTATTCTCGCGTAGAGAAAATGGTCAATCCATTGGGCACTGTTACGGATCTAAATGCCGGCATCTCCGGTGAACTGCAGACGGATATGTTGGACGAGGTGGTGTGCCAACTGGCCGCCGAGGAGTCGGTGATCCATGAGAATTGCGATGAGGCCCTCTTCCGGCCAGTGGTGGCCATCTTCTGTAGTGATCCGGCTGAAAGACAAAGGCTTCTACAGAAGGATCACAAGATGGAGGAAGCCATGCCATCGGAGCTGGAGCAGGCCAGTTGCCAACCGCCTGTGGTGCTTGTCAATAAGTTGATTGTACCAGTGATTGCCAAGGAGGTGGACGAGGTGCTCGTCCAGAAGGAGAAGCAAAAGTCCCAAAAGCAATCGCACAAGGCGCAACAGCAGCAGCAGAAAACTCTGCGATCCCTGGCAGCCGCCGAGGATGCGGCGCAAGCACAGAAATTTGCGGAGCTCTCGCACCTCAACAAGCCCAAGGGCAACAACAGCAACAATAACAACAATAAAACTGCCAGCCAGAAGAGTGGAAGTGGCACCTCCGAGGATGAGGGCACTACCACGATCGCGAAATCAGCGAAGAAGGCCAAGAGTAACAAACAAATGACCAGCGGAAAAGTCAGCGAAAGAAAGACGGAACAAAAGAATCAGGAGCAGGAGAAGATTGTCGCGGAGGAGGAGGTGGTGGTGATGGTGAAGAAAGTCCAGGAGGAGGACTCGGATCCGGAGTCGGATCATGCCGATAGCTTGCTGGCCAACAAGAGTAGCATTGCTGCTGTTATGGTAAGCAGTGCTAGTGCCCAGGGATTAAGTTTGCATGTGGAGACTAGTGCACCGGATGCGGAGAATGAGGATGAGGAGGAAGAGGAGCAGGAGCAGGATCATGAGCAGGATCCTGAGGAAGAGCCTCCCAAGATGGCCAGAAAGAAGCAACAACCTGGGGGAGCAGTAGCAACCGTAACAATCGACAAGGAAAAGGAGAAGGCCAAGGAAAAGGAAAAGGAGCTGAAGCTAAAAGAAAAGGAAAGGGAAGCCGTCTTGCTGAAAGAAAAAGAAAAAGAGGAGAGGCTCAAGCTTAAGGAAAGAGAAGAGAAGATTAAGGAAAAGGAAAGAGAAGATAAAATAAAATTAGAAAAGATAAAGGAGAAGGAAAGAGAAGAAAAGATCAAGGAAAAGGAAAGGGAAGAAAGGATCAAAGAGAAGGAAAGGGAAGAAAAGTTAAAGGAAGAAAAGCTCAAGGAGAAACAGAGAGAAGAAAAGCTTAAGGAGGAAAAAATTAAGAAGGAAAGAGAAGAAAAGATCAAGGAAAAGGAGCGAGAAGAAAAGATCAAAGAAAAGGAGCGAGAAGAAAAGCTTAAAGAAGAAAGGATCAAGAAGAAGGAAAGAGAAGAAAAGCTCAAGGAGAAACAACGAGAAGAAAAAATTAAAGAGAAGGAAAAAGAGGAAAATCTTCGGAAGGAGAGAGAAGAAAGAATCAAGGAAAAGGAGCGAGAAGAGAAACTCAAGGAGAAGGAACGAGCTGAAAGGATCAAGGAGAAGGAAAAAGAAGAAAAACTCAAAGAGAAGGAAAGAGAAGAAAAGCTTCAGAAAGAAAGGATCAAGGAGAAGGAGCGGGAAGAAAGGGAGGAGCAGCTCAAGAAAAAGGAACGGGAGGAGAAGCTAAAGGAAAAGGAGAGAGAAGAAAAGTTCAAGGAGAAAGAAAGGCAAGATAAGCTTAAGGAAAAGGAACGTGAAGAGAAGCTTAAGGCGAAGGAAATGGAAGAAATGCTCCAAGAAAAGGAAAGGGAAGAAAAACTCAAGGAAAAAGAGAAAGCTGAAAAGCTCAAGAATTTTGAAAGAGAGGCGAAGCTGAAGGAGAAAGAGGAACAGCTAAAAGAGAAAGAAAAAGACGCCAAACTCAAGGAGAAAAAGGAGAAAGAAAAGGTCAAGGAGAAGGAAAAGTCCCTTGAAACCGAAAAACCCCTCATCCCAGCCAATGTCACCAGTCCCTGGAGGCGAGTCATCGAGGAGACTCCACCAAAACTGCCCGCGGCTCTGGATTATCCCAGCCTGGGAAAGAAGCCCACGAAATCGAGTCCCGAGAAGAAGCGGGATGAGAAACTGCTCCCCGGACTGAGCACACCCCCGAAAGAGGTCAAGGACACATTTGAGGACTTTCTATGCGGCTTAAAGCCACTGGAGGCCCTGCCACCGCTTCCAGCCCTCGAACCCCTGGAGGTTAAGGAGGACTCGAAGAAGGAAGCGGTCAGTCTAATTAATTTCGAAAGTCCGCTACAGGAGAATGCAGCGATCCCGCGCAAGATTTCACCACCACCCCGAGGATTCACCGAACAAAATCTGATTCTCGCGCTGTGCGGTTCACTGCACTACGAGAACGAACAGAACGAACGGATCAGGGAATCTGATCCGGAGGCGCAGCCCGAGGTGGAAACCACACCAGAACCGGCATACATTGCCCTGGATACGCTCGCCTTGCAGAAATCCACCTCCACATCGAATAACTCTTCCGGATCCGAGGAGATTGTCATTATGGAGGAACCCGTGAAGAAACTGAGCAAGAAGCACAAGCGACTGAAGCAGCTTCAACTTCAGCAGGAGCAACGAGATCGGGAGCCAGACGATGAGGAGCTGCGTCCCCTGATCAGCATCAGCATGTGCGATTCCCAGCTGGAAGTGCAGGAATCAGCTGCCAAGTCAATTCCTGATGACGACGTGGATGTTGAGGAGCTGGACCCAGAGCAACAATCACTGCCCGAAGATCTGCTGCACTTTGGCAGCAGTGGCGTGGCCACTATCGCCACCACCACGGACAGCGATGGACCTGTGCCGGCCACCACATCCGATGACAATCTGGTCTACGGCTCCTCCAACACCACCAATGCCGCACCGCACAAGCTCAAGACCAAGAAGCTGGAGCACAAGATCAATCTGATAGCAGCCATCGAGGCGGCCACCTCCTCGTCCACATCGTCGGCGGAGGAGAGTAGTGTGGAGACGACGGTCCATCCGGATCCCACGGGTCTGGGACTGGGCATTGGCCTGCAAGCCCATTCGCCTGGTGGATCGGGTGGCGGTGCTGCTGGCGGCCACTTGGTCACCGGTGCTGGCACCTCTGCGTCTCTGCCCGCCGCCGGGGGCGTTACCTCTGTGGGATTGGGCGTGGGCATGGCCAGCCCGCCGAGTGCCACAAAGAAGAAGACGAAACGACGCAAGAGATAAGAATTAGCGATTTGTTTGCTGTGCGTCTTTAGCCTGGTGGTGCTGTGGCATCTGTATGCCAATCGACAGGACGGAGCACCCACTGCCCATGCGCTCCAACAGGAACCGCCGGATCATCATCCACCACCATCGGAAGAGCCAGGGCAATCCGGTCGGCCAGCCCAGCCCGATCCCATTTTGAAGCAGGTGGAAGGTGAGCAGCCGGTGGGCAGAACCAGAGCCAAGTAGGGGAACACAACATATGACACCCGGGACAGCAGCAAACGAGAGGAGACGCCTCCTCAACCAGCAATTTCAAAAAGCTATATACAAAAATGGACAACTAACCACGACAGATGACTCTAGATTCTTTATTTTTAGCTGTGTGCAAGAAAAGTATATCATTTCAGTAACCACAACAAAACAAAAACCAACAAAAAAAACAAAACAAAACACAAAACTCTGCAAAAAAAAATTGTGATTTATCGAAAAGAAAAACAAAAAGTTAGGTATAATTCATAATTTAAAACGAAACAAAAAAAAACAAAAACAAATAAAACAAAACGACTGTAGCTGCTCGTTAAGACAAAAAAACAAAAAGAAATGAGGAAAAGCGACAAAAAATATTTAATTACTAACCGATTTTTAAGTGCAAAGTTATATTGTTAGCTATACACTTCTAGAAATTATAAATACAACAAGATATATATATATATATATAAACCACACAATTCATATATATATGTATTTATATATAATATGAAACAAAAGGCCTAAACGTAAACACACACTGATCAAGTATCAAGAATAATTAATGCTCCCAAATTGTATATAAAAGGCGCCAGAAAATCCGCTCAGTGCGGAAATCGAAATTTGTAAAATTGATATCCTGCCCCTTAGCTTAGAACACACATGCAGCTATAGCTTGCAGGACACACAGTTGGAGTTAATGGTTATAAATATAAATGCAACCCCATATGGGTATTCAATTTGACCCATTTTCCCTAAGAAATTACACTTTCCTGCCCAAAATCCAACTGCGTGTAAACTATTGCAAGCAACTAATAAATAATATATATTGACTATAATACTAATTGTCCAATGTCACAATTGTTTGAAATTGTTTTTAGGCTTTGCTTTCGTTAAGTTTTCTCCATACTCGTTCAAGTTTCATCTAGTTTCTCCCACACTCACGGTCTCTTTTTATAAATTTATATATATTTTTTTTTTATTTACCTTACTCGATATGTTTGTTAATTTATTAATCTTATTAGAAATGGTCTCTTGTCTATGTTTTTATTTCGTTATTAAAATTTTGTTTCTTTAAATGATTGTAAAAAGTGAGGAAATTAATTATTTTCTGTATATATATGTCTTATAAAAATTATTTCTAACTCGCAGTATTTATGATTTACGTTTGAGAGAGGGATAGTTGGATGAATAAAGGAGGCAAGGAAATCGCTAAACACTAAAATTTAATTTAATTAAATGATGTATCATTAAATAAATGCAATTTTAGTTAAAACAACAAATGGGGCTCAAAGTGTTGTCATTGGGTTTTGGGTTCTTGTTTTGCAGGTTAAATGTTATCAAAAAACTATAAGACATTAACTTTGTAGTGATATTATCAATTTGCAATTGGTTTTCATAAAGTTGTTGGTATTGTAACTTAGTAAAAAATATGTGTAGAACAGAAATGTATTTTTAGAATTTTTTTCGATAAACCAACAGGTTTTCAAAATCTTTTTTTCGCTAACTATGATTGTACATATTTATGTGGAATGAAATTGTACATAAACATTACTATTTTGGATAAACTTTCCAAATCATTTTTGTGCTGCAATTTTGAAAAAAATTAAAATTTTAAATAAATTGAGATTTGAAAAATGTTGAAGCGAAATTTAATTGATCAGAAATCATAAATGCATTTTTTTTTACCATGTTTTGGAAATATTAAGAGCTTTATAGCAAATTCATTTCGAGTGTGCAGTAAAAATATTCCAAATTGAAACCCCTTTTTGTTGCCTCACTTTAAATAATCCACTAATTTTGTGTTTACTATGTTCTTTCCTTAGGAAACTATTTTACCACGGATCAGCTGGATGGCTTGGTCCACAACAACAACAATAACATTAACAACAACATAATCCCAACCAAAGGCAACATAAATCCCAATGCGATGTTGAGCAACAGGGGCCAGAAAGCGGAGGTCACAGATGCCGGTGATTATCCCATCCGGCATTCATTCGGCGATCACGGTGAACACTCGACGGTGGTGAACATCGAGGTGTTCGACGACCAGCTGAGCATGAGCAGCATCAGCACCAACAGTCGTCTCTCGCTGGAAGGACCGCCGTCGCAGTCGTCGCCGCCACTCAGCCTGACCAATGGCTTAATGGACACCAATCTGATGCACTTCAGCGAGAGTGCCACCACCACTGGAGTGTCCCAGCGGGGAGGTGGTGCGCGATTCGAGGTGGACGTGGAGCTGAATGGCGAGGATGAGGATGATGATGAGGACGAGGAGGAGGCTGTAGATGAGCCTGAACGTGATGGGGATCGGATCTGCGAGCGGGTGCGGGAGATTCGCCAGCAGGGACGACGGGATTTGTGAGAGTTAATGCAGAGGGCGGCTCTGCTGGGCGGCCAGCTCCAGTTGCGACGCATCTGCGCCCAGTTCTTTAGGCCGCGTGCCGCTGGCGAGGATCCCTAGACTTAGCTTTTGGTGCTTGCTCTAATCCTTCTCTGTATCTCTAACTCTAACTCTAACTCCATCTAAATCGGCATCGGCATCTTCCGCGGTATTCGTATCTGTATCTGTGTCTCTGACGAGCTATTTTATTTTAATTTTGCTTGTTTTGTTTAGTCCAAGTAGTCGATTGTCGATATTCGGAAGCGTTTCTGCAGCCATTTTTTGTTTTGTTTTTTTTTTGATTTTTACAAAAACACACAAAGCCCAAAACCCCAAAACTAAAATGTGAAATGCCAATGCAATAAAAAAAGAAAACAAAATCTTGTGGAAAGATATATAAGCATAAGAAATAGATCAGATCAGACCTCAGCTGAATGCCGTGATATTTAAAATAAAATTTAACAAAAACGAAAAAAAAAAAATAAAGAAATGAAAGGAAGAGCGTAGAATGAACGAGAGGCGAAATACAATACAATATTAAATATATGTATACATATATATAACTAGAGATCGAAAGGCGCATAAAGCAACCACAATGAACCACAAAATATGAAATATGTAATAGCAGAATAACTCCATTTACTTACCCTAGACTAAAGAAAAAACGCTCCTTAAGCCCTAATTCGAAAAAAGATATTCACCTTCTTTCGACTCGCTTATTTTTCCAATTTTTTTTTAAACCTTAATTAAGTAGGAATTTAGTTTTGTATACTTTTCTATGTAAACCAATGAAGTCCAGTTCAACAATCCACTGTGCGTTTTGTGACAATTGGGCGGGGAGTAAAAAAAAAATTGTATATTTAAAAATGATTATTAAACAGTCATTCTCTCCCATAGTTTTAAAATGCACTTTGTATGCCCTTAACATATATCTACCTGCGAAGATAACCGATTCCAACTCTTGATTCTGCCTTCAGCATTCAAACTTTTGTTAATTCTTCGATTTTGCAAGGAGAATGCATTCCAAGAAAATTAAAAGCTCACACAAAAACCTTAACGTAAATTCAATAATAAAGTTGACAACATAAATAGGTAAAATAAAACATATCCATTTACAGATATACTTATAGTATAAATATTCCCACATTGGTGCATTATCGACATCCCAAAACAAAAGTCCTTAGAGAACAGTTCAAACTTCATGGCGAAACATGCATATATATATATTTTTATAAACGTTGAACGATGATCTACAAATTTATATATTATAGATGAGCATACTGAGAAGTCCCATCCCAAAAACAATCCAAAATCAATCGCAGATAAGCAATGAGAATTTGCTCTTGTTGCCGCTTCCTGTTTCCACCTAAAAAACAAAAAAAAAAAACAAAAACTGAGGTCTCTGAAAATAATCATAGATACAAAAACATATGTACACACACACACACACGCATACTGCTGGCCAGGTTGAGGTTGTGGATATAGAAGATTGAAAATTTTATATAAAAATGAGAATGGAAGATTTGTAGAAGGAAAAAAACATAAACATAAACATATTTTTTATACTTGCAACTTTCTCGACTTCACTTTGTGTTTTCATTTTCAAAACGTTTATAGCCACCTAAGCCTACGAATATGACTTCGCAGATATATACATATATATATATATATACAACATATAGATACGCAAATTGGCAGATAATTTACTTAAAACCTATATCTACATAAACGAGTATATATATCTACATATTTGTGGACATTCTTAACTGATGTTCATTTCGTATCGTCGCATGTCTTTTCCCTTAGTTAATCAAAAATTACACAAAACAAAAGCTTAAACTATAAAAAAAAAACACAAAAAAATACAACTTTTTTAATTCATTTGTATAACCAAAAGTGTCATAGAATTCATTTTGAAAGGTCGATTTTAGAATTGATCCCACCACATAATATAATAAATGCAAAAACTAAAAAACTCAAAACTAAACAGTTTTTTTATTCATGGACTTTAAATCTATTAAATTAAACCATTATATTTTTCAGGCTTATTAAACTCTTAACTTTAACTACACTTTTTTTAAATTTCTTTTTTTAAGGGCGAATGTGAATTATATTTTTAAACTAATTCATATTTATTTTGAGTTGATGCTTGGAACAATCTGATAAATGCGGAAAATACAAAATTTAAAATTAAAAATCTAGATTTTTATGTGCTCATTCGAATGTTTTATTTACTGCAAATATATTATTATAATTTTAGAAATTTTGTTATAGTTTTGGTTGGGATCGTTGGGTTGGCTTGGGGTTTACGGTTGGGATTTTTTAACCGCTGCGACGGTTGCGCCTGTTCCTCCTCTTGTTTCTCCTCTCCCGCCTCTCTCTCCTCTCCCTCCTCTCTCTCCTCTCCCTCTGCCTGTTTCTCGCCGCATTGTTCCTGCGGCGCCGGTTGTTGTAATGGATCTTGTGCTTTTCCTTCTTGTCGCTCGACTCCTCCGTGGTGGTGGTCGTTGTGGGGGCCACAGTGGTGGTGGTGGTGGTGGTTGTCGTTGTGGTATTTGTGGACGTCGTATTGGACGCCGCAGGAGTGGCCGCCGGAGTGGCCGCCGGAGTGGCCGCCGGAGTGGCCGCCGGAGTGGCCGCCGGAGTGGCCGCTGGAGTGGCCGCCGGAGTGGCCGCGGAATAAATGCTCGCCACCAGGCAGGCAAGGATCAGTACGCAGAGGAATCTCATCTTGTTGTGGGGCAGTTGGTACAAGTGGAACTGTGCTTTCGAAAGTGCTCATGCCAGGTTTTTATAGCCAATCCATTCTGGCAGCATCCATATCCACTCTAAGATTAGAGCTATTTGGCCAGGGCAAATACGGCCCCGTTTCCATCTGTTTTGAATCTCGGATCTGTGCCATTGTTCTTTTCTACTTTCACTGTTTGCACAAAACACGCTTTTAGGATTCGAGTTTGCAAATAGTGCTAGCTTTGACAATTGTGTTTTAGTTCTAAGATTGTTTATCTTTAAAATCGACATGAGGTTTCAAAAATTTTCCAATAAATGGACTACAAAAACACAGATTGCATAGCGTGATATGGTTTACTTCAAAAGATTCAGATATTTTAATCAATTGATTTAATGTTAAATTAAAGAACTTCTAATATCTCAATTTTCTTTTTTTTTTCACTTTCGCAGAAACAATTTTCCGCAAAAACTAACCAAGATCTCTCCAAGTTTGATTTGCTTTAATTTCGTAGCAGCTATGATGAGGCCAAATCAATTGGATACACATTGGTCAATGTCACTGACCAGTGGGAACTGACACTACACTGAAGGAAATATCTCTGAGCTTAGTGATCAATTTCATAAAAAAATGTTATCCCATATTTTTATTGGTAAACTTTGAAATTGTACCCGCACAGGATAATAGACGTTTAGCAAAATCATTCAATTTAAGGTGTTGAATTGTATTCTAATTAAATATATAATATTTTAAATATTTTATTAGCATAATTTTAACCTATATTTAAAATGGTAAAAAGTCATCTGAATCCAATGCTGTTATATATTAATACATTTTTCTCTGTGGTGAGGGATTAGAGCATTTCGTTTACATAATATCATCAATCATTGTACAATCTTTATTGATTGATGGACGAGACGACTACTGCACAAATCCCTAAAAAGAGTCTCGATTTGTCAGTTGATCGATTAGGTCACTGTAGACTTAAGCAACAAACCATATCCAATGCATTTGCCTCATTTTAAATGAAGCAAATATGCCACTTTGCTGTGGAGCCTAATGAAAGGATTATGTTTTGCAATTGTTTTCTCAGTTTGTCATAATAAATAGTAAATACATTTTATGTTTGTATATATTCTTAATAGAATTTTTTCTATTAATATAGCTGATTTGCTAGGCAACAATAGCACCTTTTGTTTAATTAAGTGTTCGCACTGTCTGGTGGCTTTGTTTCGCTCAGGGTTGTTGGGCTGTTGACGTGGTTGCCTCAAACTGACCCCCAATCTCTTGACTTGATATGCTACGGGATTCCAGAGTCTTAAATAATTTCACAATTTCGATTTTTATTTTTATAAAAATCGGATGACTTTACTATAAAAATGCTATAGGAAGGATTCAAAAATGTAATGGAAAATCAACACAGCTTCATTGTTTTAAAACATAAAGCATACAAAATGTTATGGAATATTTTATTATCATAATTTGTGCAAGGGTATATAAATTTTGTATTCTTTTAAAGTATTCTATGAATTGTTAAGGGATATAAGTTATTGGTTATTAAATGTTACTATATTGGTTCAGATTTAGAAAGATCAACGGTCGACTATATAATACAGTACCTTATTTGGTCTGATATAAGAGCATGTCGTCGGTTAATTCGATAATGACCCCCCATCAATTCCAGAGACACGCAAAGCCAAGCGCATTGCGAAATGAAATAGAATATAGGGGCACGATACTGGGAAGGGGGGGAGGGGTGTGGGATATATCCCCCAAGATCCGCATTTCACCCACTCAGTTTCGCTGGGTTTGCCGTCATGTTTGGATCGCTGCTGGTGGGGATCGCGACGCTGCTGGGAGTGATCTACGCCTTCCTGGTGTCCAACTTTGGCCACTGGCGCCGGCGTGGAGTGCTGGAGCCACGGGTCCTCCCGCTCCTGGGCTCCTTTCCCAATATTGTGTGGCCACGCCAGCACTTCACCATGGACATGCGCGATATCTACATGTGGGTTTCATGATATTCAAATAGGAAAGTAAGCTAACTTCGGCAAGTCGAAGTTTATATACACTGGCAGCTGTTAGAAAAATTAACTATTCCATAAAACGATCATATTTCAATTTTGAAGCGTTAAACAGCAATGAAGCTTTGTGGATTCTCGGATACATTTTTCGATCTTTGCCATGTCATCTATTTGAAATAGTCGTCTGATCTCTGACATTGTTTAAAATTACCCTATGTCGAAGTATATGCGTATATTTGGAAAACAACGAAGTTATAACTTTTTTCATTTATTTTTCTGATTGTTCCTATTGTCATTGTTATGATATAGTCGTCTGATATGGTCTGTTTCGACTTATGTATATACTATCCGTATTAGAAAGACGACGTTTGGGAAAGTTTCATTCAGATATATTTTAAACTGATAGATTAGTTTGCATAGAAACGGACATACGGACAAACGGACAAACGGACATAAGGACTTACGGACAAACGAACAAACGGACTTGCTTCGATTAAATCTTCTGGTGATGCCGATCAAGAATGATATATTTTGTAAGGTCGAAAATGAAACTTTGGACTTAAATTAGAATACCCTCTGCAAAGGTGTGAATGTAATCCAACCCAGAATCATTTTCCAGGCAATACCGGGATACGCACAGCTATGTGGGTTGCTTCATGCTGCGCGCACCCAAGCTGCTCGTTCTGGAGCCCCGCCTGGTGTACGAGATCTATGTGAGTGCCTTCGGCCACTTCGAAGACAACGATGCCTCCAAGATGGTGGACATCGGCAAGGATCGACTGGTCGCCCTCAATCCCTTTGTGCTCGAGGGCGATGAGTGGCGCCGCCAGCGGGCGGTCTTCTCAACACTGCTGACCAACGGTCGCATCCGCACCACCCATGCGATCATGCAGCGCGTGTGTCGGGATCTATGCACCTTCATCTCCAGGCAGTCGGTGGACGAGCTGGATGGGATTGATGTGGTTATCTCATCGCCTCGCTATTATCCCGATTTACTGATTCGGTTTTCCTAATCCCAACAGCTCGGCCTGCGCTTCACCGGCGAGTCGCTGTTCGACTGTGTGTTGGGCATCCAGGCGCGCACCTTCAGCGATGATCCGCTGCCGGTTGTCCGCCAGAACCAGGAGATGTCCGCCGAGAATCGGGGATTGGCCATCGCCGGTGCCGCCTGCGGCCTCTTTCCCAATCTGCCGCGACGTTTGCGACCCAAGGTCTTTCCCCGCTCCTACGATCGCTTCTTCGGCGCCATGATCAGCGAGGCACTGCGTCTGCGCAGGTCCAGGCACCAGGAGCGGAACGACTTCATCAACCACCTGCTCGAGCTGCAGAGGGACCTCCGTCTCAGCGAGGAGGACATGGCCTCGCATGTCATGACCTTCATGTTCGACGGCATGGACACCACCTCCAACAGCATTGCCCACTGCCTCCTGCTGGTAAGTTGATGTCGGAAGACAAGACCCCATTTTTTTATGGGATTAAATCACGAACTTTTATAAATATTCCACTTAAATATCGGATTCCTGTAGAAAAAGTTATGGCCTTAGAAGAAGGGTTTTTAGGTCATTTTTATGCAAACCCATTTTTCGACAATTTGGAAAGGAGTTACCTCAAATGACAAAAAATCGACCAAAAATTAAAAACAAAGTTTTGAATACAGTTTTTTTGGGAATTAAGACACGAATTTTTAGAGGTATTCCACTTGGAAATCGGATTTCTGTGAAAAAAGTTATGGGCTTAGAAGTGCGATTTTTGAGTCACTTTTCTGCAAAGCCATTTTTTGAAAATTTGGAAAGGGGTTACCTCATGAAAAACAACAAAAAATCGACCAAAAATTAAAAACCAAGTTTTGAATGCAGTTTTTTAGGGAATTAAACCACGAACTTTTGGAGGTATTCCACTTCGAAATGGGATATCTATGAGAAATTATTATGGGCTTAAAAGAGCAGGTTACACTATTAAATATGTCAAAAAATCGACTTGCCACTACGTTCATAATTTTTGAGTTCAGAAACTGCTGTAAATAAGCTAGAAGTATTTCTTGTTTTTCTAAGAAACAGGTGTGATATCATATTTAATTTTATTGCCTATACCCTTCAGCTTGGTCGTAATCCGGATTGCCAGCAACGTCTGTTCGAGGAACTCGAGGAGGCCAATCCCGGCGGGGATCTCCCCGATCTGGACGCGCTCATAGACCTGCCGTATCTGAGTGCCTGTTTCAATGGTGGGTGATATGCATGGGCTTGGTATTTTCCAGTTCATAATTGCGAACACCTTCTTCCAGAGAGCTTGAGGATTTATCCAGCCGGCGGTTGGGCCTCGAAGACCTGCACGAAGGAGTACGAGTTGCGGGGTAGTCACCACTCGGAACCACTCAAGTTGCGACCCGGCGACAATGTGATGGTGCCCATCTATGCCCTGCACAACGATCCCCATCACTATCCGGAACCGGAAGTATTCCGACCCGAAAGATTCCTGGACGGCGGATTGAAGACGTTCAAGCAGCAGGGCGTGTTCCTGGGCTTCGGCAATGGACCGCGACAGTGTGTGGGCATGAGATTGGGTTTGGCCATGGCCAAAGCCGCCCTGGCGGCCATTGTCCAGAAATTCGAGGTCCTGGTGAGTCCTCGCACGCGACACGGCACCGAAATAGATCCCCTGATCTTCGTGGGCGTCCACAAGGGCGGCATTTGGCTGGACTTTGTTCCACGAAAAATCTAGACTGCAAGGTCCAAACAAAAATAGAAATCTGGGCAATTACAGTAGTCTCTTTAAACTAAAAGTAAACAAAAGGGTTTTAAAAACCAGGAAAGGGGTAGCCCTTAAAAATAACTTCCAAGGTGGAAACTAAGATTATTATCCTATAGCTTACGACTATTAAAAAACTTTAAACAAATTTGTTGAATAACTTTAAGATCAAAGAATTTCAATAATTTAAAATTAAAATTAAAAAAGCTAAGATCTAAATGATCAAAGAACAAATGAAAGGTGATACAAGAGTACAATTAATAATGGTTATTTGATTTTTCTAACAGTTGGTTTTAATATTTGAATGATTAAATAATTTAATTTAAAATGATACATAATTATATATGAACAATTTTTTTCTGTGCCTGGCTTTCCCGACAATGATTCAATGATTTCTTTGTTAGCATTGGTGGTTCAATAAAAATTAGAGTGGGTCATCGCTTTTGTTAGTCTCAGGGTTTAGCTGCATTCAGCTGGGAATTATATCATCGGGTGGTGTCCAAACACTGGTTATACATCAATAAGGCGACGGCAATAAATGCATTCAAATATCATACACTTCAAAAAAAAAAAGTGTTAAAATACCGCAATAATTGTATAGCCTTGATATGCCTAAATATCACTTTAAATAACTAAACATTGTTACAAATACTACATTGTTAATAAGAAAAAGTTAAGAAGTTGTATCTTTCATCAACTGTGATTTGTTATATCTTGAAATCTTACAATCAAAATGAAATAAAAATGATATCAATGGATCCATTATGATGTTTGCAAAATGATTCTGTTTTATTAATGGTAAACCAAAGATATTTGGTATTAGGCAAGGGGAGATTAAGTGTCATCATACATAATCAGAAAATGGAATGTGTAGGCTCTAAATCCGGTCTGGCCTTTCACTATCCGCCTCTTAGTCAGAGCGGAAGCCAATAAATAGAAAACCCGTCAAAACCCACTGCCCGAAACCCCAATGAAACCACCACGAAGGTCACGCGTTGGGAGAGAGTGTGAGAAGGGGCAGGCACGCCTTTGGGATGGTTAATCACACGGCAGAGACATCGCCGAGATCATCGTCATCATAGAGATGCCCAACACGCTATGATATTCGTTATTATGTATGTGTTTTTGTTTGAAATAGATGGTAGGCTTATGACCTGGTTTAAAGTAAACCTAAAAGTTGCCATAGATCCCAGCTAAAAATCTGGCAAAAAGCTTATCTAAGAGACTAACTGAAGGTCGGCCATAAAGACTAGCTAAATACGAACTAAAAGTCTAGCTAAAAGACTAGCTAAATGTCTAGCTAAAAGACTAGCTAAATGTCTAGATAAAAGTATGGCATCATGACTAGCTAAAAGCCTATCTGAAACCCTGTCTAATAGCCTATGTACAATTTTTGTGGATAATTCAATCGTCTATACAATTCAAAATGCCACAGTAGAATACACAGTACCAACGAAATCTTTTTTTTATGTGTAAATGCATTGCCAACTCCAATAGATGAGATCAATCCCCCGAGCAGGCCAATCAGCAAATTAAACAGCCAAATTATTTACATATTTTACGTAAGTATAAATTTATTAGGTAAGAAATTCGAAACGCTTAAATCGGTTGTTATTGCATGCAAATGATTTGATTTCGAATGCGATTGGTATTTGGGTTTGGAGTGGACAGTGAGCAGTGAGCAGTGAGCAGTGGAAATGCATGCAAAATGAGGCAGAAAAACGAGTTAAAAAAAAAAGTGGGTAAACGCTGGATGATGAAATTAACAACTAATCAGTGCTGGGAGGTGACCTTGGGCCGCGGCCCCTTCCCAATTGACCCCATTGAAGATGCCTTTGGGGGGTATATCAAGTGGCATCTCCTACAGGCTTGCAACGGGATAGAGACGCAGCGGCTTGGACGCCTGGCGCACAATTCGCGACCTGGGACGAGCAGGTTGAGCTGGTGGCAAGTAGCGATTGTTCACTGTGGCCACATTCTGGGGCTGCAGACGCAACGGCTGCTGCACATCGTCGTAGATCTTCACCGTCTGCACATGACTCTCGGCACCACTGTGCGCATTCTGGGTGACCACGCGGACCACCTGATGACGACCCTGCGGCTGCTCATTGCTGGCCCCCAGGATCTTGATGGTCTTCACGCCGTTCTGATCGAGCAACTCCAGCACCTTGAAGGTCCGCGGTGCGGCATGCGGCTTAACGATCTGTACAGTGCGCACCCGCGAACTGCCACGAAGGGCGGTGGGTGCGGCCACAGGTGCCGTCGCCGCCATGGCCACATTCACCGCCACCTGCACATCCTTGGGCATGAATTTCTGCAGCGACTGCTGCACCTTGAAGTTCAGAGTGGGTGCAACGGGCTGCAGCTTCTGGCTCTGCACCACTCGGTGGTAGTGGTGGTGCAGGTGGTGCTGCTGCTGTTGCTGTTGCTGACGGGTCACCACATTGCTTACATAGGCTGGGGCATAGAAACGTGGTCGCTTCGATTGCTCACGGTACATGGGAGCCACCTCGATCACTTGCTGCTGCTGCTGCTGCACCTGCTGATGTTGCACGTGCTGCTGTTGCACCTGCTGCTGCTGGTGATGGTGGATGTGCTGGTGTTGCTGCCGCACGCTCACTGGTTGCGCGTAGCGGGCAAAAGGCTGCACGGTGTTCATGTAGCTGCGCAGTGAGTGGATGTGGGTCACCTGGGTGGGCGATGGAGCTGGCAGGGAAATGGCAATGGGAGCGGGTCCGCTCACATGAATGGGAGCGGGAGCTGGAGCAGGGGCTGCCACGCGAACAGGAGCTGGAATAGGTGCGGGAGCAGGAGCTGCAACACGCACTGGGGCTGGAGCAGGAGCTGCAACATGAATGGGAGCTGGAGCAGGAGCGGCATAGCGAACAGGAGTAGGAGCAGGAGCGGCATAACGAACAGGAGCAGGAGCTGGAGCAGGAGCGGGAGCTGCATAACGAACAGGAGCAGGAGCTGCAACATGCACCGGAGCTGGAGCAGGAGCTGCAACACGAATAGGAGCTGGAGCAGGAGCAGGAGCAGGAGCTGCAAAATGAACGGGAGCCGGGGCAGGAGCTGCAACAGTTGGTGGCAAATAGCCAGAAGCCCTGTATTGCTGCTGCTGCTGTTGCTGTTGTTGCTGCTGCTGTTGCTGCAGGAGCAACTGCTGCTCTTGTTGCTGCTTCAGCAATTTGGTTTGGGTCTGCAGACTGTGCAGTTCGGCAATGGCTGCTTCGGCATTTTCGGGCTTCACAAAGTCATAGCCATCGGGAAGAGCCACAGGATCGGCCACTGGAACAGTTGCTTGCGTGGGTGCAACATACACCTGTTGTTGCTGTTGCTGCTGTTGTTGCGGTTGCTGCTGTTGCTGCTGTTGCTGCGGTTGTTGCTGGTAGGTAATCTGGCTTTGGACTTGGGGACGTGGCTCATCGTAGCCAGGTGGCAGATAACCAGGAGCACGGTACTCGCCGGCCACTTGCTGCACCGATGCAACACTCTGTGTGGTGGCAACATTCTGAGCCGATGCCACACTCTGCGCGGTGGCAACACTCTGGCTCAGCGACAAAGGTAGTTGGTCGGGATTCGAGAAGTCATAGCCAGGTGGCAGATAGCCAGGAGCCTGATATTCGTGACCCTGTTGCTGCTGCTGTTGCTGCTGCACTTCCTGAACCTGCTGCACTTGCTGTTGCACCTCCTGAACCTGAACCTGCTGCACTTGTTGCACTTGCTGTTGCACCTCCTGAACTTGTTGCTGTGGTGGCAGATAGCTGGGTGCCTGGTACTCGGCTTGACTGCTGGTCTGAACGGTGGCCGTGCTGCCGACGGGTGGCAGATAGGTTGGTCCTTGGAAGACCTTCTGTTGCTGTTGCTGTTGCGGGTAGCTGATGGGCGTGGCCTGGTAGTTGGCCACTGGCTGGGCTACTTCCTCGGCGGGAGTGGGTGGCAGATATCCGGGTGCCTCGTAGTTCTGTTGGCTGTATTGCTGTTGCACTTGTTGCTGCTGCTGTTGTACCACTTGCTGTTGCTGTTGGACCACTTGATGTTGGTGCTGCACCACTTGTTGCTGCTGCTGTTGTACCACTTGATGTTGCTGCTGCTGAATTACAGGCTGTTGCTGTTGGATTACTTGCTGTTGCTGCTGCACCACTTGATGTTGCTGCTGTTGGATCACTTGCTGTTGCTGTTGCTGCTGCACAATGGGCGTGGCAGCGGTGGGCGGCAAATAGGCCTGGCCACTGTAACCCGCAGACGATGAAATCGGAGCCTTTCGCTGGAAATCATGCTGGTAGTTCGAAGGGAAGGGCACGGAAACTGGAGCAGCAGCAGTTGCAGGAGCAGCTGCAACTGGAGCCGGAGCTGGTGCATCGCCAAAGTTCAAGAAGGACAGGTCCAGGCTATCGTCGTGTCCAACCGAACTCTGACCTTGACCTTGAGCCTGGGGCGGCGGCAGATAGGCGGGGCCCTTGCCCGCAAAATGGTTGTGAACCTCGAAGATCTGATAGCCGGAATTGCCATAGTTGCTCTCCTGGAATCCGCTACCCGTTTTGTAGTACTGCTCCTTGGTGATCAGCGGCTGTTGTTGTTGCTGCTGCTGTTGCTGTTGCAACTTGAGCGATATATCCGCTTGGGTTAATCCACATAGCGCACAGATGGCGAGCGCAGTAAGGGCGCCAAAGAACTTAACCGAGAACGGAAAAAAAACACAATTTTTGAGTCACAGTAAAAAAAAATTGGGGGGTGGGAGTAATGTATCACTGATAAATGGTATGAGTATCCTTGGCTTAATGGTAATCCTTAGCCTTGGGTAAATGCGCTGCTTACATTCATCTTCACAGTGGTCGTGCTTGAGCCCTCGATGTCCAACCGATCAATGATGCCCCGATTGACCCGGCCACGCGTTTTATACAAGGGCCATCGCCAGTCCATCGTCATCCAAAAACAAGTCGACGCATCTTCATCTTCAGCGCCAGCGATCGACATCTCCATTTCCCCCTTCGATTTTCGAACTTCCATCATCTTTCGCCAACTTCGCTTCAAAGTGGGCAGAATGGGAGAGTGGGGGGGGGTTGAGGTCTTTCATTAGTTTGGGGTTAGTTGGATGCTGCGCAACATTTTCGGATAGTTGCGCTTTGGCTTTGGCCAGTCGTTCGCATTTCGCTCAAAAATGCAGATTCGGCTTATTGAGTTATCGCCGGTCTACTACTACTACACCCAGAAAAACAAATAGCCAGTAAAATGTGTAAGACAATCAAAAAAGGGCTTGACTTAATGGTATTTGCCAATATACATGATAGGTATTTAAAAAAGAATGTGTGGAGTAGTGGAAATTGGACTAAGCCTATCTTCTCGCCTTGACCTTTGACCCTTGGGTATTCCATACATTGTACACAATACTGTTTAGGATTAGTTAAGAGTCTAAAGAGTTTTCTTAAAAAAATTTGTATTTATATGTACAAACATTATTTTAAAAGTGCTATTAAAAAATATTTTAAATAAATTATGTATTAACGAACTTTTTTTTAATAAATAAATAAATTTAAAAAGTGAATAGTGTGGCCATGATTATATTATACAGGCAAATACAATCCTTTTTCTCATATTCGGGCCAAAAAGTTTCTAAATATGTTAAAATATTATTTTAAAAAAGCCTACTAGATATGATATGAAATAAAACATGTATTAATAAACTTTTCTTTAACAAATAAGTAAATTCAAAAAGTAAATAGCGGATATAGCCATGCTCTTTCTCAGTGTATTCCAGCTAATCCCCGATCCCGTGTGCTTTGGGCGGATGTAATTAATACGCCTGCTCCCAAAATACCTCGGAGATTGGACAGCGGACATCGGACATCAGACAACGGACAGCGGACATGGGACATTGGCTATTGGCCATCGGACATGGGACATCAGTCACTAGTCACTGGTCACCGGTTGCCGTGGGTTCTCCGGCCGGATTGCGCAATACGGGTGGCTCGTTATCGGGTGGCTTGGATTTCCTGTTATTAGCTTTGCATATATGTACATTTGCATCGGATCTTCGGCTTTAAGTTTGTTTTATTTTCCATGGGTTTCGCAAAATGCCCGCTAAATAGCTGGCTGGCATTGCCAAAAATGATTACATCTGTCATTAGCAAATGCGTGTCGGCTCGCCTCGGTTTTGGGCCATGAATTAAACATTAAACATTGATAAGCATATCGCCTCAACTCCGTTGAAAATAATGCCACCTGCCCACCGATATCTTGTGCAACATCACAGGTTTATTAGGGTTTAAAATTAGCTGTTATCTCTAATTTGCAGTTTGGTGAAGGAAAATTCGAATACAGTTTCAAAACATATTTTAATTTTTAAATATAAATGTTTTAATGACAGTAACTGGTAATTAAACTAACAACTAAGGCATAATTAAAAGTAAATAAAGCAAACATACAAATTAAAACAGCATATAAATCATCAAAATTTGTTTATATAGTTTTTAGATCAACAGCTACAAATATATTTCATAAGTTTTATTATTTCCGTTCGATTATTTAATGATGCATATGACACAAATAGTTTTAGGCTTTGCAGAACTTTCATGTCTATACAAAATCAAAACAAATTCCGAACAAAAGGTTCACCATTCACACATTGCCTATCTATAAAACTCGTAAAACATGACTCTATTGAAAGTCGTTCGATACCAAAATCACAGCAAAACAGATGGCGTTGTATAACCATTATAGCGACATCGTTTATTTGCTTTTCCGCAGAAAGCCGTGTAATTTTCCCATGGCGGTGGTTTCCCCCCATCGTCGATAATCGAGAAACCTTGACCCATCTTGGCTTAAATATTTTATGCATATTTGGCCCACAGACAAGCCAATGCATACAAATGCCGAGCCATCGCTAACAACTTGGCCAACACAAAAAGGCCGGCTGAAAAAAAAAAGGCCGACGAGATGGTCAACAAAGGCGGGACATGCAAATAATTGAATCGAATTGAATTGAATCGAAATATTGGCCAAACAAAAAGCAAGGGTCTGGCCCAAAGATACTTATTAACTGATTAAATAAAACAATGTGTGAACGTTTTTTATCAGATCGCATTATTGTGGATTGCATAATTATGCCGTATTTTAAAATAAGTATACAAGTATTATGGAGACAGGCAACGAACTAAAATAAATTAAAAGTTATGCCCTGCAAAGGTATTTTATTTGTTCTATCATTTTATATATATATATATATATATATATCTTATATATATATTTTTAAAAACATAAAGCTTAAGACTCTTTCTACTTTCCAATTTAATTTAGCAAAATAGGAATAGTAGTGTAAAGATGATTCCAATAAAAAAGTTAGAAGAAATGATGTTCAGTATTGTTTACAAAAATAAAAGTATAATTTACACTTTGCTCAAATCATATGCATTTTCTTATTATAATATAATTGTAATGCAGTCAATTTAAAAACCAAATAATGCGTTTACCCTCAGCAATTATACCCCATTAATCAATCCATTATGGAAATTATTACAAAAAAATGAAGTTGTGAAATGGATGTTGTTGTAACTCTATCCGGAATTTGTAGGCCCATCCTCAATTCTTCCATGCCATAAATTTACGATCAACTTAAATTAGCATCAGAGATATATTATTAATTATTTATGAGAGTTCCCCTGCAGTTTGTTGGCATAACTAAAAAAATTTGATATGCTTATTGCCTGGCTTGTTAATTATTTAATTTCTCGCTCACTTTCCCTCTCTTTCTGACTCCGGCCCTCTCTTTCCCGTTCTCTGTGAAAATGTGAAAATATATTTACATTAACAAACATCGCCACCCATTAGTGGGTCCATTGGAGGTTGATTTACATACTTATTGACTATGCATACGGTTGGAATATTTATCCAAAATATATTTGTGCCATATGCCAGCACTAAAACAACAGCAACTGCAATATAGTAAAGCCACACAGAAAGAAATAATATTACTTATATGAATATAAGAATTTAGGTCATTAAAAGTACTGATATTTCTACATAATACTTTATACTAAAAAAAAAAATAAATATATTACTAAATTATAGTTTTTTATTTGATGAACCACTTTAATTAAAAACCATCAATAATTTGTTTCTGTGTAATCGAAATATTTGGCAAAGCCGATAAAGATAAACAAACTTACTACTACAAAAAAACACGATACGAAAAATGAAAACGAAAAGAAAAGGGAAACCGAATCGATTTGATAAACGTGTATGAGTAGTGGGTGGTTTAATAGGTTTATAGCTTTTCAATGAAAGAATTTTTTTATTTATTTAGACCGAAAATGTATTTTCACCAATTGAAAATATGAAATCTTCTTTTAAAGGTAACAGTTTCCTTTCTTTGTTTAGATTTTTCAAAACTTTCTTTTGGAAATATCATTTTATAACAACACAATATGAAAAACACTTTTTGAAATATTAAATAAAATTCTTTTTGAAATTAAATATTAGTTCTGTCCAAACTATTTTACATTTATGAGTAACTGAGGCTCAAGAACAAATCCTGATAAACCGAAATGCCAATGCACTAAGATGTTTTCGTTTGTTGGTTTCTTTAATTGAAACTTTCAGAAATCGTGAAGCGACCCTCGCAGCATCTGGCCGAAGATTGCCCATTGACGGATGGAACCGGTGTCGTCGGACTACTAATTGATACATGAAACCTGAAGAGTCGCCGGCAGCCAAAGCGGCGACCTCTTGCCCAAAAAAAAGAGGGATTCGGAGGGGTTTTCCGCCAAAAAAAAAAAAGGGCGTGGCGCCTTAGGAAGTTCGGGGCTGAATTCGGCTTATTTGTTTTGCGGGCCTTAACAGTGACGATTCATTGATTGACCATTATCTATTGAGACATGCCATGCAGAAATGATTTGGATTTTTTAAATTTGAATTTTTAATTACCCCTGCTGGCCAATATTAACTATCCCTCTGTCCTTGCGGAAATAATTGCTGCACAGGAAGAAATTATATCATCTTACTCTTGGAAATGTAAAGGGTTTAGAGAAAACAGGTATGAAGTTCATACTAATTAAAGCTAAAAAATATAATATGGATTTATACTAATAAAATCTTATGCATTTTCTTATTGTTATATATTTGTAATAGTCAATTGTCAATTGGGAAATCAAATATTGTTTCAGATATTGCACCCATTCGAACTTTTATAACGATTACAAAATTACAAAGATTAAAGATTACAATATTACAAAATTATGATTATACTCTCATTTTATTCTAGACAATAGAATAATACATTGTAGACCAGAATAATGGTCATTATGTACACAATGCACCCAATTAACGACTAATAAAATGTTCTTTAAATAATCTGTATTCTACATAGTATAAAAATGTATTAATTGGGCTATAAATACTGTGATTTATATTTTTGTAAGCAATATGACTAATGGTCTGGTCTTCTGGGTCGTGATTTAACCTCTGACACGTGTGCTACGATTATTATTATCATTATAATCGTAAGTGTGGATAAATTAGCATGGAAACTGTGTTGACGATTTATTAACCCCATTTTGACATCGATCAATCGATCCACTGACAATTCATTTACACATGTCCTTCAGCCGCCACTTTAACTTCCCTTTCACTTTGGTTTTAGGTTGCTGGCCATCTGTTGTTGCCAAGTCTAAGCTTTAGTTCGGGCCATCATCTCTTGGGGCCAGCCAATAAATTAATTAAAGAGGTAGGAAAAAAACCAACATAAAATTCCAATGGCTCTGCCGCTGTTTTTTCCTTAGGGAATTGAGAGTGGTACAATAAGTAGCTAATAATTACGGGAAAACCAATTTTATTTTTGGGATATTAGAGAACTAGATAAACAATTAAAGCAATAACCTAATTAAATTATTATAAATTATTATTATCGACCAAAAATGAAAAACCAAGTTTTGAATGCAGTTTTTTAGGGAATTAAACCACGATCTTTTAGAGGTATTCCACTTGGAAATCAGATTTCTGCGAAAAAAGTTATGGACTTAGAAGTGCGGTTTTTGGGTCACTTTTCTGTAAAGTCGTTTTTCGGAAATTTTACCTCATGAAAAATGACAAAAAATTGACCAAAAATTAAAAACCAAGTTTTGAATGCAGTTTTTTAGAGAATTAAATCACGAACTTTTAGAGCTATTCCACTTGGAAATCGGATTTCTATGAAAAAAGTTATGGACTTAGAAGTGCGTTTTTTGGGTCACTTTTCTGCAAAGCCGTTTTTCGAAAATTTGGAAAGGGGTTACCTCATGAAAAATGACAAAAAATCGACCAAAAATTAAAAACCAAGTTTTGAATGCAGTTTTTTAGCGAATTAAGCCGCGAGCCTTTAAAAGTATTCCACCTGAAAATCGTATTTCTGTTAAAAAATGTATGGGCTTAGAAGTGCGAATTTTATAATAGTAAAACCGTAATTCCGATTTATTTATTTAAAAAATTATGCTTAGCTATTGGCAGCTGGGTATCGTACCCTAAAATATTTAGAGAATTAGGCAAGCTAAGTGTACATAGACTTTGATTTAAAAAGGCAATTAGATCTAATAAATATTTGTAACATATATTTTGAGTATCAGAATTTCAGTTACAAATATTTTATTTTTGATTTGTTGGCAACAGATGCGAATAAAATAAAAATTAAAATTTTCCAAATAGTTTTTGTTTTAGCAGCTTTTGTCATGAATGGGGCAATAAACATGCTACCAACGATGTGTCACTGTCATTGTCTTGAACTGATTTAAATACTATTAATTGGCATAGAGACAACCGACGATATTTGCATACCATTTATCGTATTTATATCTGGACATATTTGGCAATGCCACCGCGATTGACAAAAGATCTGCGAATTTCCAAAAGCCAGTCAATGAAGATCAACAAATAAAAGCTGACAGTCCGTACATAAAACAGTTAAAAAGATTTATTGTGTTTGAATGGGGCATTATCATAGCAGTGGCAATAATTTTGTTTGCAAAATTGTCGTTTAGTAACCCAAATCCGTCACGATTTCCCAATCGCATTACCTTTGATATATCTGGGTGTGAATGCAGATACCCAGATGCCATATCAGTTATAAAAATAACTCGGGCAAGTTCCCAAAAACTATTATGCTGATAAGATAGACAATAGTAAGAATAATGCATTAGTGGAAATTAACTATAGTTGCAGATAAGGGTATTCCCTAATTCCATTTGATAAGTACGTGCTATGAGTTATCATCTTACATATTTTCCATATAAATATCAATTCAGAAATTATGAAATATGAGGAAGTTCGATCTTAACTACTTTCATACCTAATTTAATTTTGTTTTTATATTTTGTCAATAAACCGAACTAATTTCTAATGATATGGGTGCAATGAAGTATTGTTTTTATTAATTGGGTAGTGTCATGTTATATTGAGTTCAAATGATAAGATTTTCTCTGTGCAACTGAAACTGTTTTTAAATATAGGGCACTAGAGAGCCCTTATCAACAGATCTCTACCGCTTAATTAAGAGCTTTTTATTGCCCATTAATTATAAAATGATTGCTCAATTAATTGGACCTCTCTCTTTATTTTGACTACATACTCTACCACACAGCAAAAGGTTCTTTTATTGACTCAGCTTGTTCTGATACAGATCTAAGACATACAAACTATGTTCTCAAAACGCTTATCCCTGTTTCCGGGTGGAACTTCAATAAACAAAATATTACATGTAGGTAGATAAAAATCCCCGGGTAAAAATAATAAGATTGACACAACGACAAGTATGCGATCTAAAACTAATATAGATATCTTAAATTTATCTTACAATATTTTCTTTCTTTTCTTGTTTCTACAAGAGCTCTATGTTATATCTAAATATCTTAACTAGAACAATGCCATCTGCAACATATAGGTTAACGCACTAAGCCTAAGGACCGCCCATTTAAAACACTCGTTATTTACCTTTAGCTATCAAGTTATGGTTGCTTTTGCATGTATTTAAAAAAAAAAGCATTCTGTTTCCGGGTGGGGTCCTAACAAAAAAATATTACATGTCGTTGGATTCGGGGGGTGGGGTGTGGGTGGCCCCCCAAAAAAAAGAAACGCCCTTGGGGGAATGAATACGTTGTGGCTAAGACGAGATTGACAACATTTGGGGGGTGGGGGATTGGGTGGCGGTCGGGCTCCCTTCCACATCAACACGCAAGGGCTTAAACAAGGCTAGATCCCAAACCCGATCCTCTACAGGCGGCCGTAGTGCGCCTGACTGGGCTTTCGGTCCGTGAAGAAGTTGCGCAGCACCATGATCTGGACGAGACCGATCAGGATGACGGCGGCCGTCTCCAGCGAGGACCAGATCATCACCCGCTGATTGAGATCCTCGGCCCGCTTGCGGCCCTGCGCCTCCCGCAGACGATGATGCGTCTGGGCGTCGAGGATGTCGTTCAGGCCCTTGTGAATCGCCTGGGAGGAGGTCTCCATTTGGGTCAGCACGGTCGCGTGCTCATCGACGCCCGGCAGGGCCGGCTCCTCGCCCACTTGGAAGTCCACGTAGACGATCTTGTGTGAGAAGGCCGAGAATTGATTGCCAAAGCAGGCCGTGTACACGCCCGTCGTCTCCGCCACAAACTGGTGGCTATCGAAAGTGGCCTTCTCCAGCTTGTAGATCACCTTGCCCTGCGGATCCTTCAGGGTGACATCCACATCCAGCTGACCGCCGGCCGACACCTGGAACTCAAAGTAGGCGCTGGAGTTCTTCTTGATTTCCTCGTAGAAGCAATCCTCCGCATTGTCGGCCAGGTCAAAGGTGAACTCCACGGCGGCGATGCACTGCATCAGGGCCAGAATGACCAGAATTTGTGTGTTCATGGCTATTTGGTATCTGCTGGTACTCCGCCTTCCTGCTCCCAACTTTTTTCGTCTATTTTGTGACAATTCACCGCCTGCGATTCCAATTCCAGCTGCAATGTATGGGTAATGGAAACGTCAAGATTCCGGCCGAATGCCACTTGTCACCGCCTGCGGCTGCACTCACCCAGCGTTCGTCCGGATTACGTTTTTTTGTTGCTAATTGCTAAAATATGAGTCCCATAAAAACACTAAACTCTGGCCGAAATGTTCTGACACGTGTCAACACTCTTTTTGCCGGCCGCTATGCAACACTGCAGGAACACGTATGTGTTATCGGCTTTTGAATCGAAGCCTATCGGGAACTGGCGGTTAAAGCTAGAGTTTACAGGTTTTTTGAATAAATATTAAGCTTGGCAAAATCAATTACATTTTACGTGTTATTTTTTGCTATACAACATAATTAATTCACATTACATTTATATTCCTTTGATCAAGAAAATTTTACAAATATTTGTTATAAAACCATTGGGAATAAAAATAATTTTAAGTGTTAATGTTAAATATTCAAAGTGAGTTTTTCCATTTTTTAGTCACCGTCGACTATTTATTGTATTTTTTGTATTAAAAATAATAAACTATACCTATAACAATTGGTATATTTAATTCTTTACAAAATTATAAATGCCAAGATTTATATTTTTGATATTCTCAAAATACATTACATTTCTATATTCTAAATGTAAGGTCATTCATGGATTCATGTCCACCTAACGAGACATTTTTAAAGGTAAGTAGTACAAAAGTTTGAAAATGCTGTCTTTGATGGCAATTCCTCACACCTGCAGGTGGAGCAGGGCAAAGTTGGTGAGGATGGTGATCAGATTGTTGGCGGTGGACATGCCCAGGATCTCGCCGGCGTTGTTATCCAGGGTGATCAGATTCTGTTTGCCCACGGTGACTGGCGGTCCGTTGCGCTTGCGCAGACCTCCGGCGGAATCGTTGCGCGGCCGGTAGACGAGCACGTGGCGAAAGCTCTCGCAGATGACCACATATTCCAGATCCGGGCAGCAGGCGGTGAACTTGCGCTGCTCCTTGGAGGCCTGCACATAGCCGAAGGCGTGCAGCTGTCCCTCATGGCGGACGCTCCACACGTCCGGTCGACTGGGCTGGTACATCTGCAGCCAAACGGAGGCGTCGACACCTTGGCGCGTGGCAAAGGCGGCCGGGAATCCGGGACGCAGCGTGGCCGAAAACAGCAGTGGCGTGGAGCCCAGGAAAATGGTGTGGGTGATGTCCCCCCCGGTCAGGTTGAAGCGCACTGGAAGAGATCGGGAAAATATTATTTTATTTTTGAAAAGAGAAGACCAGATTTTTAAATTGCCCTAACATTAATAAACTTTTTATATTTATTTTATCGTATTTGTTTTGATGTATATATTATATTAACAAAGGCAGGGCAAGTTGAATAGAAATATACATATAAATTATCATTTTAATATATAATTGGTTCAAAACCCACTTCTGTTAACAAATTTTTATATATTTCCAGCAAAATTACTATAATTTCTAATGGTTCCGAAACATGATAATGGTTTTAATGAACATATAATACGAATATTTATTTCTGATTACTACTCACCCATCTTGATGTCCTCGTCGGGTAGCCCCAGGTCGCATTCCTCGATGGGATCCTCGAGATTGGGGATGGGCAGCGGCGGATCGGCCATGGTATCCGGTTCCTCCTCACCTCCAGCCTCGCCGGGCGCCAAATCCTCCTGCGTGAGCAATTGCGGCCAGTGCTGGTGCTCCGCTTTGACCAACGTCAGTTGCAGGCCATCGGCCTCCATGGTCCAGGTGGTCAGATCGTTGTCCACACCGGCGTATAGCTCCCCGCAGAGGAGCTTATGGTCCAGATGGTTTACCAATACAGTGGAGCTAGTGCAGCGTATGTCAAAGTCGTTGCGACTGGCAGCCGCTGGCAATTGGAAACGGATTAGCACATCATCGTCCGTTTGGGTCCAGCTAAAGCTGTGCTCGCGATCGTGACCATTTTGGAGCTGGACAACTGGAGGAACTGATGAAACAGCAGCTGCAGCAGCTGCGGCTGCATCATCGGCTGCCTGGCGCTGCTCGGGTGTCTGCACCTCGCGATTGCTGGCGATGATCAGGGACTCGGCGCGTGGCTCAAAGGCGCAGTAGTGAACCGAACCAGTGGTCTCCAGTCGCTGGCAAACGCTGTACGCCCACTCGCCGCTGGCCAGGCATTGGGTCCAGCGTCCCCAGGTGAGGTCCATGTAGTAGACATGCGTCTGATCCCTGCCCACCACACGACGTGCCACGTGACCAGCCACCAGGGAGATTTGCTTCCGCTCCTGCACCACATCCAATCGGGCGTCGTAGAGCACAAAGCCGCGGTGCTCACTGCCATGATCCACCGGCGTGCGGGTGATCCGCTGCCACGTTTCCAACCCCGATCGCGATCGATCCCCGGTGTCCAGCAGATGGTACGACGTCATTCCATCGCAGATCACACAAAGGCGCTCCGAGAGGAAGCACACAGAGTAGTTGTAGTCCCCGGAACGATGGATGTGACCGTCGCCCTGGTCGCGGTACTCCAGGGCGTAGACAACCCGCTGGCCACGTGCTCGTCCGCTCTGCGGATCGTAGATGCACTGCACCAGCTGGTGGCGCACGTTCACATAGTAGCTGTGGTGGCGCAGCCAGGGATCGGCGAACAGCAGGTTGTGGCGGGCAAACAGCTCCACGTGCAGCAGCGAAAACTGATTGGGGTGCGGCTCCAGGCGCAGGGGATTGGATTCGAGCTCCTGGCGGAGCACCGGCACCGGATCGAAGGACAGCTTGTAGCCATCGAAGTTCGGACACACCAGGCTGCGGTCCACGCTCAGCTCCACCACTGGCATACTGATACTACTCCTGATCCTGATCCCGTTCAGAAGTCCTTCGTACTTACAAACCAATAGAATGGAATGCAAATTCCGAAAAGAAAACAAAAATCAAATCAAAATCGCACGACAGCTGGAAAGTGATGGAAGTTCTTGTACGATTTCTTATCGACTTTTTAATCGATATAAGCTTACTTTGAAATTCTAAATAATCTGGGCTTTTTTTAATAAATAACTGATTTTAACGATATTTGTTTCATATTTTATACGTTTCAAGTATATTTTGACAATTAAGTTGCGAAATAACTGGTGCATTTTTAAATGACAAACTAAATTGTAAAAATGGTTTTACATAAGATATTAACAGCAAACACAAAATACCGTTAGGATTATAAAAATATATTTAAGGAAGGTAAATTTTGATTTTGAAAATAAATTAAAACAGAAAAGAAAATAACATTTTGAAAGTTCAGTAATCTTAATATGCAAAACATAGTTTGCATTTGCGAATTTACAATAAATCTGTAAGTAAATCGTTTAACAATTTTGAAAAGGACCGCCAAATAAAATAGAGAGGGATAAATGACATAGGTCATTTATGTCTATGTTGTCTCTCGCTTATCGTCCTGCTGGGCCAGTTATGATTCCCAAGTGCGAGTTCCGCGAATGCTGAGTATAAATAGCGCTTGCGCAGAGGCCTATTTCGGCGGTCGTGTGCCTCACAGTAATCAAGGGTTGTTCACCTTTCCCGAATAATTGTGATCCAAAGCGAATAATCCCCTCTATATAAAATGGTTGGGGGGAAAACCGTTAACAAACAAAAAAACCAACAACTCAAAATATGAAATTACAAAATTAAAATATACTGTGAGTCGCGCTGGCGGGGAATTAATCCTCCCCCACCAGTGATCGCTTTTTTTTTATATTTTATTTACTTATGTTATTTTCTTATATATGTTTAAACCATGTGATACAGTCGTCTATTTTGTATATACACCAGTGATCGCTTTTTTTACATTTTATTTACTTATGTTATTTTATTATATATGTTTTAAAACCCATTCAACTATATGATACAGTCGTCTAATTTATATATATTTAATACCTAATGTCCTCCTTATTTAAAAATATATAAATATATAAATTTAAAAACCATATTTAATTTTTTTAAAGTTATTGAGATTTCTTGAACTTAAATAACAATTTTTATTTAGTTCTCTTTCGATTGGGGAGCCTAGATTTCCTTCGGCAAATCTGAATTGCTTGTAGAGTCAAGTTTATGAAATAAATTTAACCACATATAAAAATAAAATAAATAATAATTGTATTAAATAAAATTTCCTCAACCTTTAATTTATATATTTCGGCATTTGGATAGCAAACATTTCCTACAAGGAAGGCTATGATCATTTTGAATGGAATTAACAGTGCGCAAAAACTGTAGTGGGATTTTGGAAACTTCTTAGAGATGGAAAAACATAGGTTGTGCTCTGTTAAACATCGATATCGCCTATTTTCGATACTCGTGAGCGATGGGGAAATATCGATTACGCTCTGTTAAACATCGATTAAAATATGTTAAACATCGACGCTGGCATCGATGAAGCCCCACCTCTAGTGTGAACGGGACGGGAGACATAACGGGAGCGGAGCAGCTGTTGCCTGCTAATTGGAAAATTAAACACAAAAATTGTGAGTTTCGTGTGGAGTTTGGCCAAGTGAAAAGGGACGGCGGCGGCACTTACGACGCCACAAGAAAAATCACAGGCAGTGGCGAAACGACACTCCAAAGTATTTGTGACACAATCGGTGAACACTCTCGCACACACACACCCACACACACTCGAGTGCAAAAGAGACGGCAAGGGAGCGAGGGGCAACTCAAGAGTTCAACAAAATTTCCAGTTTTTCCGTCGCGTTCAACACACAACAAATAATGCAAGTGCAGTATGCCGACGAGTGACGAAGAAGCGACAATGTCCACGGTGCGCCTGCCCATTGTGGGCATGACCTGCCAGTCGTGCGTGCGCAACATTCAGGAGCACATTGGTCAGAAGTCCGGAATCCTGGGCGTACGCGTCGTTTTGGAGGAGCAGGCGGGCTACTTCGACTACGATCCAGGCCAGACGGATCCCGCCCAGATAGCCAGCGATATCGACGACATGGGCTTCGAGTGCAGCTATCCAGAGTCGGGGGCGGGGGCGGTGTCGGACACAAATCCAATCCCCTCCAGCGCCTGGACGAACATCCGGGTGGTGGGCATGACCTGCCAGTCGTGCGTGCGCAACATCGAGGGCAACATCGGCACCAAGCCCGGCATCCGGTCCATTGAGGTGCAGCTGTCGGCCAAGAATGCCCGCGTCCAGTACGATCCCGCCCAGTATGATCCCGCCCAGATAGCCGAGCTCATCGACGACATGGGCTTCGAGGCGTCCGTGGAGGAATCCGTACAGCCCAGCCAATCGCCCGCCCGCGCCTCATCACCCAAGAAAAGTAGTGCTCCTCCTCCTCCAGTGGCTCAAAATGGTTCGGCGGTGGCCATTCCGATTGAGCAAGAGTTCCTCACCAAGTGCTTCCTGCACATTCGGGGGATGACCTGCGCCAGCTGTGTGGCGGCCATCGAGAAGCACTGCAAGAAGATCTACGGCCTGGACAGCATCCTGGTGGCCCTGCTGGCCGCCAAGGCCGAGGTCAAGTTCAATGCGAATGTCGTCACCGCGGAGAACATCGCGAAATCCATCACAGAGCTGGGCTTCCCCACGGAACTCATCGATGAGCCGGACAACGGCGAGGCCGAGGTGGAGCTGGAGATCATGGGCATGACCTGCGCCTCCTGCGTCAACAAGATTGAGAGTCATGTGCTCAAAATAAAGGGCGTTACCACCGCCTCCGTTACACTGCTAACAAAAAGAGGTGAGTTGAAGAACAATCATTTAAAAATAATTTTTTATTAAAATTCTTCACCATTTCTATAAATCAAAATTAATAGACTTTTTCGATTGACAATCATAGTTTGATAATTTGGAAACGAAATAATTTTAAAAATTCAAATTAGTTCTATACAAGACTTTTAAAAATAGTTTTGAAAAAGAAAAGATTGTCAATTATAAAAAAAAATAGTATTAAAATAGTTTCGATACTAGTAGAAATACATTTTACATATTTAATTCAAAATACTGAAAGGTTTGAAAAGAATAATCACAATTTAATATTACATTTTAATCATAGTAAATAATATTCTATAATAATAATTACTCTTTGGTAAAATCTTAATTTAACTGAATATTTAGTAATTTGAAGTGCATGTTTAGATTTATTGTTTATCAGAATTGAGTGCAATTTGCTCAGTCGTAGTTGTTATTCATAACACAATAGCTATTGGACTATTCGAAATCGGGGCGGGGTCATCCACTGCAATCGGGAATCTTAGCATTCCACAAGTGCAAGTGACAAGTGTTACGCAATATTTAGAATCAACACCTCAAACCAGGCCATCAGCCGAGTAGCACCTGTTGCGGTTTATTTTCAACCACCTCCCACAGCTGGTGGGAAATTCCCATTAAATTTGATCCGATATCTTGTATACCCTTGAACTTAAGGTATACAATAATACGACAAATTCAAGGAAAAGTCACTTTACCTTAGTTTATAAATATTATAGGGTAAATTTAAAGACTGATCCATTTCCTAAAGTTGCAAAAAAAAAATGCAGCGAACTTGAATCGTATAATATATGCATATCTATCATTTCAAGAACTGGTTCTAGAACTAACCATATTTTACGCTGGTAAATTATTATAACAATATCCTTTTCAAGAGTATTTAAAAGGTGGCCCTTATTATTTGTATCTTATTTTGGGGAAGCAACAGCTGTGTTCTTTATTAACCTCTTAACATCGACTGCCTGAAATCGGTGCAAATGTTTTGTTCGCTATTCACAATTGAAAACCTGCAAACAATTGCCGAATTGTTTATTGCAACTGATATACTCGGTTTACTTAATGCTCCATGGCCTGGGTCTTATATTTTCGGAAGGGTGGGAGGTTTCCAGCGATAAGGAAGTACCCGGGGATAGCACTACTATACTAGGAACACTATACTTCGAGCAAACAATGGCAATGGCGACTAGATTAAAGTGCTTAGATCTGCGCTCGTGTGCGTGGGCAGTAAAGTTATCTGGAGCAGTCAGGGAATTTAATGGGCGACAGAAAGTGAGAATGTGAATATGCAGAAATGCACATATACCAAAACTAAAGGAAATGTACCCAAAAGATTAGAAATTTAAGCTTTATTATGTTGTAAACCGAACCTGTTCTTTAAATTTAATCTTCTATGCAGGTACATTTTAGTAGAAAATATTTACATCGGCACTATTTTTAGTTAATTTTAATAATGCATAGTCATCATTAAATGAAAAACAAGGACTTAAATAAAAATGTTAACAGAAATTGTAAAAACTGAACTCTAAATTTATTTTAATAAGTAAATTATATAGAATGTAAAACATTTATTAGCGAGTGTTCGGGAATAATCATATAAGATTATTATAAGTGAAAGAGCGAGGGATCAAAAAAAGATTGGTGGCCGAAGAACAAAAGACAGGGTGTGATTGTTGGCTGTTTATTTTCAAAGACTTTGATTGCCAATCGAGTTATGGGCCATAACTTATGGCCATGCCTTTACCAACTGGCATTTAAGCCTTGAAATTGAAAGTCCGCCTGGCCAAAACCAAAACAAAAACAAAAGTGAGAGCTCAAACACACGCCCCAAAATATATATATATATATATATATATACATATATATAATATAGCAATATATATACCCACGATCGCAAGCAGCAAACTGTGGAATTAATCTCGCTTTTGTCTGGAAAGAGGGAGCCCGCTCTCTTTTTGAATTTGCTCTCCCTGTTTCGCATGCGTGACCACGAACTCCAATCCACTTATTACACAGCAAGAAAATAAGTTATCTGTAGCTCCAGTAGGTTGCGGATACCTTCTGATATTGGTAGAAGCTGCAAAGATAACTAATTCAGTGAAATATGTGAATGACTTTTTTGTAAGAATTTAATTGGGATTTTAAATATAACTCATATTTTTTGAACATCTTGTGAAAAATATTAGTTTTTCTTTTGTTTATTTATTTATTTATTGAAGAACCTGGTTTTTTTTATTATTAAACAGCGAATCAAACGAATCAAACTTACAAATCTATAAACTTTATTAACATTAATAAAAATCTATTTTGATCTGTAATACACAAAACAATTTTTTTTCAGACATTTAAATTTTTGTATTCAATTAATTACTGATTTATTGAAATAGCCTTGCAAATTTTTCTATGTGCATTTCCAGTTTCATTCACCTTCACTTTGATTTAGAGTTGTGTTTCTTTTTTTATTTCCGCTCTTGTTTGGCAGATCTTGATTTGAAATTAGTTGCGGATTATGCAATAATCACACATTGGGTTTAAATTCTTGCTGATTCAGGAAAATTGGTTTGCATACCTGGATTTACCTTTCATACGTGCGCCGTTTGAAAAATTCAAACACAACTTGGACAAAAAAAAAAATGCATAAATAAGAGCTTCATAATTATGATTGCAATAAAACTGGTTTCGGTTTCAGTTTACTTGCCTTTTGCGCTTTTTTCGCGTCTGACATGGATAAGCACACGGCGAAGGAAAGCAAATGAAACTATTTCGATTTATGGCACTGAAAATGATTTTAGACTTTCAAAAATAATATGAAAATGGTGACCTAATGCCAATGTCAATCAGTTACAGATGTATGATCATATATAAGCATTGCATCGAAGTTATTTTTCTATAAAATTTCTCAATCAGTATATTAAGTGGTTTTTGTTGAACATTTTTTGATTAAATCTGTGTTGCTCTGATCAAAAAACAGTATCTCGATATCTGCAAAAATGTATTACATTAAACCAGATACAAGTATATTCCTATTTTATATATTTATTTTAAATTTCAGATAAATTACTATCTATTGCTCTGTAAAATCCAAAACAATTTGTTGCTTTGAAACCCTCAAAATATATATGTGGTTTTTATATTCGATTCCCCCTTTTTTTTACTAAACCAAATGATAACAAGAAAGGAAAGCTAACTTCGGGCGGAGCCGAAGTTGATATACCCTTGCAGAATACTCTGTAAATTATATTCTCCAAAATTATTCATATGATGCATTCTTAATACTCATAAAAAATCCGAACTTCCTAACTTTAACAACAACAAAGTTATGGCATTTCCAATCGTTCAGTTATATGGCAGCTATAGGATATAGTCGGCCGATCCTTATGAAATTTGATAGGTCGGATTGATTGGCCAAAAATAAAATCCATAGAAAATCCCAACTTCCTAACTTTACAAACACCAAAGTTATGGCATTTCCGATCAATCAGTTATATGGCAGCTATAGGATATAGTCGGCCGATCCTTATGAAATTTGGTAGGTCGTATTGATTGGCCAAAAATAAAATCCATAGAAAATCCCAACTTCCTAACTTAACAAACACCAAAGTTATGGCATTTCCTATCAATCAGTTATATGGCAGCTATAGGATATAGTCGGCCGATCCTTATGAAATTTGGTGGGTCGGATTGATTGGCCAAATATAAAACCCATAGAAAATCCCAACTTTCTAACTTTACAAACACCAAAGTTATGGCATTTCCGATCAATCAGTTATATGGCAGCTATAGGATATAGTCGGCTGATCCTTATGAAATTTGGTATGTCGGATTGATTGGCCAAATATAAAACCCATAGAAAATCCCAACTTTCTAACTTTACAAACACCAAAGTTATGGCATTTCCGATCAATCAGTTATATGGCGGCTATAGGATATAGTCGGCCGATCCTTATGAAATTTGGTAGGTCGGATTGATTGGCCAAATATAAAACCCATAGAAAATCCCAACTTTCTAACTTTACAAACACCAAAGTTATGGCATTTCCGATCAATCAGTTATATGGCAGCTATAGGATATAGTCGGCCGATCCTTATGAAATTTGGTATGTCGGATTGATTGGCCAAATATAAAACCCATAGAAAATTCCAACTTCCTAACTTTACAAACACGAAAGTTATGGCATTTCCGATCAATCAGTTATATGGCAGCTATAGGATATAGTCGGCCGATCCCGGCCGTTCCGACTTATATACTGCGTGCAAAGGAAAGAAGGGTGTGTGCAAAGTTTCAATCCGATAGCTTTAAAACTGAGAGACTAGTTTGCGTAGAAACAGACAGACGGACAGACGGACAGACGGACATGGCTATATCAACTCAGGAGGTGATCCTGATCAAGAATATATATACTTTATAGGGTCGGAGATGTCTCCTTCACTGCGTTGCACACTTTTGACCAAAATTATAATACCCTCTGCAAGGGTATAATTACTTGCTTTCGGAAAAGATAATATTAAAATGAGAATTAATAGAAGTTGATTTAAATCAAATCCCTGCTGCTACTTAACTTTCAATCGATTCGGACTCAGACTTCAACTTCGGACTTCCATTAACTCCCATTAAAAAAGTTAAACTTGTAGTTTCTCATTTGTTACTGGGACTTCTGCTTGTTGTTACCTTGTTTTGGGTTTGTTTGTCAGGTCGGCGGTAGTCGGTAGTCGGAATTGGGAGTGTTAACTGTTGAGCAAAACATATGTTTTCTTCCGATTCTTATCGTTCGGCGATAAGTGCACGACAGCAACAACTACAGGCAATCTCAACTCAAATTGAAAATGTTCTAAAATTGTAACAACGAATTGCGGGCGATAAGATGAAGCCAAACAAAAAAAAATAAATAGAATAGGGAGCCCTATAAAAAGTATTTCGTTTAGAGTGGAACTTTTATTACACGAAAATATAATAAAATAGTTTAGTTTAAACTTACTTATTGCACTTGTATAAAATACATTTTTTTTGCAAATTAAAAGGCGGTGTCTTATTAAATTCTGTGCCACTTATTAACTATTTTTTTGCGATAGAATTGATTTATAGAATTTGGAATGTACACACGCACACGACCCGCACATCGTTTATCAATTGGGCGAAGATCGATCGGTAATTAGCGGCAATTGTCACCCTTCGTGTAATCAAGACATTATGCCACCCTAATCCTTCCTCCATTTTGCACACGTCCCGCTCGGTGTCCACTTGATGACCCGCTAATTGAACGATAAATGATAAGTCCGAATGTTATCATGTGTTTTGTCAACTATTTCCCTTTGCATCTGAAGTGATTCACTGGGTATTTTCTTAAAAACAAATATAGCATCTTATCTTATTGATTTAAGAACTGCCCATTTCTGAACTGATGATGAAATATGAAAATGGTGACCTAATGCAATTTAAAATCTTGTTCATTTACTGGCCTATCATTTTTTTTTTGCAGAAGAGGGGATTTTATTCACAGACAAGGGACTTTACACGCTTAAAACATTATATTTGTTTGTGTTTTCTTTGTCTGATGAGTGAATGAAAGGTTGTAGAAATGAATCAGTTCAAAAGAGTAGAATACCGGCTGATTATAAATTATTTAATATAATTTTAATTTGCCTAGCTGCCATCGAAGAGATTTCAAATGGAACTGAATCATCTTTGTTATTTTCCTTGAAGAGGTTGTTTAATATTAATTAGGGGAATAAGAGTTTCCGATATTGATAGACTTCAAAAATTCTAAATAAATTAATTTTGAGTTTTTCTGACCGAGAAAAAATACAATTGTTTTTTATTATATAAATTAACAAAAACAAAAATCTAACAGACATTAACTTTACTTTCAACTCTTTCAAAAGTCATTGTTAATGAAAAGTATAGTTTATAACAGAATATGTCATAAGTTTGTTTCTTTTCAGAAAAATGTAGACAATGTTTACACATTTTTTTGTATAAACCAATTGCGAATAATAACAACGACAGCAGGCAAATGCATTCAAAGCTCAAATTGATGTGCCATGTGCACAATTTATATGTGCCATAAGCGTCGATTATTTGCTTATCAACGAACCCAAATAGAACGTGTAACGCCTTCGCTTTGCTTTTTCCGACATAGGAAACGAATAATGAAATGTTTCTGATTCCGTCATTTTCTCGGATCGGATACGTAGAACTGAATAGGAACCTTCTGGGGGAAAACACAGAATCACAACAGATGGCATTAATATCAGAAATTTCGAGTTGTTGGGTAACCGGTGACATGCTAATAATCAGGAACAACGGCGATTTAGTTTCCACATTCGACAATGTTGAAAAGTTATCTTATCGGGAGCGTTGAACCTACAGCAACACCAGCGATATTTTGCCCTCAAGATTCCGGGAGCCACTGAGCCCCACGGATTTTATTTAATTTGTCTGCATTCGTTAGTTCTATTCATTGGCATATGTTCCTATCTATGGGATTTTTAAACCCTATAAGCCAATGATACCTTTTAAAATTGGGACTACTTTAAAGTAAAATAAATGGCTTCATTTTGTATGTACTTATTTTATATCCCTTAAAAAGACAATTCAAATCTTTCCTTCTTATTTAATAATTATTTACGCGACATGCTTGCCGGCTTTCTTAACTAAAATGGTAACACAAAACTTTAAAATTTTATTAAACTTCGTCAAAACAAAAAATGAAAAAGATGAACTAAAAACTTTAGTTAATTTCTTGCAAATCTTTGAATACAAAATATAGATACCGATGTACTTTACATATACGTAAAACTATTCACTATTGCAAATCGATTTTGCAATCGAATTCATTCGAATCTGTCGCGATTGAACCGGTTGCACGCTCCAATTTCAATACCAGAACCGGCATTACTTTTCAGTCATTAACATGAACAAGCAAATTTCATTTGACGCCGGCCAAAAGGCAACCTCTAAAGCTTCCCTCCTCCCCACTTCCCCACCACCCCCTCTATAAATATGTGTATGGCTGCCTTTCCCCCACAAAGTTTTCTCTGGGGGTCCCAGTAAAACACAGAAGTGGTAATAAAAGTGATAACAGCTAGAAACTGTGGTGAAATTGATATGAAAGTGAGATATATCATTTTATACCAAGTACATATATTTATTTAAATGAAAATCTTATTCTGAGTAGATAAAAAAATGTGTATTCATTATTAATTGTAGGTAGAATATTCGCCTTTATTATGGCTGTTTCTGTAGATCAATCAACATTGTTTATTGGCAATTTAATCTAGTTTCGCAAATTGTAGGCTTGAGATTATAACCATTATTAGCAGCATGCACCGTTCAATTGTAACTAGCTTTCTCTTTAATCAACTTTAATGACCACCACTGTAGACCGAATCCTCTGTGAATATTTACTGGCAATTGAAACCAGCTTTCTCTATTTTTATACCCTTGCAGAGGGTATTATAATTTTGGTCAAAAGTGTGCAACGCAGTGAAGGAGACATCTCCGACCCTATAAAGTATATATATTCTTGATCAGGATCACCTCCTGAGTTGATATAGCCATGTCCGTCTGTCCGTCTGTCTGTCCGTCTGTCTGTTTCTACGCGAACTAGTCTCTCAGTTTTAAAGATATCGAATTGAAACTTTGCACACACCCTTCTTTCCTTTGCACGCAGTATATAAGTCGGAACGGCCGGGATCGGCCGACTATATCCTATAGCTGCCATATAACTGAACGATCGGGAATGCCATAACTTTGGTGTTTTTAAAGTTAGAAAGTTGGGATTTTCTATGGGTTTTACATTTGGCCAATCAATTTGACGTACCAAATTTTATAAGGATCGGCCGACTATATCCTATAGCTGCCATATAACTGAACGATCGGAAATGCCACAACTTTGGTGTTTGTAAAGTTAGGAAGTTGGGATTTTCTATGGGTTTTACATTTGGCCAATCGATTTGACGTACCAAATTTTAAAAGGATCGGCCGACTATATCCTATAGCTGCCATATAACTGATTAATCGGAAATGCCATAACTTTGGTGTTTGTAAAGTTAGGAAGTTGGGATTTTCTATGGGTTTTATTTTTGGCCAATCAATCCGACCTAACAAACTTCATAAGGATCGGCCGACTATATCCTATATCTGCCATATAACTGAACGATTGGAAATGCCATAACTTTGGTGTTTTTAAAGTTAGGAAGTTGGGATTTTTTATGAGTATTAAGAATGCATCATATGAATAATTTTGGGGAATATATTTTACAGAGTATTCTGCAAGGGTATATCAACATCGGCTCCGCCCGAAGTTAGTTTTCCTTTCTTGTTTATGACTGGTTTTGTAATCGGTACACATAGAACAAATCCGGTTCTTATAGTCTACCAGTTTAGATTAACTTGCTTTGATTAAAAGGCAATTATTAACAAAAATGTAATGAGGCTACAAGTTAGACATACTTTTAAGAGTTTTTGGTTTATTTAATCGATGTTAATGTAATGATGTAATCCTACTTTTTTAAACAATTAAAATATGAAAATAAATAAAATATGAAATAAATAACAAATAATAGTAATCTACATTTATTAACTACTTTGGTAAATTTAATTATAATTTAATTATTAACTATAATTTGAATTTCTAGATTTTGCTAACTACTTTTCTTTGTTAAGTCTAAAAGCCACTAAATTATTATTGTTGTATTATTTATAATACTGAATATATTTACATTTTAATTTGACTTAACTAAAGAGACATTGCTAACGCTTAGTGAAGTTAAATAATATGAACATTACTTCTCTTAATATATTTATCACCACTGCAATTACATTTATATTTTATGGCACAAAAACTAATACAGACTCCTCTTGATTATCCCTTCCTCTAGGTAAATTCCGCTACAGCACTGAGGACACGGGTCCACGGAGCATCTGCGAGGCGATCGAGGGGCTGGGTTTCGAGGCCAAGCTGATGACTGGAAGGGACAAGATGGCCCACAACTATCTGGAGCACAAGGAGGAGATCCGGAAGTGGCGCAACGCCTTCCTGGTCTCACTGATCTTCGGCGGTCCCTGCATGGTGGCCATGATCTACTTCATGCTGGAGATGGACGACGTGGGACACGCGAACATGTGCTGCATCGTGCCTGGGTTGTCGATGGAGAATCTGGTGATGTTCCTGCTCTCCACACCGGTGCAATTCTTCGGTGGCTTCCACTTCTACGTGCAATCCTATCGGGCGATCAAACACGGCACCACGAACATGGATGTGCTGATCTCGATGGTCACGACCATCTCGTACGTGTACTCCGTGGCCGTGGTGATCGCAGCCGTATTGCTGGAGCAGAACAGCTCGCCCCTCACCTTCTTCGATACGCCGCCCATGCTGCTGATCTTCATTTCCCTCGGTCGCTGGCTGGAGCACATTGCGAAGGGCAAGACCTCGGAGGCGCTGTCCAAGTTGCTCTCCCTCAAGGCTGCCGATGCCCTGCTGGTGGAGATCTCGCCGGACTTCGATATCATCAGCGAGAAGGTGATCTCCGTGGACTATGTACAGCGCGGCGATATCCTGAAGGTGATACCGGGAGCCAAAGTTCCCGTGGACGGCAAAGTCCTGTACGGTCACTCCAGTTGCGATGAATCGCTGATCACGGGCGAATCCATGCCGGTGGCCAAACGGAAGGGATCCGTAGTCATCGGCGGCTCCATCAACCAGAATGGAGTGCTCCTGGTGGAGGCCACGCACACGGGTGAGAATACAACGCTGGCGCAGATCGTGCGTTTGGTGGAGGAGGCGCAGACCAGCAAGGCGCCCATCCAGCAGCTGGCCGATCGGATTGCCGGCTACTTTGTCCCCTTCGTGGTGGTGGTGTCCAGCATCACGCTGATTGCCTGGATCATCATTGGCTTCTCCAATCCCAATCTGGTGCCCGTGGCCATGGAGCATAAGATGCACATGGACCAGAACACCATCATCGTTAGCTATGCCTTCAAGTGTGCCTTGAGTGTGCTGGCCATCGCGTGTCCCTGTGCCCTCGGCTTGGCCACGCCCACTGCCGTGATGGTGGCCACTGGAACGGGAGCGATCAATGGTGTGCTGGTGAAAGGAGCTACTGCACTGGAGAATGCCCACAAGGTGAGATTCTTGAGATTCTATAGCTAGATATAATTTACTTGAGTGATCAACTTGTACTGATTCCCCACCATTCCAGGTAAAGACTGTGGTCTTCGACAAGACCGGCACCATAACGCACGGCACCCCGATGACCAGCAAGGTCACCCTGTTCGTCCAAGCACAGGTCTGCAGCCTGGCCCGAGCTCTGACGATCGTGGGAGCCGCCGAGCAGAACAGCGAGCATCCGATCGCCTCCGCCATTGTGCATTTCGCCAAGGATATGCTGAACGTGGGCGCAACTCCCCAGGGCGGTAGCTTTGGCAAGAGCAGCCACTTCCAGGCCGTGCCCGGCTGTGGCATCCGCGTCACCGTATCCAACTACGAGCAAACGCTGCGGCAGGCCTGCAACGCGGAACGCATCATCAACTATGAGAACCTGCACCGCGACCATCCACTGGGATCCGTGTCGGTGGACAATGGAGCCAGCATCGAGCACTTGCTGCCGCAGCACAGTGTTCACAAGTCCATGGAACTGAACCAACAGCAGTTGCTCTCCGACTTGGTCTTGGAGCAGGATGAGCAGCTCGTCACGGACCAGAAGATCATCGATGGCCCCGAGATACTGGTGCTCATCGGCAACCGGGAGTGGATGCAGCGCAACGCCATCGAGGTGCCGCTGGAGATCAGCGATTGCATGTCGCACGAGGAGCGGAAGGGACACACCGCCGTGCTGTGCGCGCTCAACGGGCAGCTGGTGTGCATGTTTGCCGTGTCGGACATGGTCAAACCGGAGGCCCACCTCGCCGTATACACGTTAAAAAAGATGGGCATCGATGTGGTGCTGCTGACGGGAGATAACAAGAACACGGCTGCCAGCATAGCACGAGAGGTGGGTTTGATTTGGTTGTTTATTTATAACTGCTTCTAATTTTGTCACCGTATCTAACTAGGTTGGCATCAGAACGGTGTACGCGGAGGTGCTGCCCTCGCACAAGGTGGCCAAGATCCAGCGGATCCAGGCCAACGGCATCCGCGTGGCCATGGTGGGCGATGGGGTCAACGACAGTCCGGCGCTGGCGCAGGCGGATGTGGGCATCACGATTGCAGCGGGCACGGACGTGGCCGCCGAGGCCTCGGACATTGTGCTGATGCGCAACGATCTGCTGGATGTGGTGGCCTGCCTGGACTTGTCCCGCTGCACGGTGCGTCGCATCCGCTACAACTTCTTCTTCGCCAGCATGTACAATCTGCTGGGCATTCCGCTGGCCTCTGGGTTGTTTGCTCCCTACGGCTTCACCCTACTGCCGTGGATGGCATCCGTGGCCATGGCCGCCAGTTCGGTGAGCGTGGTGTGCTCCTCGCTGCTGCTGAAGATGTACCGCAAGCCGACGGCAAAGACGCTGCGTACGGCGGAGTACGAGGCGCAGCTGGCGGCGGAACGGGCCGGTGGCTCCGAATACGAGCTGGATAAGTTGTCCCTCCATCGGGGCCTGGACGATCTGCCCGAAAAGGGCAGGATGGCCTTCAAACGGTCCACCAATTCGCTTATATCGCGCATTTTCATGCACGGCAACGGGGGCGTCACGTCGCCGGATGCCAAACACGAGGAGGGACTGCTGGATCCCGAGGAGCAGTACGATGGCCGCACCAAGATCGTGAGGAGTCGCTACCATGCCAATGACAGCACCGAACTGCAGAAGCTGTGAGCTCAACGATGGCAACAATCAAGCATCCACAATCCAACCGAGGACCTCAAAACGACAAATTTTCAGTAAAATTGTTAGCGGGCTTTAAATTGAACTAGTAAGAGAGCGAATTATAAAATCTATGTACATATTTGCAGATTGATTATTTTGACAAAGAACAAGTAGTAGGATACCAGGGTTATCTTTGATATATTCGCAGTTATAATATAATTTTGTATATCTCACATAAGCAAAAGTCAAAGGGAGGTTTTTATACGAAAAGTATTCTCAGTATGTAAATATAGCTCAAACAGAAAATATTTAATAAATATTTTAAGTACACTTTCTTGAACTACTGAGATGCATTTTTACATTAAAATACCTCCTTATTTATCTTTTCTTATTTTGAGGATAACAAGCTTAATATTTCATTGAAAGGAAAATATCACAGATTTCGTTAGGCCACTACTAATTCTAGGATTTTTGTTATATGGCAGGATTTTCTATTTTTCTAGACCCGCAAACGCACCGTCCCCTTCTTATCCTTCTTTTTTTTAATAAGAAACTCAAAACATTTATAAGCGTTTTTTGTTTTATAGATCCGTTTTCTTTTCCCGATTTATTATGCTTATCATTATTATTATTATTGTATACAAACGTTTTTTTTTGTGTTATGATCGATCGTAAGTTAAATATTATTATTAAGTTCAACTGAACAAAGGCAAACGAGTCGAAGATCTGGAGACAAAGCAAGACATCAACCATCATTGAACTATTGTTACTTATTGTTAATACGCATTATCATATATCCACATACGCAAAGGTAAAATAAATCAAAACCAAAAGACGAAAATCGAACAACTTGACCCTTCTTGAGGAGTCACTGACCCCATATCGGCTTTAATCCTTATTTGTGCAGTCCGGAGGAGGACGTACACTTGTAAAACAATTGGGCACAACTGTAAAACAAAGGGAAAAACATTCTTATATCTTTATAACTTTAGTGTTTATATACAAAACGCATTGTTATTGTACATATGAATAAAACAAAAAAAACCGGAGAGAGGAAACCCCCATACTAGCAAATTGCAACGCAAGTGTTTTACTTTACACTTTACAGACTGCCCTAATTTATATATGATTTAAATAAATATATATGCCCATAAAATTTCCGTGGCTTCTTAATCACGTGAATAATGGGAGGGTTCCTTTAAAAAAAACACAATTTGATTACTTTAAATTTTGATTTTTATTTCTGTATTTAATCAGTACGAAAGACAGCAAGTGCGATCGACCCACTTATGGTGTTTCAAAACTCCAAAATGCATTTGTCATTAGCTGCGTGTGTGTGAAAAAATTCAAATAGTTATGGATTCGCGTATTAAAAAACGAGAGCAAATCGCTGACTTGGTCAGGAGGTTGACGTAAAAGAGCTTGCATTCTGTGAAACTAATCTTCTACCTTTGGCTAATTAAACGAACTGAAATGGGTAAGGTATATGGAGTAGTGTTGGTTGGGTGGTGGGTAGGTTGCTACTCGAGGATCTCACGCCTCAGCCAATGCATCCTCAATGCGATCAGCGCGCGACGGATCCTCCTTCTCATATTGACTCTGGCGCTTGGGATATACATCCAGACCCTTCTTGAATTCGTTAATATCAAGGATGGCGTTTTCATTTCCAACTGGGGGTAAGAAGACGACATTCAGCTTGTTTTCCAGGGTCAGAAATAGATCCTCGTCGTCGGCCTCTTCGGATGAATCCACTTCCTCCTCATCCTCTTGGTCGTCCTTCTCAGTTTCACTCTCATCCTCCTCAGCTTCGTTAGCATCCTCGGCTTTGTCTTCGTCATCGGAAACGAGGTGGGAACCAGGCAAGGGTTCTGGCATATCGGCTGGCCGATGGCCAATGACCTGTACGGACAGCTTCCTCAGGTTTTTCAAATCGATTTCCATAAGAAAATTAATAATGTCGGACTTTTGAAGTGTGTGCAGTATTTCAATTTGGCGACGTCGACGATCGAAGAGATAATCCTCATTGATAATCTCGTCCCAGTTGCGAGCCATTTCCGAGCTTAGCGCCATGTCAGCCACCAACTTCAGCTTGATCAACGAGTCGCGGTTGTGTTCGTATTCGTCCTGCGGCATCTGTCGCAGAATTTGTAGCATTTTAGCGCGGAACACTTCGATGCGACCCTCCACATAGTTAGCCGTCGTCTTTGTCTCCTGCGAGTTGACCATAATGGTGTAGCCGGCAATTCCGTAGTTGATTCTAACAGTGGCGCCGACATGGTAGCCTAGCTGCTCCTTGGTCCTCAGTTGATCGAACAAAGGTTCGTCCACGAACATCATCATCAGATCGAGGATGCTTTCAACGCGAACTGAATTGGGTCCAATTTGGTAAAAGTTCGTGATCACTGTGTTTGTGTCCTGCTCATTTAGGGCATAGCATCGGATCACGTTGGTCCCCAGCGGCAATTGTATGGTCCTATCCTGCACATAGCGCTGCTCCTTGATCGCCTGGCAATTGAGGCGACTCAGCACCGAGTTCAGTACATTGTGAGCGGATTCCTCCGTGTAGTTGCCCTGTATGAGAGCCTGGATGTAGAGTTCCTTCGGGAACTGGCGGGAAAACTCGCGCAGGTCCTCCAAAGTAATATCGTTGAGGCACTTGTACTTGTCAATCGATAGCCAGCGTATTTGCTCCAGCACACAAAGACGAACATCCCTGAAAAAGAATGGGATAGATATACATATTCGTTAGTCAGGGAATATGTAATACATGCAATTTTGAAATGATGGAGGGATTTTTTACCTGTTGAGTGATTTTGGTTTGATCAGGTTATTGAAGATAGTCTTGCGTAGGTTCTTCCGGAAGGCAGCCAGCATCTTTTCGTCGAGGGTATCTGCCACGTGGAGCATGCCTTCAGCAATAGCTTCAACAATAAGATGGAGCTTCTCATTGTAACCGCTCACTTTGAGGAGCAAACCCTTCTCAAAGGTGTTGAAGGTGTACGAAAGGCCGGCACTAATGGCTGGATACAGTTCCTCGCACACATGGAATTTAACCAGCTCCTCGTAAAGTGTGCACATGGCATCTCTGAAGGAAAAATGGGTAAATAAAAAAAGAGGCGACCAATTATAAAACATATACACTCACTTCTTGGGACTTTGTCGCTGCAGCGGCGAGATAAAATAGAAATACATGTGGGCCTCGGGTAATTCGAACTTGTCATCCTGCCGGAACCACAGCTCGCAGGTGTCCGTCTTGAGGAGCTTCTTCGGTGCAGCGGGCAGTTCTGGCTTGCAAGCCGAGTGCCAGAACAGTGTGAAATCGTCCGTAACAAATTTATTTGGCTCCGGCAAAGATAATTCCGGCAGAGGCTTCGAATCCTCCCAAAGCTTGCGCCACTTCTCAGGCATCGGAATAGTGGCATACTCCGTGCCAAACCACTCCTCCGTCTGATCATACGTGCTAATGCCCTCGTACTTGTTACGCGATGTGACCATCAGGTTGAATTTCATCTCATTGAGGTGGCCAACCAGCTCTTTGAGATGCTCCTCATTGTACTCGTAGTAAAGCTCCTTGCCTGTAAGAATATCCTTCGGTGGGAAATGTTTGGTGTTCAGCACCAGTTCCTGAACGTTATCGAAAGCAGGTCGCTGAGCCTGGAACCGGAATCCCGTATCCTCAATACGTTGCTGCTCCTCGTAAACTTCCTTCATGGATCCACAGTCGGCAAAGAGCTTCACGTAGGCAAAAGTGGCGGCCAGAACATCGTCGAGATTCTTGAAACCCTCATCCGTGAGATAAATGCATACGTTGAACAGAGCATACATTGTGTTCGTGTCAAAGCCGTTCTCTTCGATGCCGGCAATTAGATGGAGTGCCCACAGTCGGCGTCTCAGGTAAGCGCATAAACTGCCACGTCCCTCGTAACCCAGCAGATAGGAGAGAAACTGATCGGGCTTGCTGCGGTAATACTGCCGCACATTGGGCAGCACCCAAGTCAACTCCAGCTTGCACTCATTCTCCACGGGCTTCACGAAGAACGCCTGCTCGTGGAACTCCGGCCGGAAGGCGTTCCTATAGTTGAACTGGCTCAAATCCGGAGACTGCACATCGTTGTGGGGAATCTCCGCAAAGTGGCGCACCACCAGTGATTCCAGCTCTTCGATGGGCAAACGGGCCTGTAGGCAAACATACATTCGATTGGCGCCGTAGTGCTCTTTGCGGATCTCGTGCAACACCTTATGCAGTTCCCCGTCGTCCACGTTCTCCTTGAGCGACTTCATATTGCCCCAGGCGAAGGTGCCGTGGGGGAAACCTTTGGTGGCCAAACTGGCCAGCAACTGATCGCGCCTCGTCTCATCATCCTGTGCGATCTGCTGGAACTCCGAGTCGACGGCGCTGCGCTCGCGCTGCATGGCCTCTTGCTTCATCAGCGGAGCCTTCATCAGGGCTGTAAAGTAGTCCAGGCTGGACTCCAGATGCTTCTCGGCCACCTCGAAGTAGAAGAGTGTCTCCTCGCAGTCCGTGTTGGCATTGCTAAAGCCGCCGCATTTCTTGATGTGCGCATCGAAGATGTTCTCCTCCGGATATTTCTCGGAGCCCATGAAGATCATGTGCTCCAGGAAGTGCGCCAATCCCTGGTACTTCTCGGGCTCCCCAAAGGATCCATAGTCGATCATCAGGGCGCAAGCGGCCAGCTTTTCGTCACCCTCTTCGCTTCCCGACTCCGCGCTGCTGCCACTATCGGATGAGCTCGTGATGCTGGAATCGCTGCTGCTCGTCTCGGTACTGCTAATGGACTCGCATTCGACGGACTTCCCCGAGGAGGATTCGGAGGTGGTGAAGCCATCGTGAGGCATGGGGGTGGGATCGGAGACGATGAGGGCGTGCAAGCCATTGCCAAGAAGCAGGGTCCTAAGGGGAAATTATCCATTAAATCCAATCTATCTGGGTCACATGGCCCACGGCACTCACTTGTACAGCTTCTTGTCCGTCTCCGACTTGTCCGGTGTGTCCAGATACTTGACCTGGTCCGTCATCTTACACGGGCCGTGTGTGATTGTCCGTCCGCCGGCTAATTGAGTAATTGGGATCCGGCGTTTCGTCGGGAATCGGAATCGTCTGAGGAGATGTGCGCCGTGTCGCTGCCAGCACATGCGACGCTCGAGTGGGATTGCGAATCGCGATCGCCTCAATGGGAAGTCCGGGGGGCGACGGCGCAGGGCGGGACTGGATTTGCAAATCAGCCAATACAATGAATTAATTTAATAATTAATTTTTACACCGGCAAGCCGACTGTCCTATCCTATCGATAAATTGACGACAGACGAGGGTGGGGTATGACTATCGATAACGCGAGTGATGGGAGGCGCCGAAAAAAATAGGTTATGTGTTGACGCGTTTTTGTTTTAATTATTCAAATTATTTTTTTATATCTTATAAACTTGTCTGGAAAAACGTCGTTGTGCTCAGTACGAGACACAAAGAAGCTGTGAGCAAAAACTACTTGTTACAGAAATTTCTCACTTGTATAATATAGGGTTACTACTGGGAAATATATAAAAGCCCAAACAGCCTTAGTGAGTTTTTATACCATTTAGAGTTTAAAAAATTGATCATATATCATTCATGTCAGTACTTATTAATATTTTAAATATATATATAAATATTAATTAATATTTTAAATATATATACAAATATTTTAAAAAATGTATGTAGGTATTTTAACATACTATGTTGGTATTCTTGAAAAGCTTTGTTCGGATAATCATTTTGAATTACTGAAGTCTGTACATAATACTACTTAGCCAAATGTGGTTATTTATTTATATAAAGCTAGCTTAAGTTTTAAAACTATGAACTAACTATAATAAGAGCATTAGCAGCTGAGGCCTTCCGCTCGTCTGGGATGACAGTAATAATTTAATTTAAAGAAATGTGGTTATTTATTATTATAATACTTTACAGAAGTTAAAAATTATAAGGCAATCATTCAATTAATACTACAAAAATACCAACAAGTTAGTTGAATTTTCAGAATACCACAAATAATACCAATTAAATACCAACAAACAATTCCGCTTTTAAATACCGATCCCGTCTGGGCACACCGCCCTGGTTTGTCATGCGTGCGTGTGTGTGTGCGTGCGTGTTTGTGTGTCGTATAAATTGTGGCGACCAGCGAAAATAAATAAATAAATGCACATTGCGACCGACGGTGAGCCGTGCGTGCAGCCAGATGGTGCAGTTGGATGACCCTAAAAAGCAGATTGACCCCGCGCACAACGCCAACCAACAGGCAAACAACAACAACAACAATAGGAACGACAGCAGCTACAAAAACAAGAGCAACGGCGATCGCTGGCACACACACGCACACACAGGTAATCCGAACGGTAAGTTCCACTGATAAACTTATCACCACAAAACGATAATTCTAATTTTGTTTTCCCATCCTAATAATTTCCATTCGTTTGTTACCCCTGCAGTGCATTCCCAATCTTTGTATTAATTTGCCCTTTTCTTTTTTGCATTCCTTTAATTTGGACAGAACAGAATAGATCGCGCACGCACATAGCATATAAATATAACGGTAGCGCCCAGACAGGAAGTAGCGAATAATTGAATATTCCAGCGACGTACAGCAGCGGTCACGAGGGGAGTCACTGCTCTGGTGGTGGATCGGAATAATGGCCACGGGCGGCGCCGGCGGCGGCGGTTTGGGAGGACTGGGAGGAGCAGGTTCCGCCGGAAATGCTGACCACCACAAGCGCAACACCTTTACCAGCTATGTGGCACCGCTTCCCGGCGATATGCGCGCCACAGCGGACACGAATGAATGGTGCCTGCCCAGCGATTTGCGGGACGTCCACCTGGCCAAGCCCCGCCTGCTGCAGGGCGAGCAAATTGTCGCCTCGGCCCCGGCCTACATGTACTCGTCCATCGATCCCATGGACAGTGGCAGTGGGAGCTCCTCTTCTCCAGCGGATGGCAAATCGCACAAGGAGGCCACCTTTGGCCTGCTGAGCGTCACCAATTTCAAGCTGGCCTTTGTACCGCTGCACGCCAAGCGTAATCCTGCCGCACCGCTGGGCGATCTCTACCAGGAGAACGCCTACTTGGGCCGCAACGAGATCACGCTGAACAACATCGATCATATCTACACCATTGCAGAGCTGGGACGGGCGGCCAGTGCGCTGCAGGCGGCGCGCGGCATGGCCAGTCACGGGATGGCCAGTCATGGCAGCCGGCGAAAGAAACTGGAGCCCTTCAAGCAGCAGAACATCAGCGGCCGGATTGCCGCCCTGCATATTGTGTGTAAGAACTTTCGGTTGCTAAAATTCGCCTTCCAGCAGCAGGACTCGAAGATGTTCGGAGCCAGTGATCAGGGCAAGTTGATAGCCTCGGCATTGGTCCGCTTTGCCTATCCCATGCGGCATGATCTGAGCTTTGCCTATGCCCACAAAGAGCAATACTATTCCACGCTGGGTGCCTCCGGAACCAGCATGTATGCGACGAAGAACGACTGGGCCAGGGAGCTGATCCGCTGCGGCGCCACCGAGTGGCAGGTGGTGAGCAGTGCCAGTGTCCAGTTGCTGCAGAACCCGCTTCAGGCGGGCAAGTACACCGTGCCGCCGCATTTCGTCATACCGAAGAGCTGTGGCGTGGATCGCTTCCTGGATTTGTCGCGCGCCTTTTGCGATTCACGAGCTGCCTTTTGGGTCTATAGCTATGGCGGTAGTGCCGCCCTGGTGAGATTAGCTGAACTGCAGCCGGCTGCGCAGCAGGACACAAAGTCGGAGAATGTGATGCTGGAGCTGGTGCGCAAGTGTGATGTGGGGCGGCAGCTCAACCTGCTGCAGCTGACGGACCGCCTGCCGAACATCCAGGATGTGCTTAGGGCCTACCAGAAACTGAGGCGCCTGTGCACACCGGAAACGCCGGAGAAGTTCATGCTGCAGGATGACAAGTACCTGGGATTACTCGAAAAGACCAATTGGCTGTTCTATGTGTCGTTGTGCCTACGCTATGCTAGTGAAGCGGCCGCCACTCTTCGCAGCGGCGTCACCTGTGTCCTCCAGGAGTCGAATGGTCGTGACCTGTGCTGTGTGATCAGCAGTCTGGCGCAACTACTCCTCGATCCGCACTTCCGAACTATTGATGGCTTCCAGTCGCTGGTGCAGAAGGAGTGGGTGGCCTTGGAGCATCCGTTCCAGCGGCGCCTGGGCCACGTCTATCCCGCCCAACCTGCCGGCGGCAATGCCGAGCTGCTGGAGAGCGAACAGAGCCCGGTGTTCCTGCTCTACCTCGACTGCGTGTGGCAGCTGCTGCAGCAGTTCACCGATGAGTTTGAGTTCACGCAGACGTACCTGACCACGCTGTGGGACGCCTGCTTCATGCCCATCTTCGATACCTTCCAGTTTGACACGCAGGCGCAGCGCTTGAAGGCAGTGCGGGACTCCCAGCTGGTACTCCGGCCCGTTTGGGATTGGGGCGAGCAGTTCTCGGACAAGGACAAGATGTTCTTCAGCAATCCGCTGTACCAGCGCCAAAGGGGAGATCTCGGCGCCCAAGCGGCGGCGGCCGCTCATCGTAGATCTCTGGCGGTGGGCAGTAAGGGAGCCCACGGCACTGGCCTTGGATCCACGCCCTCCAGGAACACCATCAATCCGCAACTGTTCGCGACGGCTTCCTCGGTGCCGCAGGATCGATTCCTGCAGCCGGCTCACAGGATCTTTGACCTGCAGGTGTGGGATCAGTGCTACTATCGTTGGCTGCCCGTGCTGGACATTCGCGGCGGTGGGCAGCCGCAGGTGGATCTCTTCCATCGCCTGCTGCTGAGCAACATTGCGAAGGTGCAGCGCTGCATAGAGTTCCAGAACTTCGACGATCTGCCGGAAGCCTTCTACGAGGCCACCGGCGAATCGCGACCCAATCAGCAGAGGGACGAGAAGCCGGACAAGGAGGATGAGGCTGAGTTTGTGGATGGCGTCGAGCGCCGTCGGAAGACGACGACGAAGGCAGCCACGCCCACAAACGGACTAAACTCGGTGAGCGGGAATTTGCAGCTATCGACGCTATCGTCGTTCTTTCCCTTTGGAAACCCCATCGCCGGCGATGCACCACATCAACTATACGATATCCTGAGCAGCAGCAGCGAGCTCCTAATGGAGACCTCTTCCTTCCTGGACAAGTCATCCATTGTCTGATCCATACACTCGTTCCACTTGTTTACTTTCAACGCTGAACTTTCGAAGTATTACAAAAAGAAAACATTTTAAAAAAACACTGAGAAATTTGCCTTTCACATACATGGCATATCGCTATTAACACTTTTGATTATTGTTAACTAATAAGCAAGTTATGGTATAAGTTTTTTTTATTTCGTTTTACTACCACTAAACTGCAACACGCTGAATAACAAACAGAGTAACATTGACTAAATAATAATAAATGTAACGACAAGCAATCGATGAGAAACGAATTCAAACAACAAATCAACAAAAAACGAAGCGTAAAAAAAAACACCAACTAAATCAATATGTATTATATTGTTTGTAACTGAATATATGAAAATATATTAATATGTATATTTAAATAAATCAAAATTGAAAAATCAACGTTGAAAGTTTCTTATTGTGGCATCGTTTGGGCGATGATAAGTGAACTATTTATAGATAACTGATAACACTCTTGTTGAACTTCTCTGGAAATACATTTAATTAATGGACAAAACTCGTCTTTAATTATTGTTTCCATGTTAGAGATTTTATTTTCCATGAAAATTATCATAAACTGTATTGTATTTGACACTGGCTCATATTTCATATTTAGAAAATAGATAACGATGCTACCGCAATTAGGTAATATAGAAATTGAAAGTAAATACAGTTGAGTCAGCTCAAAAAAAAAGAATTAGCTTTGTATTAAAATAAATATGTATGACAAAATTTATCAACCTTCTTAATATTAAAAATGATTATGTGCAGGATAGGTTTTTAATCCGATCAAAAATTGGCTAGGCGTTCATGTTTTAATAAGGATTTATAAATATTATTCTTATGTTAAGATTACTCCAAATTAAAAACATTTGGATGCCAATAAATTATTCAATGAACAAATATTTTTACACATGAATCACACGAGGGTTAAAAGAGCTTAGCAGTTGCGATAAATAACTGTTTACTTCCCGATTTTTTTTATAATGGTAACAGGTTGGAATTATTTAAAACTTACGGCTCTTAGCGTAAAATCATACTACATTGAAACATAAACGAACATTTAAATGAAACATCCAGTAATATAGGCAATATGATATATTTCATAGAGGACATAATGGAAGATTTTCTTAAAAAAACCTATAATTATAATTCGACTACCACCTGCTAAATTAAATCAAAGGCTATGGATCAACACCATGATGTTCCGAAGCCATATCTGGAGCTCCTAAGTGACATTCAAAAGAAGCAGCTACCAGGATACCAGCTTCCGATCGAAGTTCAGGATCATAAGAACTTAAAAGAAATTCAAAATGTGGAGCTTGAGGATCAGGAGAAATTGGCCATCGAAATTCCTGGTCTGGAGAAGAAGCCTTCAATTAAAGTTGAGGATAACGTGGAACAGTTGGACCTCCAGCAGGTGCTTGCCAATGAAGTTCAGGATGTGGAGACGCAGTCACCATCTGGAAACCTTGCTAAGCCCGCCTCTCAGCCATTCATTCATCGTCATAGTGGCAAAATTCCGCCCATGCCGTCGGAAGAAACAATGCGACATTCGATAGCCGACAACTTAATGGAGATATTGGTAAATATGGTTAGTCTGCCGTACCGACAACAGTGCTTTGAACTCTTGCAGGTGAGCGATCCTCTACAGGCACGCAGCCGAATCCTGAGTATCCTGCAGCAAATCGATGAGGAGCGTAGGGCTCCAATATAAATAACCATAGATTCATAAATGAATGCCTACCTACATTAAAATCAACCGTCCATACATCAATATCGGCTGTATTCACTGCTTTTACACACCGTTTGCCTTCCGAACCACCACGTTCACATATCTTATTTATTACATAGCTTTGTCTTGCGAATCACAAGCTATTCATAACAATATGACATATCTTTATCATTAGAAGACTTTGTTCGGTGAATGGTTCGATTATACATAAACGCCTAAATCAAATCGCACCCATATCATTATCATTATGAGTTAAACATTTAATAATAAAAACATGTTGCGTGGCTAACATATAGGTTGTTGGGGGTGTCTGGGGTTTGATCTTTGGGTGCTCTGGTGGGGCATCACTTGGCTTTCTCGTCCTCCGGTTTGGCCTGTTCCGCCTTCAGCAGCTCGGAGACGATGCCCACCTTTTTGAGCTCCTCGATGAGGTCGCCACTTTGGTGCATCTGCAGCAGGATGTCGCAGCCGCCGACGAATTCGCCATCAATGAATACCTGCGGAATGGTGGGCCAGTCGGTGTAGTCCTTAACGCCTGGCAGGGAATGGCAATAAAATAGTTATTGGAATGTCTAAGGATAATTCGCAAGTTACTTACCCTGCCGCAGAGATTCATTTTGCAGGACATCGTGGGCATCGTACTGAACGCCATGCATCCGCATGATCTGCACCACCGCATTGCTAAATCCGCAGCGCGGTGCCTGAGGATTGCCCTTCATGAAGACGACCACCTTGTTGGTGCGCACCAGCTTGTCCAGCGTCGCCTTGTCCACCGCCTCGCCGGTCGCCGCATCCGCAGCAAAGAAGCGGCTCAGGACGCTCGGAGTGGATGCGGATGCACTTGCTCCGGCGACCAGGCCACGGTGATTTTGGTAGCTTTGACGCAACAGGCTCTGGCAAATTCGGTTCATTTTTACAACGGCGCTTTCCTCGAATTTAATAATATTATCTAATAAAAATAAAGGGCTGTTCAAGTGTCAGCTGAAATGTATCGATAGTATGCCTATCGACTATCGAGGGGCTTTTCTTTTATGTCCAGTATTTTAAAATTTCAACGTCTAAAAAAAATTGATATATTTTCTTAGAATATTATTACGCCTATTAGTTCTTTGTTGATCTCAATAGACAACAACAATTATTAACATATTTTGAATTTCATTTGAATATTTTAACCATAAAATAGTCAGTTGTTATTCATAGAAAAGGCAAGGAATCGTCGTTATAATTTAAGTTGCTCTAATCCCTTAAATAATATAATAGCCAACTAAACCTCAAATTATTCATCAATTGTAGTCATAACAGTGTAAATAATTATCAATTTATTTTTTAATATTAATTCAAACTAATTGGTTGTGCTGGCATCGAATTGTTAAACTCAAACTCACAACGTAAAATACATATACATTTTATAGGTATGAGTAAGCTAAATAATGAAACAAAAATCAAAACCAAACATTTATCATCGTTATTGTAAAAGTTAATAAAACCAAAATCAAAACCAAACATTTATCATGTTGTTTTAAAATATACTCTTTTTTTTGTAATAATCAAAACTAAAAATACAATATTAAAAGCTAAAACCTATGACTAACTAGTGGAGTGTGGTATATGATCTCTGGAGTTCCCCTGGATTACTGGATTGGGTGGTCTGGGTCTCAGTTCGTCCTGTTCCTGTGCCAGGACCTATCATATTCTCCATCCGCTGGCTAGTTTCCCGCATAACACCACCGAAATCAGGTAAATCTGGCAAATCCAAAGCGAGGTGAGCTGAGAATCTTTTGTAAACCGAGGACTTGGTGCTTTCCTTCTTGATTTTCTTCCTGTTTTCCTCGTATTTCAGCTGTTGCTTAAGGAAAATAGAAGCCTTGATCATTTCCTGTATATTGTCGAATACGCTCTCCGATTTTTCAATGGTTCGCAGGGCTCTGTGAGTCGGAATTTACAATTAGTAGTGATATTTGAGGTGTATATTTTAAGAACTCACTGTATTCCGTATTCCATATCGTAGCAATGTCCCTGGAGATTGTTTTGCAGTTGGAAGACCTCATCGCGCTTCTCGAAAATCGCTGGGGAAACCTTGCGAACGTGCTCTTGGACCCGGAAAAACGCCAGCGATGGATCGTTCGCGAAAATGTGTATGTTTTCCGATATCTTCTCTGACGTTTTCTTCGTTTTGAAGACCAGTTCTCCGCCTCGGGACATTGTTTTATTTACCTTTCTTTTTCCCTTTTGTTTTTTGTTTACATCAATACTCCAATTGGAAAATTCATCGATAACTGGGATAGTTTTGTTTTCGGTATTTTTCATTTGGTATATTTATTGAATATTAATTCAGGGGTGCGAAACTATCGTTTAAAAATATGTTTGTGTTTTGATTGTCGTGACTAAAAACAAAACAACAGTTGATACAATTTTTTTGATCTCTGAATAAGCATTTTTAATATAATTAAAGTTACGAAATTAAAGTAAACATGGTTTTTGTTTTTTTCAAAAAGTAACATCTACTAACGTGTAAAAAACTCACTAACGCCACAAAAATTCAAATCGTCGATATTAATCGATGGTTCTTCCAACAATAATCGGCAGCATCGAATCAAGCTAACTTTGATGTTTCTCCAGCTCTAGCGTTTGGCTGCTCAAACGGTAATTTTGCGGTTTATTTCGGGAATAAATGCGTTCTAATTAAAAACCTAGAATCAATTAATTCGACAGAGTAGATCAATTAAACGCCAAATATTTTTTTGTATTTTTGTTACTGTGCTGTGAGTGAAGAGTATGCAAAATCAAATTTTGGAGTACAAGAAACCAAACGAGGAACAAACTGTGGGATGCGATACTGATAAAGATTTTCCCGGCGCGATTTGTGTTTATGAGTAATCTGTGATGTGCCATGCCGGTTGTCGTGAAACGTGCTTAAGTCGTGAATTTTTGTTAAATGTTACTTATGATACTGGTACAGCAACAACAAAGCGGCAATAACAAACTTTGTTTACCTAGAAACTCCAACCAGCAACCCCAATAAGAATTTAGGCACACTAAGGGTTAATTTCCAGTGTGTATGCGTGTGTGTGTGCGTGGTTAGTTGTTGTAATTTTCCACCTTCGGTGTTTGTTGTTGTCTTTATCGAGATATAGATTAAGTTCTAAAAGATCCCATTTCTCTCAGTGAGAAAGTGATGAGCTCATTGATAAGACGCGCCCCATCTCTCTCGTTCTCTCTCCCTCTCTTTGCTCCTCACACGCGCCTGGTTGCGTCATTCCCCCGTCCCTTCCCACCCCCTTCCCCCCATGCTCTATTTCTTTTCGCAATTTATTTTGGATTAATTTGAACTTTGATAAAAAATGCCGTCAAAAGTCCCCCCAGTAGTGCCATAAAATAATAAAAAATCACCAGCACAGCTTACAATTGTCGAGTGGTTTTTCTATTGAGCTCTTCAAGTGCCCATATTTCCAGCCCCCACATTCCGATCCAATCGTACAATCGAGTACTCTATATACAATATATGTATGTTGTATATACCTAGAATTATATGCAGAACAAGTTGCCAATGTTAATTGTTGTTGCTGTTCCCCAGAGACAGAATAAAAAAAGCTTCTAATAAAAACGATATAAAACAAAAACAACTGGCATACACAAGCAAAAAAAAAAGATTAGAACAAAAATAAATGAAAACAATAGGGCGCGCGTGTTTGATGCTAATCTGAAAATAAAATTTGTAACATACTCTCGGGCCGATCTCGAGATATAGGGGCCACAGCCCTATTGAAAGCTTATTACTATTTATTTTATTCACACACAGAGAGAAAATATGAAGCAGAACTAGTCGTACCCAGAACAACTTTCAATTCTATAGCTTGAAAATAAATTAAATCAAATTTTTTTTATGGAATTTGAGGCTTATAAAGATCAATTTAAAATGTTTTGTTTCCGAAAACTAAGTCACAAACAAATCATTTTAAATACGATTTCAAGCGAAATTTAATTTTTAAATTAGTATTTAAAATCATTTAAATATTTAAGAGACTTCTACAAAAATTAAACGATTTGTTCAGACTATCACAGAGATAAATAAAAGCGAGGATTTTTAACAACTCTGATAAATAATTTCTCCCCGTGTGCTAATTATACATTCTCGTGTGCGCTTTTGTTTGTTTTTTGCGGCAGAACTTTTCAGCGGAGCTTTCGGCAAAGGAGTAATACTAAACAAATAAATATAAATAAAGAACAACAAGTAGACGACGAGGAACCTCAACGATGGGCAACATACACACAACGGGTCCCAATGAGGCGTTAATTGTTTCAGGTGAGTCGGGCGAACCCTTGAATGCGGCCTTTGCCACCCACAACACCACCCACCATCCCGACCACCCACCATCCCAACCACCCACTCCTTAACCCTTTTCGCCATTACTGTTGCGTCAAACGCCTGTTGACTGATTTTGAAATGCTGCAATTAGGAAACCGCATGTTGACAGGACATTGCGAATTCATCCAGGGTTGCATATTTACTCAGTTGCGAGTGACATCCGACTTCTCTTTGATCTGTGATTGCAGAGCATTCAGGATAATAGCAGCACTGAAAAATAAATTTATAAATTCTTATATAAAACATAAGGATAAAACCTTACTTATAATCTGGTTATCTATGCCCTCAAAATAAAACTTATAATGTGACATTCATTGACATTTTCAATTTGAAAAATGTATAAATAAGCTGCAGTAAAATATACACACACATACTTAAAAAATGTTTAAACAATGTGTAATTGATTTCATCGAGATTATTATTCAAGCTCACTTGGGGGATTTTTTTTTTATTATTTGAAAGTTGTGTTACCTGTACAATTAGATTCTGACATGTTTGTAATACATTCGTAATTTAAGTTAATGTCTGCCGGCCGATTTATTATATATCGTGCATTTAAACTGCAGTAAAAAAATTTAATATTTTTTATATTTAGAACTCACTTTAAATTGAATTGCTTGGCTCTTCATATAATTGTGCAGTGTATTAACTACCAAAAAAAAATAATTCATAAAATCAACAACAAATATAATCGAATAATTCCGTTAAACACTAAAAACCCAATGGCATGTCAACTTTCAAAATTTCTTATCAGTGTGGGGGTTTTTTGTCATGTTATTTAGTGTTGAAACGCTTATTTAGTATTTTGATAACCTTTATTTATTTAAACAAATGCCATAAGTTTGTATTGCTGAAGGTTTTTATGTCGTCAATTGAGTCACTAACATATTGGACATATTAAAAATCAATTTATAAACCTTTTTTTTTTAAATGTATTATATTTGACATCGTGTAATGTAATACCAACTATGCTTAAAAAAAAAGAAGTAATTTAGGAAATTGTATTTTAACTTTATTTCCAATGCTTAATATATAATAGCAGATTTTAGGATACCATTGGAAGTATTGTGTATAATTCAAAAGAGATATAGATCATATTTATTTCATTGTTTTTTCCCGTGCAATCTTTGGTATCTACTGTGTGGCCCTGGGGCCGGAAGACTTCCTCCGGCGGCACAGAGAACTCCCTGATGCATATTGAATTTTTCACACACAGCAACAACAAGGACGCGGAAGCCTAGGACAGTGATAACCACTTGTATGCAACCACCCACCCACCATCCATCCCCAGCATCCCGGCGAAGGCAAACCACCCCCTGATGTTTTGTGTTTTGTGTTTCGTACTCTATGTTGCCATTTTGCCTACGTTCCCGACTGTTTTTCGCCTTCTGTGCCTAGAGCCAAACTTTTCAACCCCCGTGTGCTTGTGCGGGCATGGGTTAATGCACTCTGGCCAACCCCTAGGGGTGCCCCCAACCCCTCGACAAAACCCCCTCCCCCACCCACCGAGTGTCGCCAACCCCAAAAAAAAAGAAAATAAAACCCAAATGCAACTCGCTCGACTCGTTAAGGTAATTCTATTTAATTAACTTACCAAGTCAAACAAAAACTGGGGACTAAAAGCAGCGTTTACTCTTCACTTCTTCTGCCTTTTTTGCAAACGATATAATAACTTAATACAATATCGACAATCCTTTAATGAGAATTTTCTTTGAATGTTGCTACGCCAAGGGAGTTATAATGGCTTTGAACACGCATATTGAATACAACGAGCTTGTATTTTATTAGTTTATTAATGGCTCTATCCTCCGCTTAAACATGGAATTTTCATATCTCTTACGGTGGTTTTATTAAATTCTTGGTACTTGTATGTTCTAGACTTATCAGTGCTAACTTAAAATAAAGTGCAAAGTAATTTATTTGGACTGCCTATATTAATTTAAGAAATCCCTAAATATGAAGCTGATAATGGATGCTTTTGGATGAATTTTTTTAATGGTATTTGAATTAAATCAACTCCAATCGAAACGAATCATGTCCGCCGCCTTTTCGCCGATCATAAATGCCGCCGCATTGGTGTGGGCGGTGGGTGGCACTGGGATCACACTGGTGTCCACCACCCGCAGCCTCCTCATTCCGTGCACCTTCAGCTGGTGATTGACCACGGTTGTGGGATCGCTTTCGGGACCCATGCGACAGGTGGCCACCTGGTGATGCAGTGTGTAGGATAGCGTCCTAATCGAACACCTCCAGTAATCATCCGAGGCGAACTCGTGACTCTCACATCCCGGCACCGGTTTCCTCAGCAATCTCGCCCCAATCCTCTGCATGGCTGGCATCTGTGTGATCCGCAGACTGGCCTTGATGCCATCCAGAAGAAATTCCACATCCTCCTCGGCCACAAAGTACTTGGGATCGATCATGGGCCAGCTCAGCGGATTGCGATCCCTCAGCCAAATACGACCCACTGACTGGGGATGGAATTGCATGACCAGCAGGCTGAAGTGATCCTGTTGAGTCTGCGCCAGTTCCCCGTACATCTTGTCGTATATTTCGTCCTTGAAATTGGCACCCAGCTTGAGGCCAGTGCCCTCGTCACTCGCCAAACTGCCGAGGACCATAATCAACTCGATATCTGGCCAATCTTTGGGCAGCTTTGATCGCTGCGTTTTGAGGAAGGCCAAGGCCTCTACGCCACCAATGGAACTCAATCTGGTGGATGGATTTCCGGCCAGGAGGTAGGACACGATCTCAGCGATTGTGATCTTCGCAGTGAAGGTCGTTTGATCCGTTGTATTGGTCAAAAAAGTGGGTCCAAAGTGGCACATGTGATCGTACATCCTCTTGCCCACTGGCAGCTCTTTGATGAGGGGTATTCCTATAGCCTTGAGGTTATCTGCCGGTCCAATACCCGACAGCATCAGTAGTTGCGGTGAGTTGAAGGCCCCCGCTGATAGGATCACCTCCTTGCGAGCCTTGAATGTGTAGGCTTTATTTTTGTAGTGAAACTCCACGCCGTAAGCGGATTTCGTAGCCTCATCGATCAGTATTCGGGTCACTCGGGCAAAGGTGAAAATGTGCAGGTTTGGGCGGAGATCCCTCACTGGTTTCAAGTAGGCCGCATAGGCCGAGTGCCTTCTGCCATTCAGCGTGGTGGCCTGGACATAGGAAACCCCGAACTGGGACTCGCCATTGTAGTCGGTGCGCGGCAGTCCCGATTCCACGGAGGCCTCCACGAAAGCATGCACCATCTGGGATCGAAACCGCACATATTCCACACTCAAGGGACCACTGTGATTGTGATACGGAGAGTGCTCCAATCCCTGCAGCTGGGCATGCTCACTCCTCAGGAAATAGGGTAATACTTCGTCGTAACTCCAGCCGGGATTTCCAGCTGCCGCCCAGCCATCGAAGTCCCTTCGATTGCCCCGATTGTAGATCATGTAGTTGATGGAACTGGTCCCGCCCAGAACTTTTCCCCTCGGCAGGGCACACTCGCGATTGTGCATGCCGTGGCAGGAGAGCTTCTGGGGCACCGACTTGTAGCCCCAGTTCGAGGATGTCTGCTGCAGATAACCAGCCAGCACAGGCACCAGATGGGCTATGTTCTCCACGCCCCCAGCCTCGATGAGGGCCACACTCCACTGGGGATTCTCAGAGAGACGGGCGGCCAAGGAGCTACCAGCTGCTCCGGCTCCCACCACAATGAAGTCGTAAATCGAGAGATCCTGGGGCACTGCAAGGAAATAATGAACAAACTGTTAAAAGTTTTACTGATTAACTTTTTAATAAAAAAAGTCTTTCTCTGATAAATATAAAATAGTAAGAAAGCGACTTCTCTTAAAGTATATAGTGTATATTTTGAGAAATTCCTTGCGTAACTCAGAAATATTTATTATATATACATAACAAAGGTTCTATATAAAAATGTACATTTTTACTTAAATATTCATTCAATTCAAAATTGTTCTTAAGCCCTGAATTGACTTACCATTGGGTCGCGTGGCCTGATCCAGGAGATTAACGAATCCCACCTGGCTGATCTGATCCAGCAGGTGTCGGTTGACATCCCCTCGAGATTTGTCCAGGAAAAAGAGTAAAAACAGGAGGAGCAGGAGCAGCAGGTGTGAGATCTGTGTGGACTGCATTTGGCTAATGGTGGGCAAATGAGCTGCCATCGTCTGGGGGGAGTTGCTTTTAAGCCATGGCTCCCTCCTGGACTGGATTGGACTGCCAAGATGAGTGACTCAGGTGCCATAATGCCGCACAAACACATTTGCACCTGGGCAGTGTGCTCCACAGACGTCGGTGGGTTGCTTTTGTTGCCAAATGATGCCCCACCCACCCGTTTGCCATATAAACCGCATACCCTGCAATTGACCAAAGGGTTGGTATACCTGATTTGGAATTAATGCCTGAAATAATAAAGGAGCTTGTCACAAAAATGTTCCTAAAAAAAACAAGGAACAAGGAGAAGAGCTAGATAAACAGAAAAATCTAAAGGAATAATATCTGCAAGCACGGATTAAATAGAATTTAAAAGATTATGAAAAGATCAAAAATATAAAATTATCATAAGTCACAGGAAAAAAAAAATGAAACCAGAAAAATAAAAGAAATGGAAAATCATATTGCATTGAAGGGGCAAAGTAGCATACCCAATATTATAATATTTATGAATGAAATGAACCACTAACTCCAGTCAACAACAGGAAGAAAAAAATTAATAGACAAAATTAAGAACAGCTTAGTAAATGAACCAACACGGAAAATCGTAAAAAAAACACCTAACGCAAATGAAGTTCAAACACCAAATAAACTAAAAAATAGAATGTAAGATAAGAATGAAATTGACCATTAAATAAACCAAATCCAAAGGTAAATACAAGATATTAGAAGAACACAAGCCCAAAAAGCAAGGCAAACAGAAATAGTAAACTATTAAAAACAAAGCACAGTTGGTTAAAACCGGTTAAAGAACTTATAGCAAATTTAAATAGAATTAGCACTAATTAGCAGTAAACAAAAAAATAGTGAAACATCAAATAAACTTGAGTTGATCCCGTTTCGGATGAGTTCGGTCTTCTTGAATGGCTAAAAAGTACACTGGGACAAGTTTGCACATTGTTATCTTAATTATAAATTTAAATTTGTTTGTCAGTTGAATTAAATTGATGTATTATTATTACAAATTTAATGTTGCTTAAATTAATACCTAGTAAAATGATTTAAATATCATTAAAAATACAGGGTATCTAGTAAATGGTATACCTCAATTCCTGGTTTGACCAAATGTGAAGGGAGAATGAAAAGGTTCTCACTTTTTAATGTGTCGGATGCCATTTGAGAGTTCGTTTAACTTTTGGCGCGTGCTTTCCCTGCGTTGGGCTTCAAAATGCACTCCAAGTTTATATGCATAATATAACAATATAATATATACATCAGCGGTGAGACATACCCTCCCGGCGCTCTATTAATATTGTTTGGCCCGAGAGCCGAGGCATTGAACTTGATGTGTGCAAACCCGTTTGTGATGCCTCGTTTGCTCCGGTTCGGTTTCAGATCGCTTTAGAATCGGAATCGGAACGGATCGGTGAGAAGTTATTAAGCTAGGTCATGACGTGGACCAAATTGGATTGACCCGAAATGTTCTCAAGACCCCGTTCGTCGCTACACTCAACAAATTTGAGGGGTACCTGAAAAAAGTACTTGTTATTCTTACAACACTTTACTTATTAAAATGTCTGTAGAGTTTTTTGATACCGTTATTTTCTACTTTGGTTGCTATTAATATTTTATACAAATAAAAGTCTATGAAAATAATGTTAGCTATTATATATTTTGAAAAAAATTTATATTGTTGAAATATAATATTATTATTTTACACTCGGGAATCCCATACATTTTTTGATAAAATGATTTTCTTAATACAATAATAAATATTAGAAAATGTGTAGTGGTGATAGGCCGTATCATTTTTAAAGTGTACCCGTTTGCTTTCTTTCAACTTTCGTCTCGCATTTTATTAACCCTTTTACATAAATCGTTGTTGTATCTTAAAATGATCTTTATTTGAGTTAAATCAACTCCATTCGGATCGTATCATGTCCGCAGCCTTCTCGCCGATCATAAATGCCGCCGCATTGGTGTGGGCGGTGGGTGGCACTGGGATCACACTGGTGTCCACCACCCGCAGCCTCCTCATTCCGTGCACCTTCAGCTGGTGATTGACCACGGTTGTGGGATCGCTTTCGGGACCCATGCGACAGGTGGCCACCTGGTGATGTAGTGTGTAGGATAGCGTCCTAATCGAACACCTCCAGTAATCATCCGACGCGAACTCGTGACTCTCACATCCCGGCACTGGTTTGTCCAGGAGTCTGGTCCCGATCGCCTGCATGGCTGGCATCCTGGAGATCCTCAGGGCCTCCTTTATGCCCTCCAGCAGGTGCTCCACATCCGCGGGGGCCGAGAAGTACTTGGGATCGATGCGTGGCCACTCGAGTGGATTGCGATTGTGCAGCCAGAGGCGACCAACGGAGGCGGGATTGAAGTGCATGATGAGGAAACTGAAGTGATCCTGCTTTCGCAGTGTCAGATCCTTGTACATTTTCTCATAGATCTCCGGCTTGAAGTTGGCTCCTTTGGCCAGAGCAGTGCCATCATCGCTGGCCAAGCTGCCGGCCACTTGGATGAGCTCCACATCGGGTTGGCTGGCCGGACTCTTGGCCGAGGGCACCTTGATGAAGGTGAGGGTCTCCACGCCGCCAATGCTGGACAGGAAGGTGTCTGCGCGACCCAGGAGGAACTCCTTGACCACCGGCGGTCCCAGACGAGCGGCGAATAGAGTCTGACCCGTGGTGTTGGTCACAAAGGTGGGTCCAAAGTGGCACATGTGATCGTACATCCTTTTGCCCACTGGCAGAGCTTTGATGAGGGGTATTCCTATAGCTTTGAGGTTATCTTCCGGTCCAATACCCGAGAGCATCAATAGTTGCGGTGAGTTGAATGCTCCAGCTGATAGGATCACCTCCTTGCGGGCCTTCACTTTGAAGCTCCTGCCCTGATGGGTTAATTCCACGCCATAGGCGCTTTTGGTAGAGTCATCTATGAGGATGCGGGTTACCCTGGCGAGTGTCAGAATATGCAGATTGCGACGTCTGGCCCGAATGGGTTCTATGTAGGCCCGAAAGGCGCTGTGTCTTCTGCCCTTTTGGGTGGTGGCCTGGACATAGGAGACCCCCAATTGGGATTCACCATTGTAATCGGTCCTCGGATGACCCGCCTCCTGGGCAGCTCTTATGTAGGCATGACCCAGACGCGTACGATGACGCACATCCTCCACACTCAAGGGACCACTATGATTGTGATACGGCGAGTGCTCCAATCCCTGCAGCTGGGCATTCTCACTCCTCAGGAAATAGGGCAATACCTCATCGTAACTCCAGCCGGGATTCCCAGCTGCCGCCCAGCCATCGAAGTCCCTTCGATTGCCCCGATTGTAGATCATGTAGTTGATGGAACTGGTCCCGCCCAGAACTTTTCCCCTCGGCAGGGCACACTTGTTGTCCACCATTCCTCGACAGGAATGCCGCTGTGGCTGTGAAGTATACCCCCAATTGGAGGCGGTGGACTGCAGATGGGCCGCCAGTAGGGGCACCTGATGGATGATGTTCTCAACTCCACCAGCCTCGATGAGGAACACACTCCAGTTGGGGTTTTCCGAGAGACGGGCGGCCAGTGTACTGCCGGCAGCTCCAGATCCAACCACTATAAAGTCATACTTTGATTGGGGGACTAAAAATGGAAAATTAATAATACAATGTAGTAATTATATTGGTACTTGAGAAATAAGTTAAATCGATGCATTGTTTTCTGAAGTCATAAAAACCAATAATTTAAGTTCGTTGTAATTGAATGAACCTAAATTTATTGCATAGAAAACAATACTTCATTTTTACTTGTTCTCTTTTCTAAATATTAAATATAAAACGATCGAATTTTCACAAATATGATGTCACCATATGTTATATATGAAATATGTATGAAAGGAATATGGAATTTGAAATCAAGATTGTTTATTAATGCCATACACAATTCTTCTTAAAATTTTCCCCGTCGTTAGATTTGAAAATGTTCTACAATATAAATTAGATTTCTTGTTTTCAACACTTTTTCAAGTAAATTTATAAAAAAATCTAGAGATGTCATTCTGGTATTACAAAAATGATAACATCAATTAGAAACTCTATTACGTGGAACCTTACCATCGCTGAAGAATGGCACATTGACGACATTTCCCAGTCCCAATCGCCTCAGTTCGTCCAGTTGGGGATTCCTCTGGGAGTGGATCACCTGGATGAGCTGATGCGGAAGCAGGAGCAGAAACAGAAGTCGGGACAGCAGCAGCTTCTCCATGGTTGCGATGGCCGGTAACTGAACTCTGCAGCTTCGGTGCTTCAGGTGAAATTGGATCTCTGCCTCCGTCTGGCATCACATCTGCCAACGCACTGTGGAACGGGTTGTAATATACCCAACTATTCTATGCAAGTTTGTTTCGCCATTTTATTACCAGTGGTACCAATTATATTTACAGAATATCTAAAAATGTCTGATATATCGATTGAAAATTGTTAAATTTGCATTTTTTTATAGCATTTGGTGTCATAAGCCCATAAGATTTTTATAACAATTTAACAGTAAAAACCTGATATGAGGTGTTTATAAATCCAACCAGAGATGAAGGTAAAAATTGCAAGTTATTTGTTATTTGCGATTAATCGGGACATTTATATATTGCAAGATATATTTTTCATATTCAATTCTCTTAGTATATTATAAGCTTATTGTTAGTCTCAAAATTAAGAGAAGATGCACTAAATAAATAAAAGCAAGGTTACAAAAAAAAATTCTATAATAATTCCTCAAGATTATTGATCTAGAATAGGTTATATACTTGAATGTTACACAATTTCAAATACTATTGTTTTAATCTATTTAATTTGTAATTTTTTCTTAGCATTCTTAACTATTTTAAAATGGGATTAAATCTATGTGTTTGTTAGCTCGCTCCACTGTGGATTACCACCTTGTCGGTTTGGTTCTCCCTGAATGATCTCTATCCCCTTCTCCCTCTGCCTTTCTCCACATCTCTCTGTCTTTCTCCGCTGATGACTTGGATGACTTGGTGGCCGTGTTTGTAGGGCCAAAACAGGCTAAGATTGTCTCAGAATTTTTATTACCACTTGCTAATTTGCGCTTTCTGCTTGCTCATCTCTTCTTCTGTTTTTCTGTCTCTTTTCTAATGCAGAGAAAAAAAATGTAGGCCTCTGTAATACTTGCTTTGACAAATATCAATTTTAAATATTTAAATTTTCAAGCATTCGAACAAGATTTGATTTTAATTTATAACATTATTAATAAATTTAAAATGAAATAATATATATAGTATATATTTTTTCTGTGTATCTTTGGCTTGGCTATAGCAACTGAGCCTGGTTCAATGGCACTTGAATGGGCAACTTGTTCTGGCTGGGCTTATACTTTATTGCTGCTGGTCTGTCAGTTGAATCTTTGAAGATTGAAGCATCAGCAGCGGGCACTCCAGATTTAATATATTCCAAGCCACCCCAGAAAGTACAATAATCAGGGGAAAAAAAAAACAAAACCAAAGCGGATTAAACAACTTTAGGTCCAGCCCAAAAAAAAAAAGAAAAGGGTGAAGGGGTGGCCCATTGCAACGGTATCAACCCCAGCATATGGATGCAGTTCCTCCAACCCCGAACCAAAGTCAATGGATGCCCTTACAAATCCCAGTAACCGAGGGGGAAAAAGAAACCCAATAAATGGGAAGGACAGGGATTAGGCGGAGGACATGGACCAAAATCGGGAGAATGGACCATGTTTTGGTCATGGCAATTGCATTCAAAATTTTGGTTTTTTGTGTTTGCCTTTTTATTTTTTTCTTCTTTTTTAGCAACTGAAACCGCCCCCTTGATTCATGAATATTTCAATTTGTGTTAATGAAAAGTCTGGTGTAACCTTAGTGACTGCAGATTTTGTGATGAGTTTTCACTGGCAAATATGACTGCGTTTCTATTCTTGCAATCATGGGTTAGGAAAGTAATAAAATAAATAATATATGACTTGCAAATAAATGTTGTATATGTATTAATTATTACTTTAAAGACTTTTTTAGAGATTTTTTTTTGGGACATTTGAGTGCCATATAAATAAAAAGCTATTAGAAGTTATAAAATATTTTTACATTTCATTAAATACCTTAGTATGCTCTTGGCAATTAAAAAAAGGTAAAAACATGTTGTAACTTGTAATAAACATTTATTTCTTTAATACTCATAAAACAAAAAATATAAATCTCTGAAGAATTTCAGCCGGCATAAAAACCGGTCGAAATAAACTGAGTAAAAGCTTTAAGCCAAGCTTAAAGTTTTTATGTTCGATTAAAACTTCCTTTTTATATAGTCTACCCTCGGGAGGCATCAAAATTAGCTTTTGCTAGCAATTATTCTCAATTTTCGACAGATTTATACGCACTCCACATACATAAATAATTCTAAGGTCAAATCAATGCAAATCAAACCGAGATAAAACCAAAGACTCAACACCCAACGACCATCAGACATAAGATGAAACGAAATATTCACACCGGCTTGATTGTTAAAAAAAAAAACCGAAAGCAAAAAAAAATCATTTCCGCAACAATAAAAAAAAATTCAGAGAGACTCAAAACAAAGGCGTCTAATAAATCACAACCGAAAATCGCCAAACAAGCGGACAACTTCATGGATTTCACGGATTTTGATTATGAAGCCACAATTTGATTAGCATGAAAATTGCCAAAGCTGAAAATTCCTATTGAAATGAATGAAACAGAGGCGAAAAGTGAGATCTAATAAAATTCAATGTCAATGTCAGACTGATTAGCTAAAACAGTCTTTAATAAAACTTGTGTGAAAAATAATATTTATAAAGTAAATCGATATATTTGCATAGGTTTCTTCATGTTAAACATAGCAAAAGCCGGTAAAATGCTCTTTATAGCATTATTCCCCCAAGTATTCCTTTAAAATAGAAAACAACATTTGCTTTAAAGTACATACAAAACTTATTTCGATTTATTTATGCATATATGTGGCTTACATTTCTAAGCTTAAACTAGAATCAGTACAGGCAAGAGAGAATTACAGATAATAACAAACAATTTTTGAATGCTGACCAGCCTTAACTAGAACTTAGGCCCCATTTTACACCAGCCAGAGATTTGAGATTGGATTCGATGAGATTGGATTCGTGATGGGGGTACAACAAGATAATGACAGTGGCCAGTGCAAATGGGGCTTACACCTGATTGTGGAAATCAACTTTGGACTAAGGGATTATTTAGGGGGAGGATAATCACTGGATCACTGGATGAAACCATGATCCTGCTTAATCATATCGGCGGCCTTTTCGGCGATCATGAAGACCGGTCCATTGGGATGTCCGGACATGATCTCCGGCATGATGCTGGCATCGGCCACTCGCAGATTCCGGATGCCATGCACCCTCAGGCGGGCATCCACCACCGCAGCTCGATCGGATTTGGGACCCATCTTGGCAGTGCCCGAATAGTGGTAGATGGTGAAGGTGAAGTGCCTCACATAGCAGGCCCAATATGCCCAACTCTTGTAGGCATGCTGCTTGCAGGTGGGTATCTTCTTCTCCCACAATTTGGCGTCTATCGTCTGCATGCCACGTTGATTCATCAGACTAATGGCCTTCAGCAGACCCCGCACCGAGATGTCCACATCGTAGGGATGGGCAAAGTAATTGGCATGAATCAGTGGGTACTTGAACGGATCACTGCTCTTCAGCATGATGCGACCACGACTCTTCGGTCGCAGGATCATGGGAAAGATCATGAAGGCATTCAGTGACTTGTCCTCGATCTCAGCGAAAAGCGAATCGTAGATGGACTTCTTCAGGCCAAAGGCACGCGAGATGGCCGGATTGGAGGACATGGAGCCGCCCACCAGGAAGAGCTCAATGTCGGGCCAGCCATCCTCATCACGTTCGTGATCCAGATCCCAGAAGGCAATGGCCTCGCAGCCACCCGGCGATCCATAGGGTCCCTCCATTCGATTAAATCGATTCACCAGTGTGGGATCGGCAAAGTCCTCGAACTTCAGTGATGTGGCATTGGTGGTAAAGGTCACCGCCGGCGCTGTATGATCCTGCAGGTTGTAGCCCACGGCAAGATCAGCAATGGGTTTGATGCCCACTTCACGCAGATGTTTGGCCGGTCCCACGCCGGAAAGCATCAGCAGTTGTGGCGTATTGATGGCTCCCGCCGCCACAATGACCTCCTTTCTGGCCAGGATCTTCTGCATGCGCCCCTCGGTCTGGACCATAATGCCGTAGGCCGTCTTGGTTTGCGGATCGATGAGCACCTTGGTCACCAGGGCGTTCTTCTTCACATGCAGATTGCTGCGTTTACCCTTCAGTGGATAGAGATAGGCACGATTCGAGCTCCAGCGCGTGGAATTCCGGGTGGTGGTGTGCAGAAAGGCCACTCCGTTCTGGATGCGTCCATTGTAGTCCCTGTACTTCAGGCCATCCTGCTGGGCGGCCTCCACGAATGCCTCGGATATCTTGGAGCGCCAGTTCACATAGCTGACCTTCACCGGCCCATTGCGACCCACATAATCCTCCTCGGCATCGGGCACACTGCTGCCCTCGTATTTCTTGAAGTACGGCAGCACATCCTTGAAGCTCCAGCCGGGATTGCCCAGTGCCTCCCAGCGATCGTAATCCCTGCGATTGCCCCTCGTGTACATCATGTAGTTCAGCACCGAACTGCCGCCCATCACCTTGCCCCTGGGCCAATTGCATCGATTGTTGTTCATGGCCAGACACGCATGATCCGAGGGCTGCGTCCTGTACTTCCAGTTCATCTCGCCCAGCTGCAGGAAATGGGCCACAATGGGCACGTCCATGACCAGTCGCTCGGGACCACCGGCCTCCAGGAGGAGCACCCGCCACTGTGGATTCTCCGAGAGTCGGGCGGCCAGGGCACAACCCGCTGTTCCAGCTCCAACCACTATGAAATCGTATTCGCTGTCCAGCACCAGGTTGTTGTCATAGTTCTCCAGCTCCACGTCCGCCTGGCCGCGTCTCAAAAAGTTGATCGTCTCCAAGAGGACATTGTTGGTATCCTGGGCAGAGGTTCGCACATCCAACGTAGCCATGAATACTAGGCATAGGCCCACAAATAAAAGCGATTTGCCTGCCATTATTGGGCCTTTTATGTGTGTTCTCTTCACTTGTGTTTCACCAAATTGCACAGCCACAGCCAACAGAAAAAAAAAAAAATGAAAGATATATATCTTCAAAAAATATATACGAGCGCGATGGATTCTTGGCGGGGAAACTTCGACGCGATCGCGAACGTGTGTGTTGCCCAATCGGATTCGTAACTAGAAATGCTGACAAATGCCGTGGCCAAGTTCAATTTAATATTAAATTCGGTGGCGATCGCCGAACGAACCGATCGCTTTGCGAATCTCTCGGCTCTCGGTTTTTTGGTTTTTGGTGTTCGGCTTTCGGATCGCCAAGAATCTTCAAATCTTTCGAAGACTTGACTATGGACACGTTCACAACAGTTGAGCGCGCAGACAAAGACGAAGAGCTGGTTAAAATTGAAAGCTCTGCGATCTGACATTGACTTGAGCCGATTGTTAGCAGCTGTCTGTCTGTGTGGACCAGATGCGGAAGCCGACTGCGAAGACATTAAAGGGCCTCCCATGGCTAGATCACGATACCCAAACGATCCTCTTCGATAGACTTTGGGTTGCAATTAACATAGAGCCACCATGATTCTGCGGTTTTGCCCAGAGAATTCGGGTGGGGTTCTCCAAAAGAACCTGTCTAAATGTCAAACAAAGATCGCGTTTAATCGCTTGATTGTGTCTACAAATGTTGTATAATTTTATGGTTCTAGTTGGCTTTCGGTTATCCAACTCTGCAAATTCTGAAATCAAGTCCATTAAGAATAATTATTATTATGGCAAATTTATCTTCGCTTGCATCTTTTGTAGAGAGTAGTTATATTCTCACCACAGGAAAACATCCACAAAGTAAAGCAAATTATTTATATTCTTGCCAATTTTTTTTATTAGAAATAATTCATTTTATAATGCGTATATACTTTTTTTTTTATTTGTACTGAATTGTATGCCTTGAGTTAACCTTTTACAAATTAATTCTTATATTTAAGCTCAATGTGTGATTTCAGTTAAGAATTCAAAAGTATTAGTTAGGTGTGTTAAGTGATTAATGACAAGTATCTGTAAATGCCGATTACAAATTCCAATGATTTGCTGTAACTACAAAAATATTATATTAAATTACTGCATTTCCTGATTTACAATAAAAACATCTACTATTAATAATAATTTGCAATCAAACTGGTAATAATGATAGAAATCTTTAATTGAAATCGACCTGAATGACAAATTATTGTCGGATTAGTTGACAATTTTATTGTAATTTTTTTATCATAGTGAATCTAACATTTAATTGTCACTATTTGCAAGATAAAGAATACTAAGTACGACTAATTTTTGCCAGTGTCACTAAACATATTCATACCCCTTTGGCGCTGCAGAATTTGTACTGCATTTTCATTTTTACTTAACTAGAAATCACTCAAAAAAAAAAAAAAAAAAATTATACATATAGATACAAAGATCATCCCCTTACTAATAGATTTATTCCCATTAAAAAAAAGATTGCTTTAGACAAAGTTGTGATCCTCTTTGATCATATCGGCTGCTTTTTCAGCTATGAGGTACACCGGTCCATTCGGATGACCCGAGATCAGGTAGGGCATAATGCTGGCATCCACCACCCGGAGCTTTTCGATTCCATGGACCCTCAGGCGGGCATCGACCACCGCCGAGGGATCCGCCCGAGGACCCATCTTGGCCGTTCCCGAGTAGTGGTAGATGGTGAAGGTGAAGTGGCGGGCATAGCACTCCCAATAGGCACTGCTCCTCCATTTGTATTTCGCACAGTTGGGTATGCGTTTCTCCAATAGTTTCGCTCCAATCGCTTTAAATGCCGGCTTATCCAGTAATCTCACTGCCTGCTTAATTCCACGCACTGTGATATTCAAATCATAGGGATCTGCGAAATAGTTGGCATAGATCCGCGGATGCTCCGCCGGATTTCGACTCTTCAGCTTGATGCGTCCGCGACTTTTGGCCCGCAGGATCATGGGGAATATGAGGAAGCCATTGGCATTCCGGCGTTCCAGCTCCCCAAACATGCTCTCATAGATATCCGTTTGGATGCCCAATGCCAGACGCAGGGCCAAGTTGGTTTGCATACCACCACCCACCACGAACAGCTCCATATCGGCCCAACCATCCGGATTACGAGCATCGTCCAGGGCATAAAAGGATATGGCTTCAACGCCGCCGGGAATACGGAGAGGTCCTCGTCCCTTTAGAAATTCCCCCATATTCTCCACCTTGAACATATCACTGACTTGCAGGGAACTCACATTGCAAAGGACACTCACCGCCGGGGCAATGTGATCCTGGAGATTATAGCCCACGGCGAGATCGACCAGTGGTGTAATGCCCATCTCGCGGAGATGTTTGGCCGGTCCCACACCGGAAAGCATCAGTAATTGCGGCGTATTGATGGCTCCCGCCGAAAGGATCACCTCCCTTTTGGCCAGGATCTTCTGTAGTTTCCCCTTGATCTGCACCATTATGCCATAGGCTGTTTTCGTCTGTGGATCGATCAGAACTTTGGTGACCAAGGCGTTCTTTTTCACATGCAGGTTCCTACGCTTTCCCTTGATGGGGTAAAGATAGGCTCGATTGGAACTCCAGCGGGTTTCATTGTAGATAGTGGCCTGCAGATAGGACACGGCCAGTTGTCTTTCTCCGTTGTAGTCCCCTCGCGGCAATCCCGCATCCTGGGAGGCCTGCACGAAGGCGTCTGCGATTTGAGTGCGTGTCTCCGAGTAGCTGATCCTCACCGGACCCCGGCGACCCACCAGATCCTCGTCGGCATCGGGTATGGCACTGCCCTCGTACTTCCTGAAATATGGTAGCACCTCGTCGTAACTCCAGCCCGGATTCCCCAACCGGGACCACCGATCGTAGTCCCTGCGATTGCCCCTTGTGTACATCATGTAGTTGAGCACCGAACTGCCGCCCATCACCTTGCCCCTGGGCCAATTGCATCGATTGTTGTTCATGGCCAGGCAATAGCTGTTTGAGGGCTCTGTCTTGTACTTCCAGTTGACATCGCCCAACTGCAGGAGGTGTGCGACTATGGGTATGTCCATGGCATAGTTCTCGGGTCCACCGGCCTCCAGGAGGAGCACCCGCCATCGGGGATTCTCGGAGAGGCGGGCGGCCAGGGCACAACCCGCTGTTCCAGCTCCAACCACTATGAAATCATACTTGGCCAACATCGCCTGACCCTCGTCCAGGTTCTCCAAATTCAATTGCTCCTGGCCGCGTCGATACATCTCCAGCATATCGGACAGGGAGCTGCCATTGTAATCCTGGCCCAGCACCAAGATCCAGAGACTGAGACCGAGACTGAGATAGAGTCCTATGTGATTCCGTGGCGAAGTCATCACATTGCAGCCGGACGCACTCGACTGAAGCGATCGACTGGCCCGATGAGCTTAAACTAAATGCGAGGCTGGGGTAAACTGCAACTAGCCTTCTCCTCCTCCACCCATGTTTAGAATTACAACTCTTGGTCCGAACTATTCAGTCTAGTTCGGGCCACATTTGCCGTTAACCAGAACGAACTGAACAGAGAATAGAACAGAATAGCAAAGTATAGAATATTTACACATTTGTGTATTTGATCGATCGAACAATTAAAGATCGTAAACATTCCATCCAAAATGCAGTAGGAATGCACAAATAAACGCTTCAAGGGGTATTTTAATTTACCACATTAATCTTAAATTGTGTGCTGAATACAGAAATCACCTAATAACTGGTCTGATACGATGATATTATGAATGGCTTAAGGTTAAGGGAAACTAACTTCGAAAATAATTAATGGGCAATAATAAATAATAATGTGACTGCCATTAAACGTTAGGGGAACAGCAGAATATCTTGAATTTTGCTATGAAATTAATATGGTCAGAAGTTAGGTTGAAGCTGAGGCTAATTCATCTATTAATCTCAAAGGGTTAGATTACGGAAAAATTAAAATCACTGTGAAATAAATATAGGGATGAATATACATATATATATTTTATTCATAGAAAACTTGATTCATTAAATCTTAAATTATATACGAGATATAAATGAGAAATATTACGATCTTATAAAGTCCATTGTAAGATTATAAAAATATATTTAAAGATCGTAATCAATTTCTGGTGATAACTCATGTAAACCATTTGCCCGTTTGTCTATTGATAAGTTTTAAAATAATCTCCAGGCAAACGATCATCACCGGCTTCTAATTATACTTATTCGTGGATTTGGTGGCATGTAATGTTTGTTTTTATTTTGCTTGGCGCATTGTTTTGGTGAATAATTTCAATAATTATTTCCGCTTGCATGTGAATTCGTGAGCTTAGAATGGGTGAGTCCAAGAGAGGCGATTGGTAGACGTTGTGAAAAAAAATGCCAAGATCCCCGTCAGACTAACTCGTGAGTGGAAACTTGGCCAGCCGACCGCAACCGTATGACATACTAAAAGAAAACAAAACAAAACAAAACAAAAATAAATTAAGATGGTGCTTAATGGTTTTTTGATGTGTTCTCCGCCCCAAATGACGTCGTTGGGCCCGGAATATGGTTAGTCGAAGGACAATCGCTGAAAGAATCCCATTCTTGGAGGGAGTATCGATCGCATCGTCGAAGGAAATGGAGCTGCCTGGAATACAAATGAGGATCCCAACGATAAGAACCCTTTGTGAAGGGAAATCTGAAGGCCGCAGGCAACCAAGAACAAACCCATCGTTGACATTCAAGCCCAATCGACACGCTGGACACTTTGGAGTCAAGGCTGCAAAAGCACTGCGGCTTCCAATTTCGCAATTAGTCTGCGATTCGCCGGCCCCAAGTTCGTTGAGCTGCCATTCGATTATATGCACTGCGAAAAATGTCTGTTTACTAAACAAAATTTTATATAATATATTGTTATTGTTATCGTGACATTATTGTAGATATACTTATGTAGTTGGTATTAAGCTTCACTGTTGTGAATTTAATAAGACTTAATTCTTGGATTGGATTCTAATATTAGCTTTTAATGGTATTTTGTGATAAGAACGCCTTGAAAAATCAAGAAGTTTAATCTTAAACATAAAATTATATGTGTTCTTTTAGTGAATACATATTATTAATGACCTGTAAACTTAATAAACTTATAATAGCTTATTAGTTACAGAAAAAATAGGATTACTACATAAAATGTTAATGTTAAATTTAACTAAAAATTAACAAAAATTAACCAATTATTTATCTTTCGGTTTTATATAATTAATATAAAATATTGGCCAATTTACTATAAGAAGTTATGTTACATAGGTGTTTATTTTGGTATTTCTTTGACTTAAACTCAAATTCAAACCAAATTAAGCACAAAAAGGTCTTGTCTTAATGAGTGAATAATAAAATTGATTGAATTGGTTGGTTTTTCGCTCAGTGCAAACTGCTAACGGCAATTTTAGCTTTGGCTCTTAGTATCGATAGGTATTGTGCTGGCGCAGAAACAGCGGCAACAACTGTTTCTGTTCGCATAAAGTCAAGAATTTAAGCAAACTCGTTGTCTTTGACCGAGTTTTCATAGTTGGCAACTGCTGATTTTGGCCAAGTTGCTCTTTGCACTGACTGACAATTTTTATTTTGGGGCCTCGACCATGTCTTTAGTGGGCTCTTTGACACTCATTACCTGGCCCATGGCATTCGATGGTGGTAACAGGATGCCGAATCATCTAAACGAAGGATATCTTATTTGTTATTAAATGTGAATTGAATCCATGTTGATACAGCTGATCGTTTGACAATCTGCAGAATGACTGGCAAAAATGGTGCAAATGTGGTGGCCATAAAATGTTCTTAACTCTACCATAAAACGCGTCTTATGTTTTTTTTTTTTTTTAATATTTTTGATGGCGATTAATTGCGTTGGGATCGATCATCATGACAAAGCAATTCGTTCACTTCCATAAATTTGCATAGACACTGTTTTAGATGTGGTAATATCTGCCGGCCGAAGGCAGTTTGATGATCTGATTCCTGATTAATACGAAAAACCTGTTTATAGTGTTGTTACATTTTAAACAGCTGAAATAAATATTTGCGAAAACTACTAGACTTGATGTTGATTGAAGGAATGAAGGTAAATCTGGTGGTAAATACCTCCTCAAGGTTGCAAAAGAATGGAATAGGCATTGATTTCTAATTGAACAAAAAAGTTACTGTCAAAAACCAGAGCAGACCTCATTAAATATTTGCTAATAAAGCCTTAAACTTATAAAACATTTAAAAGAAATCATTCATTATCTTTAGATTTACTATTGGAAAGGTACACACAAAAAAACATAGATTAAAGCTCCTGCCAAAAATCAGAACAGACTTAATTAAAATACTATTAATAAAGTTTGAAACTCATAAAAACATGAAAAATAAAATCATGGGATCGGTTGCATTTTACACTATATTTTCTTTATGTGAAAATTTTGATGGGTTTGTTTTTACTCGAAGGGGGTGTTTTTTATTTCGACAATCTTCTGTATACGTTCATTATCTTTAGATTTACTACAGGTATTAACTTTTTGTAGTCATTAGAACGTTAAACACAAAAAGCAGAAATTTTGAGTCTATAATTCACTGGAAATGTTTTAATATTTAAGCTAGATTATACCTAATTATTTTAAAACAATAAAAAATCATTTACATGAATATTTCCATATATTTGTTATGAACTCAAAATCTTTGGAAGTGCTCATTATTTTTATACTGCTTAGGGAATAAATAATTTATCTATTATTATTTAAGATATTTTAAATGGCTTTATTTTAGTTTAAAATCTTGAATTCAAGTAGGTCATACCAGAATTTTCAAATCTCCGATACATTCAAAATTAATCCTTGTAGTCTGGAACATGTCCAGACCGGCTGTTAGAGAGCGAAAGCCCCGGAAAAGGAGTAACGCTCAGGCCAGAAGGATTTCCGTTTCCAAGAGTTCCGACAGCGAGCCGAGTGGTTTAAGGAAATATGTGAAGAGTTCGTCGATAAACGGGGATTCCCTTTCGACTCTGGGACGAAAACACAGCAACACGGATAATGGTTATGATGCGGGTCTGGATACCGATGATGCCAACGATGATGGCAAGGATGAGGTGGCAGCGCCGTATCGAAGGGACCGTCGACGTAGCAGTCCTTTGAACTCATTCCTCTACCCGGAACCAATTCCATCCAATCGATTCGGTGGATTTTTGCGTGCCCTGGCCCGCAGTTTGCAGCATTGTTCGATGAGGATTGCCGCCGGGTTTGGATTGAGTCGCCAACAGGCCGCCTGGTACAAGAACTGCTGGAACACTCCGGGCTCCCAGTCTAAGAGTGTCCATCTACTGAGTCGCCAGACGAAGATACGACAGGTCTCCGTGCCCAGTTTGGTTTCAAAATCCCAAGCAAATCCGCGATCAGTTACGAGTTCCACAACTCTGTGAGGTCTTTCGCCTTCTTTTGACTTGCATTTGGTGCCTTCTGCACTATATAATATATATATATATATATATATATATCAAGTTACAGGAAACTTCTATCTAACATAAAAACGGGACAAAAAATAAATCAACGTAAAAACCTCAAATTTTAATAAAGATCATTTTAGTTTTAATTTTTTAGAGAATCAAACCGCAAGTCATCAAAAAAGACAACAAATCGAAAAAAATTATAAAACAAGATTTGAATACAGGTTTTTAGGAATTAAAACTAAAAAATTTTAGAGGTATGTCACTTTAAAATCTACTTAAATTTGGTAAAGTGATGGAATCTAGATTTCCAATTTTGAGTCACTCTATTACAAGACATCGGAAAATTAGAAATAACTAACATGAAAATGGGTCAAAAATTTGATCAACGTTAAATTGAAAATTTTGAATGCAGATTTTTCGAGAATCAAACCACGAGTCTTAGGAGGTATGCCACTTTCAAATCGGATAAAATTTGGTAAAGTTATAGTCTCCGGAAGTCCAGCTGAGGGTCACCTTTGAACAACACATCGAAAACTTGGAAATACATGACATGAAAATGGGTCAAAAATTTGATCAACGTTAAAATGAAAATTTTGAATGCAGATTTTTTGAGAATCAAACCACAAGTCTTAGGAGGTATGCCACTTTCAAATCGGATAAAATTTGGTAAAGTTATGGTCTCCGGAAGTCCAGCTGAGGGTCACCTTTTAACAACACATCGGAAACTTGGAAATAAATGACATGAAAATGGGTCAAAAATTTGATCAACGTTAAAATGAAAATTTTGAATGCAGATTTTTTGAGAATCAAATCACAAGTCTTAAGAGGTATGCCACTTTCAAATCGGATAAAATTTGGCAAAGTTATGGTCTCCGGAAGTCCAGCTGAAGGTCACCTTTTCACAATACATCGGAAACTTGGAAATAAATGACATGAAAATGGGTCAAAAATTTGATCAACGTTAAAATGAAAATTTTGAATGCAGATTTTTTAAGAATCAAATCACAAGTCTTAGGAGGTATGCCACTTTCAAATCGGATAAAATTTGATAAAGTTATGGTCTCCGGAAGTCCAGCTGAAGGTCACCTTTTCACAATACATCGGAAACTTGGAAATAAATGACATGAAAATGGGTCAAAAATTTGATCAACGTTAAAATGAAAATTTTGAATGCAGATTTTTTAAGAATCAAATCACAAGTCTTAGGAGGTATGCCACTTTCAAATCGGATAAAATTTGATAAAGTTATGGTCTCCGGAAGTCCAGCTGAGGGTCACCTTTTAACAACACATCGGAAACTTGGAAATAAATGACATGAAAATGGGTCAAAAATTTGATCAACGTTAAATTGAAAATTTTTGAATGCAGATTTTTTAAGAATCAAATCACAAGTCTTAGGAGGTATGCCACTTTCAAATCTGATAAAATTTGGTAAAGTTATGGTCTCCGGAAGTCCAGCTGAGGGTCACCTTTTAACAACACATCGAAAACTTGGAAATACATGACATGAAAATGGGTCAAAAATTTGATCAACGTTAAAATGAAAATTTTGAATGCAGATTTTTTGAGAATCAAATCACAAGTCTTAGGAGGTATGCCACATTCAAATCGGATAAAATTTGGTAAAGTTATGGGCTCCGGAAGTCCAGCAGAAGGTCACCTTTTCACAATACATCGGAAACTTGGAAATAAATGACATGAAAATCGGTCTACAAATTTATCAACGTTAAATTACAAATATTGCTATATGTTAAGTAAGGGAGGTGTGATATAGTAGGCCGATCCGGCCCGTTCCGACTTGTATAATAGGGTCTTTATAGGGTCGGAAATGTACCCTAAACTGTGTTGCAAACTTTTGACTGAAATTATGAGAGTATAATAACTACACGAATAAATCAATATCGTTGGCTTAAGAACTTTGCTCAATTATTTTCATCAAATATTACTGCATTTTATTGTGAATTCCGCATGGTGTGGTCACAAATAAAAGCGACACATTTTGTTGTAGGAAGTCGGAGCAATGAATCAATTATTGAGACTTCCCCCGTCGCAAAGTGGTCTTCTGAGCCGCAACAAATCGATTCATTTGCAGATGATTGACATGACAAAGCAGAACAGAAGTTGAATAACATTTTGATACGATCATAATGCGCATAATTGCGATACGCCGACGCACATATAGATACAGATACAATCCAAATAGATACACAGCCAAAGTTTGGCCAGATAACATTATTGTTTGCCAAGCACTAAAGCTCATTAAAGTGTGCAATTATTTAATTTGAAGTCCACTATTCGGTGCGATTGTTGTGATCAATGGCCAATTGAGTACGTGACGCCAACACTTTGTTAGAGAAAAAATAGTTGATGAAGTCAGGAAGTTGATCGGAAAGATCGGCGCAATGGTGATGATGGATCAGGGGTTCATGGATCAAGATTATCAAACGGAAATGCTATAAATAAATAGACAAACCAAAATGCTTGTAGAAAAAAGAAGAGTACTATTTCGAGTTTCCAGCAATTATATTTTTTATTAAGGTGACTATTTCCACAGCCAAGTATTCACCTTTTTTTTATTATTTACTTACAATGGATTGTTATGCCCTAAAATCCGTCCACCAACTTCCTCTTAAAATTATACAAATGAGTTAGTCAATTCATAAAAAGCCTCAAGTAAATAATTCTTAATAGAAGTAAAAAAAATTCCCACTGAATCATAAAACCCGAAATCAAGTCCAATTTCCTATCCAACGTTTTTCTTTGCTTTTCAAGGTTGCCCAAAGTGACTAAGAATTTTTGTTTGCTTTTGAATCGAATTGAAACTTGATTGGCACCTTTGTAACAGTGGCACTCAACATGGGCATATATGGGTCACTAATCATGAACCAGGGCCATAATATAATAACAAAAAAATATAAAAAACCTGAGACTTCCGCTTGACGGAAGAATGTTGCCATGTTACCATGAATATTTATGCTGTAATCCCTTACAATGGGTTATTCTTAGTTTTTCATGATTTATGAAGCACAATTAATATATTTTTTTCTCTTTTTTATTTACAGGTGAGTGGCTGCTGATGCTGCTGCGTCTGTTTGGGGTATGCAAATAAGTGAATACCGAATACCAGGCAGAGATCAAGTTCATTGGGTCTGGGTCAACTGCTCGGACACGATCGCATGTCTAACGGAGATCACAACAAGTTGACTGACCTCTAACTGGAACGGTAACACATCGATCCGGAAGTTATCTATCTGCAGATGATCCGCAGATACTTCCGCTGGCCATTGACCCAGTTTCCCTCTTGCCAATTTTTGCATATGCTTGGGTTTATTGCGTTTTTGGCCGAGAAATCGCCGGTGATATGCGTGTGCACAAAAGTCTAGGGCAAATCCGGCAAATCTGATCGCGTGGCGAAATTGCACTCGGTCACGTAGACATTGCGTCTCCATTTCGTTTACCCCGTTTTCGAAATCTTGTTTTTATGGGGGCGTGGCAAAATAAATCAACCAAAACGAGTTAGAACTTGGCAATCGCGGTGGACGCAACTTGTATCCATAAATTAGAGCTTCTTATAGTGAAACAGGGCGTATACGTTATGTATATATGCATTCAAAATCAGTTTGTTAATATTCAGATCAAGTAATTGAAATTCAATATAATTCTTTCAGATTTATTATTGAACAAAAATTAAATCATTTTGTTTTTAATTAGCTTATTGATATACATTTTAAAAGCGTTTGTAGTCACAGGGCGTATACGCAATATAGAAACAAATTAAGTCTAGGTCAATTCGAGTACCAAATGAAGATGTAGCTTTCTTTTTAAACGTTTATTAACTATGTATTCCATATTGATTAATAAATTAAGGAAAGCTGGAAATAATAGAAAAATTAAGAATTTGGCAAAACATTTATTGCTGATCCTAAAAAGCATTGAAAAATCAAACCATTTTCTGGCTACTCAAACTCCATAATACCATAATACTTTATTTAAACACCGGATCAGACCTTGAACTTGCCCGAACCACTCGTCCATTAACATGTGTGATTTGTGCTGATGTTTTTTTATTGTAAATGTGCGCAGCGTCTTGGACATTTCCATTAATAAGCCATAAAATCTGGTTTTTGTGCTTAGCTTCAGTTAAAATGATTATATGCCGCTTTTTGGCCGCTCAATTAGAACGTTTCGTGGGCAAAGTGGGACAGGGACCGATTACTTAGCACATCTTCGATCCACGTCCGGAAAAATACATCTAAATTAAAATTAATTTGGGTTGATTAGACCAAGTTCCGTTGGCCATTTCCGTCTTCGCTTGAAAATTGTTGACCAAGGCCCACGATCTCGGACCTGTCATAAAAATGATTTATAACACTTCGATTGGTAGCTAGTTAATAGCTTACTATTTTGTATATACACACATTTCGATGGGCGTTGCTACGACAAGTTCAAAATGTGGTGCCTTGTCTGCTGGTAATTAAATATACATATTTTCTACACAAGAATGTTGCGTGCCTGGTATGTCTGTTTTATTTTTTTTTTTACTACCGCGCCCAAATGTTAGGCTATGGTATTTAAAACCTAAAGTATAAATGGGTAGGGCCTTTTATTGAGTATTTTTCGTGAATATTTTCACTTCAGGGTGGGTTCATTAAGTTGTCACTGGCATTGTGTGACGTAATCAATCAAATACTCTGTATAATGTAATGAAATATGATGTATTGTGCAAGAAATACTTGAAAAGCTATTATTCTTTCTGCTTTTAGCTAACAAAGTTTAAAGTACAGGAACAAAATTTAAAAAAAATACTAGTAGATTGGCCATAAATGAATAAACTAATTTATCATTCATCCTTTTTTTGAGCTTTTGCTTATCTTTCCCCTAATTAGTGAAAAGACACACCGAGTGACTGAAATAAAAATAGTACATGAATTGATATCATCAACAAAATACACACAACCATGCGATGACTCATTTCTCATTCATTTAACCATGCCTTTCATTTGGCCAAAAACCAATTTGCTTACCTCATTTGTGTTGCCTGCTTTTCGGCTGTCAGGAAATAACAACCATTTCGCCATTAATGTATATGCAAATTTAATTTATTAAATAGAATGTAGTTTAAATAATGCGTGTATGGGAGTTTCCTATAAATAGTCAAACAATATTAAATTATCTAATTCTAGCTTAGTATAAATACTACATAAACAAAAAAAAAAGAACAACAATTACTAATTAGAGCTAAGAATACAGCATAATTGAGGGTAAGCATTTAATCTATGACTCGATTTCTGGTTTCCGTCTTGCAATTGATCGTTGTGTAGAGTTTTTGAGGACGTCATGCGATGAGATTCAATGGGCAGTATGAGTTTGTAAACTTCTCCTTTGTGTATAACATACATTTTTAACCAGGAGTTATAAGTTAACAACCAATTTTTCCATCATAGGTAATAAAAAGGTTTAGAAGTTAATTTACTACATATGTAATTGAATTCCTTCCGCAGTAATTGTGTTGATTTCTACTGAAAAAACAATTTTTAGTTAGAATCATTTGATTGTCTTAATAACAAAACATAAATGAACTAAAAGCATCGTGAGAAACAGAGATAAAGTTGGTTAAGTTTTAGATATAAAACTTTTATGAAGAGCCGTTTTTAATGCACAGCTTCAGATTTAATAGTAGGGTTTTTAAACCTTTTTAATTGAGTTTTCATGAGCAATCCAAAATGTTTTTCAAATGAACTTCAGTAGTGAATATCCATGTTGATGGTTGTGGACTTCTTTCAAACAAAAGAGTAGACATTATTTTGGTCGATTCCATAAATATGATAACTTCGGGTTGAAAAGTAGATAGCTTCTGGTTTCAGTGAACAATTTTCTGTGTGTTTTTGGATCACATTCTGGCTTTTGTTGAGTTATCCTCTATCCCAAAGAGTTACCTTCTCAACAAGTTACTTTAGCAATGGCAAACATTTTGTGTTGTCTCTCGTTGTGGACACTTTTGCAAGTGTTTAAAGCTAATGGAGCCCTGAGCACAAAATCTGGAGCTGACTGGAGCTCTGTTATCCTTCTCAAGTCACTAACTATCCGCATAGTTGAGTGTGAAGTTGCTGCTGTCGATGTTGCTGCTGTAGATGTTGCTGCTGTCGATGTTGCTGCTGTTGCTGTTGCTTATGTGACTGCTATTGCTGAAGTTGCTGATGTTGATGTGACTGCTGTTGCCGAAACCGATCTCCATGTTGCTCCTGTCACTGTGACTAATGTTGCTGGCAGGCACACTAATGCCCTGAATGTTGCTCCCAGCTGCCTGTGCATCTTGAACTTGGGCCTGCCGCTTGACTTTGTACTCGGGATTCGTTAGCCAATCCTCCTTGATCAGATCGGCGCCCTTTTCCGCAATCATTATCACCGGCGCATTCGTATTGCCACTACTGATCGTTGGCATAATGCTGGCATCAATCACACGCAGTCCACGTACTCCATAGACCCTCAATCGGGGATCCACCACAGCCTCGGGATCCCAGGCGGGTCCCATTTTCGCAGTGCCGCACGGATGATAGATGGTCATCGAAATGGTCCGCACATGACACTCCAAATACGCATCGGAGAGGAACTTGTGCTGCTTGCAATTTGGCAATGGCTTTCGCCACAATCTCGAGCCGAATTGCTTGAAGACCTGGGCCTCGGCCACTCGCAGTGCTATCTTGGCACCCTCCACCAGTGTCTTGGCATCCAGTGGGTCGTCAAAGTAGTTGGCATTGATCAGGGGATAGTGAAAGGGATTGGCCGTTCGCAATTTGACAGAACCCCGCGATCGGGGTCTCAACAACAGCGGCATAATGGTCCAACTATCCTTGTTCGCTATTGGATGATAGACCTCCTGGTACACGGACTCCTTCAGACCCAACACCTTCTTCACCCTCGCTCCGTTATCCGAATTGATGGAGGCCGGTGCCATGTGGAACTGGATGTCCGGCCAGTCGAGGCTGCGATTGGAGTAGGGTGTATGGACAAAGGCCAAGCCCTCCACTCCGCCCAATGTCGTCATGGGTCCACGTTCGCGTAGTACATACTGAAAGGTAACGGCCGTGGGATTGAAACGATCCTGGACAATTGCCACGGGCTTGTCCACCAGGAAGGTGAGTCCGCCCATTCCCACATGATCCTGCATATTCTCGCCAACGGGCAGATCTTGCAGCACACGGATTCCCAGCTTTTCCAGATGTTTTCGCGGTCCCAAACCGGATAGCATCATTAGCTGCGGTGTATTGATGGCACCGGCCGAGAGGATCACCTCCCTTCTAGCGGCAATGCGATAGACCTTGCCATGTTTCACAAACTCCACGGCCTGGGCCCTCATCGTTCCGGGCTCAATGATGATGCGCGTCACATGGGAGTTCATCGAGAGATGGAAGTTCTTGCGCGAACGTATTGGTCGCAGGAAGGCCTTGGCCGTGGAGCATCTCGATCCGCGTCGAATGGTTCCTTGGGCGATCATGAAACCCGCCTGTTTGGCCCCATTTATGTCACGATTCTCGTAGCCCATCTGAGTGCCGGCCTCCACGAAGGCGGCCACCAATGGAGAATGCCATGGGGATTCCTGGACCGTCAGCAGACCACCGCGATTGTGATACTTGTTGTTCGCCAAATAGGGATTACGATTGTCCTCCGACTTCTTGAAGTACCGCAGCACATGATCGTAATCCCAGCCGGGATTACCCAACGAGGCCCAGTGATCGTAGTCATTGCGATTGCCGCGCACATAGAGCATGTAGTTAAGCACCGAACTGCCGCCCAGCACACGTCCTCTTGGCCAATTGCAGCGATTGTTTTGCATGCCCAAACAGGCCTTCGTCGAGGGTTCCGTCTTGTAGCCCCAATCCAGTTTACTCAGCTGCAGATAGGCGGCCAGCGATGGTACATCTGAGATCTCGTTTTCATCGGGACCGGCCTCGATGAGCAGCACTTTCCATTTCCTCACCTCACTCAAACGATTGGCCACCACCGCACCGGCCGAACCACTGCCCACCACTATGAAGTCGTACTCGGGAAAGAGATTTAGCTGATCCAGTGGTCTCGATTCGGGATCGACGGCATCGTAGCGATAGTAGGTGATGGCGGCCAGCATCAGGGGAATCAGCCAGAGTCCCGTGGTCACCACGCCAAATGTCGACTTGATCACAGTGGTTATAAAGAGAAGGTTTAGCACCATGTTGCAGGAGGGGGGGTTCTAGTGCCACTACAGTTCTAGCTCTCGGTTATCCCTTGTGGCTTTCCAAAGCCTTAAGCTTTCTAGTCCTTTGTTTAATGTTAATCTGGTTTATTTTCCACACTTTCTTCTTGCCACTCTCTGAAGTCTAGCGTTTTTTTCTTTTTTGCATGGCGGGGCTCTGATATTGCCCGATTTCTGATAAGCCGCAAAGTTTAAGTGCTGCTTTGCTTATGTGCTTTAATGCCACAGTGCTTTCTGATTTCTTTTTCGATTATTTGTTGGAAATTCTCATCAGGATGTTTAACATTTATTATATTTATTTTCCTTAGCTCCTTCTTTAATTTGAATTATTCACGTTCGATGGATAATCCTTTGCTGATTTGCTTATTAGGTAATTATTGTTATTAATTTTGTATTTATTTTATATGCTCCGTAGATCCTTTTTAATTTGATACTTGAATGTCCTTCTCGTTAGATCCTTATTGCTGCTAGTTTGTGCTTTCCATGTGCTCGTCGTAAGCCAACTGAAAAATGAAGAAAAGTGTGTGAGAAAATGTTTTCAGCTTTAAATTATATATTCTCTGTTATAACTTAATAAGCAACTTTTGAAATGAAAATGGGTACATCAAGTATTCACTGTTCTTTCATATCTAGAGTTACGACACTTGTGACTTCATAACTCTGCCAATTATCGTACATAATTCGACCGCATTTCATATGCCTAACCAACCAAAAAGTGCTGCTATCGTTTTCATAACTTCATGCTTGTTCTGGTTGTCTACAAATGAATGAATTTCGAACTGATTTGCTTAACTGCCTTGTCGATTGTCGATTGCATTCGGTTGCAACAGTTTGTTTGTATTGCATTAATCCCAAACCCCCTTCCCTCGTATTTCCTGACCAATTTCGGTTGTTAACACTGCGATGACGACGACCTTGACGTTATTGCGGCCAATAGCGACAAAGGGGGATTGTTAGCGGCTTTTCATTTTTGGTTTATAATGTTAGCCACGTAAATGCAACCATCTTTCATTTGTTTGTCTTTCAAATTCGTCGGCCGTTTTTTCGGTTGGATTACAACAATATATTTTTTGTTGTACGATCCCACTGACGTAACCGTTTGGACCTATAGTTTTTTTTTCTTTTTCTTTTTCGTTTTATTTTTTTTTTGATTTTTTGGGGGTATTCGTAATTGGCGTGCTCGATTGGGCAAAGACATACGAAATGGGTTTCGTTTCATTTCGATTGTATTGCGATCATTTTGTATCTAAGCTTGGGTTCAAGCCCAGATCGAGATACTCAATAGCTTTGGCTATATTTGGCGGAGGGAGCTGTTGACACATGGTTGTTGTGTTTGTGGTATTTGCAGTTTGTTGTCGAGTTTCTATCAAGCGGGTGTTGAAATATCCAACGGCATTTAGCGCCTGTCTATCCAGTTTACAAATTATTTCGAGAAGGGGGTGGCTTCTCCCCTCCGCTCTTCACCCTGTTTTTGTGGGAGTGGTGGGTGCGAAACTTACAATTTACATACCTGGCCTAATGAGTGTGAGATTCACAGACAGGTGAAGGGATGCCCAGGGGGCTCGAAAAAAAAATGAAAAATAAAAGTGACAGGTGGTGGCGAAAGACAGGGAAGTGCTGCCCAATTTATTCGAGTGATTATCGAGACCACCGTATTAGCAAAACGAATTGATTTCCTTCGCTTTGAAGTTCATTAACTTTTTGATCGCATAAATAAAGCTAAACGCGGCCTATACAGAGCTCTAATCAATGCGAGTGAACTTATTAATTAGTTACATTAGTTATAAGAAATAGCTTTTTAACAGGTATTGAATAAATAATGTAAACAAAGTTATGACTTAAAAGCAAAATAAAAACCATGAGCTCTTTACTATAAAATCTCCTATAAATATTTAAATACTTCTGAAAGTTTTCATTTTTCTGTCTTTAACACATTTATTTTTAGAGGCTTGTAAAATATATAGTTTATTTTAACTTTTTTTTTTTTTTTTCCTAATTTTTAACAACCTTGCAATAAGTGTGTTTGTAAATTCAGTGGGTTCGAAATAATTTGTTGTAACTTTTTTGTAATAAATAAAGATTCCACACTCTCTCTATTCATTTTCCCTGAAACCCGGCCACTCTGACATAATCAATTTCAATGTCGATTTCTTATCACTTCAATTGCCAACCGCTAAACCCGCTCATTCGGTGGCCAAGTGAAAGGCCAGTGAGACTGAGACTGGGGCAACCACCAAACAGGTGGCTATCAAAACCTTTCCTGCCGCAGATGCAGATTCAGATTCAGATACGGATTCGGTTTCGGATGCGGTATCTCGAGAGTGGAAGCTGTGGGTCCATTTCTTCGGCAGTGCTTTCTGCTTTTCTTAGGGTTCGTTTTTGTGATTTGTTTTGTGCGAAAAACCTCCGCGGGGCAGCAGCAACAAAATTGTTGTAAAAATGTCGAAAAAAAAGTTGCACGAAATTGGGTCAGCAGCGACAGCAAACAAGTTTACTTTGCGGCTCCGGGACCAGGTAAACCTGTTGGCCCGGCCCGGAGTTATCATCCACCACCCCCCCTCCTGTTGCTATTGACATGCGTCATTACTGTGGAGAAAAAGAGCGTTGTTTTGAGGCCCGAGCCAAAAATGAATAGCAACAGCTGTTTTCAAAATAATAGTAATATTTGCAGGCCTTCAAAAAGTATACAAAAATAATTAAAATTACTTAGATTTTTGTGAAACAAAATATATTTGATTTGAAGTACATTTCAGGGGTATTTTATATTTTTTAGAATTTTGCTTGTATTTACATTTTTAAATTTCGTAAATTGTGCAACAAGTGTGTGTTAAAACAACCAGCCTAATAATGAAAACAAGACATATATTAAAAACCTAAGCCCTAGCAAAATTATAATGTGATATTTTAAGTTGCCAATAAGTAAGCTAAAGGTTAAAATTAATACTAAATACTATTAAAAAAAAAACCATTTAAATTTCTTTGAAAAAATGTTTTTAAAGGCAAAAAATCTATTATTTTGAACATTGTTGTGTACAGATTATTATATTCACAAGCTTTTGATGGAAGCCAATTAGGCTTCCTGTCCAGCTGAAGGCCATGACCACTGATCACTGATCACTGATCAGCCAACTGCCAACTGAACTTCCCCTTCTTCAGGTTTTTGTTTGCTTTACTACTTTTAGCACCCACGCATCTAACCACTTTATCATGATGATTGAGACAATTAAGGTGATTTGCTTGCCGATTTTGTGCGCTAATTTGGTGTAAACAAACGCAGACATCAGTCATTCACTCACTCAGTCACTCAGTCGGTTATTTAGCCACTCGACATCGCCATAAAGTCGTTGGGTTCATGATTACAATGTCAGTCGGTGTCATTTCGTGTCAGTCACCTTGGCCAGCAGGTGGCAAAGTGATTTGCCGGCTGGGTTTGGATTCTTCAACTTTGGGAGACATGTCATTGTGTCAATGACTTGCTGTGGCCCAAAACAACACTCCGGCAATAGTGGCCGCCTAACAGTATTCAAATGGTGCAATTAATTAATTATTGTACTCATGGCTAAGTAAAATGTTTTAATTACCTAGCGGCAAATTTCATTTAGCTGCAACAACACCCAGGAAAATGCCTGCAACAACTGCACAGGTGCACAGCAAGAAATATTCTGCTTGATTCGATATGCTTACATTTTTAACAAAACTGGCAGTAAAAATGAAATACCACTTAAATAGAGGTACAATATTTAATGATAGACAATATTAAATGTTGATTTTATGTTATAGAAATTTAAATATTATTTTGATTTGTTTCAGTGTATTTTTATGTTGATAGTTGCTTGTTGCTGGTGCGTGCCAAATGTTAATTAAAACTATGCACTGGCAATTGAGGCAAAAATCGAATAAAACTGGGATATTTACGACTTTTAGGAGATTGCTTAAAAAAAAATAACATTACTTAAAACTCAAAACTTAACAGCTAGTTAAGTTACTTTAATGGGGAAAAGCATATTTAACCAAGAGTTTTTTCACAGCCGAAATTAAAGTAAGATTTTTAATACTTTAACTAACAAAGTTATGGTCTATAATTTAATACCTAACGTTTTAAATTTTCAAATTAAATACAAATATTTATTGTCAAAATTAAAAAAAAAGAGCTTTTAAATATACCTAACTTGCTTATTTACAATATATAACATCTTTGATTTGTAATTTGATTGCCATACTATATCCTATCCTGTATTTTCTTAATGCGTTTTTAAATGGCTTCACGGAGTTTTTAATCGCTGCTTTTAATCAATTTAAAAACCTCCTTTAACCTAATGCCTGTTGAAAAAGCCATTAGTGTCAGACTTGGGGCCTCAAATATAATGTTGCTGCTGTTATCGAAGATGTTGCTGCTGTGCATTGTTGCTGTTTTTGTTGTTGTTGCTGCTGTGCGCTGAAGTTATGCGAAATGGGCGTGGAAGACGTCGCCCTACGCCTCATTTCTTTTTTAATGTAAATGCAAATTTCTTTTTTTTGTCTACACGAGAGCATAATGTTTAAAAAGAAACAATTGTTGTTGCTGCGGCAACTGATGTTGCTGCCAGTTATTACCGCAAAGACAAATCTTTCTATTGTCTTTGGCGTTGCAAAAAAAAAATAAATAAAAACCAAAAAAAAAATGAAAGACTTACAAAGGCAGCTACATTAACAATACCCCCGAACAACCGTTAGTGTTGCTGCTGTGCCTGCAACATATAGCCTACTTATCAAAGCCTCTCTTTCTTTATTGTTAGTATTTTTCTTTTATTGGTTTTCTGAACGTATTTCATAGTTTAATGTGGTTTTTGTGTTTGTACATTTTGTGGGTGGATTGTGCAAATGAAAAACCGAAAAAAAATATGCACTTCAGTGCATTTCATTTCGAACTCTTTTCACCCATTATTATTTTTTGTTTCTTTTTGGTAACCGGCAACAGGTGTTTGAAACTTTAACCTTTCGATTCACTTCACTTTTCTGCGACTTTATTTTTTGGCTTACTTGCAATTCTTAGCCCACGTAGCCTGGCACTTTTGGCACATCAATCACAAAAACGAAGTCACGGGATCCTTTCAATACGTTCGACAAAAAAATTGGGTGGTTTAAAAATATGATTATATTTAGGTATATATATCGAAAATTGTTAACCGCTGACTGCGTCTGCGCGGCTGCGTTGCACGTAGTCAACTGAACGATCCGTTTGCCGCGAAATTCCGAAAAGCTATAGCTGGAGAGCAACAACAACTCGCAGAGCAGCTGTTGCATATTATTGGCACATCGAACACGTTGGATGGCCAACAAGTTCGAAGCTCTGATAACGGTACGAATGTTGGAACTTCCAACCGCAACGTAGGAAGAAGAAGAAGATGCGGTCATAAAGCCAACAAAACCAGAAGGTCAAATAGCTGAGGAAAAGGGGAGGAGGAAGAGAAGTGGGGTGGTAATTGACTCTAAATGACCAAAAAATGGGTCACAAAATTCGAATGCGATCGTCGGTGAAGAAGAATTACGTTAAATATGTGGAAAGATTACAGCAAAATGCTTAAAATATGTTGATCGATTATAGCGATAGATCCTTAATCGAGAAAAGTAGTTTTAATTGAGGAATAAAATTTGAGGTATATTAGTAATACAAGTTTGACATCAGAAGAAAACATAAAAGATCAAGAGAAAAAGGTTTGATTATATTTTTAAGAAAAGCACTATTTAAGAAGAGGATTAAAAAAATTAAATGGTTTACAATTTTTCTTTATACACTTAGGAAATAAAGGGTCAACTATAAAATATAATATATAATAATAAATAATTTGCTAGCAAGGCTGAAATTAATAAAACTTCTAGTCACCAAGTTTATTTAAAAAGTTGACTTCCAAATTGTTGCTTACAATAAAATTTTTTTTTTTTTACAAAAAAATTTGCAAATTGCCTTAACGAAATGTGACTGAAGCCTTACGCTTATTAATACCCACGTCCAAAGGAGTTATAGTTTTTAATTCCTTGGCAGATCTTGTGCGGCTGGAAATTCTCTCCGCTTGAGTGACCGCATTCCTCGCCTGCCAAACCCATCTGTAAAGTGGCAAGCCATGAGCGAAATATGGTCAAATGAAGTTATTAACCCATTAACATGGCTGAGAAAAATCTGTGTGTTTTTCAGTTTCTGTATTTTTTTCCTTTTTGCGCTGGCGAGAGATCTATTTGCCAATTGCCTGGCACAACCCGGCTGGCTGTGTTTTGTCAACGGGTATAATTTATGTAATCATGAGCCAAAAAAGCTAAAAAAAAAACAAAAACAGCACAGCTACGGTAAACAGCAACAACATGATTTAGGTAAGCTGTTGAAATATTTCATTGCTGTCTCTTTCCCATTTCGCTTCGTTTCTCAGCTCGACTTTTTTGTGTGTTGGGTGTTAAGGTGCAATTAGTGCTCAGGGAAGAGGGATATATGTTTATGCATGTATATATAAAGAGGGGCCATGGGCAAGGAGGTGGACCCATTGCGATAAGCTCGCTGAAAAGGGAATGTGGCGATTTTAAATAAAAACGCCCTCAAACAAAAATGCAACTCATAGAAGAAAAATTATCAATTTTGCCGACCAACTGTCAAATGCCCTGCAAGATTATAATCAATAGGAATCAAATTTATGTATCAAATTTATATGAAGATCAACAAAATTGTATTTATAGAAAAAACTTGACGTTTCTGTATAATTACTGGAACTGTGTTTTCAAATTTGTTTTATTTATTAAAACCATATCTTGCAAAAGATTTTACAATCTAAAATATATAAATTTTTGTTTTTTTTTTTTCTAATCTTATATGATTTGAAAAAAAAACTATACCCTTTCAAAGGGCATCGAAACTTTCGCTTAGCCAAAAACTCCTTTAAGTCAATTGGATCTGTTTTTCGGATTCCAAGAGGGGTTGTGCATTTAAAGTGCACCATCTGGCGAAAGGCTCTCGACAAAAAAAGGGGCTCAAATTAAAAGGGCAACAAGTGGCTTTAAGCTTTGGATTAAACCTCGTTAGTTGGCAGCGCGGATATTTTGCTTTTGATTTGGATTTTGATTGCCTACGTGAGGCGCGGCACCTAACACCTTGCCCCATCTATGACATAAGCGGCGGGTCTGATATTTTTTTGACAATGCTCCTCCATACTCCCTCCCAAATTTTTTTTTCCAGTTTGCAATTGAAATTATATGCCTTGAACGATTTCGGGTTCGGGTTCGAATCGGCTTTTTTTTTATTTTTGGCTTTGGATTTGGTTTGCTTTGCTTTGGTTTTGGTTTCGTTGCAATTGCAACTTCGACGGCGGACTGAGGCACGGCATAATTGACCGAAATTAAACAGAGATTATTCAATCCCTCCCGTAAGTCCACAAGCCTCTTGCGCCCAAAAAAAAAAATTAAAAAAAAAAAAAGAGTCCCAACCAGTCTTGGATTTGATTACTTCTTTCGTTTTCTTGTGCGATTTGTCGCGTGTGTTCAACATCACGTATGCACCTCTGTTTGCACTGGGGAAATTAAGAGGATGACGATGTGGGAGAAGAGAGAATAAAGCAGAAGATGATGAAGAAAAAGAGGGTGAAAAAATAGTGAAGCGAATGCAAATTCCTCTTGACATGTATCATGATTAATTTCAATTCAATGCAGACACGCACTGATGAGATGCACGGAATGATTACCAATGACTGTCTCAAATGATTCACTGTATTTGACTTGTTCCGTTTGATTTACCTAATATTGAGTAGAGGATATACCCGATCATCAATTGGATTATTTAAGACTGAAGACTGTATTCACTTTTGATAATCCATATGATTAATTTGATAATAAGTAGAGTTTATATTCGATCAGCCATGTATCTAGTTTTGTCATATTATTGACTTATTTCATTTGATTTATTTAATACTCAGTAGGGGGTATATATTCGATTTAAGTAAGATAGCTGTATTCACTTTTGATAATCCATATGAGTAAATAAATAGTGAAAAGAGTTTACATAAGATAAAACTCATATTCAAGTATTGAGTAAATAGTATTAATATTATTTATAACAGAAAATATTACTAAATAGTAGATATAGTAGTATATAGTAAAAGTAGTAAGAAATGAAGTAAATAGTAGTAAACGATTGTAAAATGATTATTACCTTTGATGTTGTTATTTTCCGAGCGAGTTAAGGAAGTAGTGGTTTGGTTATTTAATTTATCTAAAATTTGGTATGGTAGATGCTTAGTCTTATTTATAGTGTATATTATATACTTAATCGGGGATTATTTAATTGACTCGGAGTATTTTTTTGACTGGCTGCAATTAGGAAGATGCATATATCCGCTTGTGATTATTAAAGTATTATTATTGACCCTATTTAAACAATGATCTACTGCATCTCCAAACCATCGCCCACGTATTATTAATCCCCGCTCCCGCATTATGTGCACTTCCTATCTTACCTCATCTGCCGGCTTGTTTTCAGGGGGTCTCGACGATCGAACTCTCGGCGGTTTAATGACCCAATTCCATGTGACCGGCTCACCGTTTCACTGACCACAGACACAGATATTCACCGCACGTCCCTCGATCTGAAATGTAGTGTGTAGTTTGTAGTGTGTAGTGTGTCATCATCCCGCACAACTCCTCCCCGCTCTTCATCCGCATCTTTCGCATAACACTTTCCATTCGTATGCGGTCGCTATGACTTGTCGTTTCGTTAAAATCAAATCAAATATTTGCCCCAACTTTGTTTGCATTTATTTATTAGTTATTTCCCACTGTATACCCTCTAAAAGGGCCTTATGTAAGAAGTCTGGGCATCGCCTTGGGTGGTTTATAGACTCGGTTTCGTTTGCTTATGGTCTTTCTTATTATTATTATTTTTGCAATGTTATTACGGATAAAGGGTGCGGTGCGGGGGTGTGAAACCGACTTCTTTGGAAGTAGCATGCGAAATTCGCAATTGTCCGGCTTTTCGCTGGCAGTCGATAATTGTCGACAGGCCATTGCCCAAACTTTCAACTGACACCTACGAAATAAAACGTGCCGAGTGCTCCGTGTGGTCAACAAATTTTAGTAACCTTGGCACACTTGAACGCTCGAAAGCGAAACTTTTTTTTTTTTTTTTTTTTTTTTTTTTTTTTGAATAGCAACACGGAAGCTTGACTATCAAGCCACGCCCACGGCAACTCAAAAAAAGAGCAAAAAAAAAAAAAGGAGGGCGGGGGAACACGGAAACCATCAGCATATCATAAATGCAGAGCTTATACTTTTCAACGGGGGCATTTGCGGGGGAATTTTTGATTATACTGGCAATTTTTGACATTTGGCTCTAGGAAAGCGGAAGATCGGGCAGCCCAGAAAGTTGACCAAAAGGGGCGGATTCCAAATACCGCCCAGCACTTAAGGCAAATCGAAAATCAAATTAAAATTATGCATTTCGTGACTTAACTTTCTCTGTGGTTCCTGTCCTAACTAACTCTTGACAATGGTTCACGCACTCGCTAAGTTTACTTGATATTATTTTGGAAACAAATAATGAACAAAAATAATTTAGTACTAAAAGAATTGTATTAAAAAAGTTGGTTAGATTTGGTACAGAAGATAAATATTTTGACTATAATTATAATTACACAATTTGTAATAAACTTTTAATATACCTACATGGTTAATGGTTAAAATGGTTTTATTATACTCCCATTTGTCTTAAATTTGGATAAAATTTAAATTAGTTGTTTTATATTACTTGTTACTAAAAATGCGAGAAATAAACTTTAATGTAACATTATATGTAAATTAAGGAATCCTTCGTAAAAAATCTCTTTCTTCATGTAGATGTCATGTATTAAATAGAAATAGTAGAATAACTGATCAAGAAAAATCATATTAAAGACAAGATAGTTTAATATAAACTCTGTTTTACAACGTTTGAGAGTTTTTGTAAGTTCATAATTTAAAAATAATAATTTGTTTAGTGCCATGTATTTGACATCATATGTAGATAACAAATTAAGTAGCCGACATGTACAACCAACTCACGTTTAAAACGTTTAACTAAAAACACTACACAGTTTGCCTTAATAAATTCTTTATTATATACAATGTTTTTGCATTAAGATGCAAATGTCGCCAAAAATTAAAGAAATTAAGTAGCCGACAAGTATAACCAAATAAATAAATTAAAACACATCTGAGATTGTTTCATAAATACATAAATATTTAATAAAATGCTTGATAAAATAACAAAAAAAAAAACCTTTATGTGGGAATTCGTACACTTAACTTAACAGAATAACTAATCATAAATTTAGCGGCGAATGAAACGAGGAAATCGATAAAACGAAAACACATAGCGATAATATTACATCTGTTAATCCACATTTGACTAGTTGAAACATAAATTAGCAATAGAGTGCCTAAACTAAGATGAAGTGTTCGCCCGCCTGGCGCCCCAATCTTCTTTGATCAAATCGGAGGCCTTTTCGCCGATGGCGATAACCGGTGCATTGGGATTCCCATTGACAATCGTTGGCATAATGCTGGCGTCCACCACCCGAACTCCGGACACCCCGTAGACCCTTAGTCTGGGATCGACCACGGCGGTGACATCCCAACTGGGACCCATGCGACACGTTCCAGCCGGATGATAGATTGTGAATGTGAACTCCTTGATGCAACAGGCCCAGTATTCGTTCGACTGAAACGGCAAATGCCTGCATCCCGGAAGTGGAATGTTGTGCAGCCTGGAGCCAAATCGCTGGAAGGCCTGGGTATTCGAGACATTGATGGCCAACTTAATGCCCTCGACCAGCACATCGATGTCCTCCTGGTGGGCAAAGTAGTTCGGTATGATCTTCGGCTGGTGCTGCGGATTCCTCGAGTTCAGACGCACCCATCCGGTGCTCTTGGGCCTCAGCAACAGTGGCAATATCGACCAGGTTTCACTGTGCTGCAGCGGTTTGTATACTGTATTGTAGAAGCCATCTCGCAGATTCAATATCTTGCGTATCTGCTCGCCGCCATCGGAGTTTATCGAACTGGGGCAGAAATGGAATTGCACATCGGGCCAATCGACGGCGGGATCTTGGTATTTGGTGTTGAGAAAGGCCACACCCTCCACTCCCGAAAAAGTCATGGGACCCCGTTCCCTCAGTATGTATTCCATGGACACGGGGATGGTCTGGAAGCGATTGCGGGTGACGGTCAGTGGAGCATCCACCACAAAGGTGAGGCCGCCCAGACCGACATGATCCTGCATATTGTTGCCCACTGGCAGGTCGGATATCACCGGTATATTGTGCTCCTGCAGATGCTCCGCTGGCCCAACGCCAGAAAGCATTAGTAACTTTGGGGTATTGAGGGCACCGGCACTCGCTATCACCTCCCTTTTCACGAACACCAGATTCTTGCGACCGCCCCTCGTGTACTCCACACCAATGGCCCGCTTCTGCTTGTCGAACAGGATCTTGGTGGCCTCCGCATGGAGCAGGACATCGAAGTTCTGGCGCTGGCGCACGGGTCGTATGAATGCCTTGCCAGTGGAACAACGGGCACCGCGACGTATTGTGCTCTGGGTGAGCATGAATCCCGTCTGCTGGGCACCGTTTATGTCCCGATTCTCGTAGCCCATCTCCATGCCCGCCTGCAGGAAGGCGATCGAGAGGGGAGTTCGCCATGGGGCCTCCTGAACGGTCAGATATCCACCAGTTTCGTGGTATGGCGTCTTGGCCAAGTACGGATTGCGAACGTCCTCCGATTTGAGGAAGTACTTCAGCATGCTGTCGTAGTCCCAGCCCGGATTACCCAACGAGGCCCAATGATTGTAGTCGTTCTTGGAGCCGCGTACATAGACCATCGCATTGAGGACAGAACTTCCGCCCAGCACTTTGCCCCTCGGCCAAAAGCAGCGATCGCCCTTCATCGCCTGACAATACTGGCGGGTGGACGACGGCGTTGTCTGGTACTTCCAATCCAACTCCGTTAGCTGCAGATATCCGGCCAGAGCTGGCACGTCCGAGATCTCCGTTTCATCGCCGCCGGCCTCCAGGAGCAGCACCGTCCAGTTGCGCACCTCACTCAGTCGATTGGCCACCACGGCGCCAGCGGATCCGCCACCGATCACCACGAAATCATACTGACGACGTATCTGAATAATAGGGATTGCAAAATAAATTAGCATCTGTAGGCGTAAAGTGTGGGCTTTTCAAATAATGATAGCTTTGACTAAAACAAAGACAAAATGTATGGTCATTAAAGGAACGATAGAGAGAAGTTAGTAATAATATATTATTAACTTCAGTCTAAATGAGGTGGGTTACATTTCATTTAAAAAACCCACAAAGGCGTTTTTAAATTATTTACCTTTGGATACAGACAAAACAGCACAAAAATATAATATTTAAATGGAATTGAAAAAAATAACGAAAATAATACATTTAAGACGAACATGATACATTTAAGATAAGACTGAAATTAATATTTATTTTAATATGGAGTTTATGAGCGAGTTAATATAAAAAACTATAGATCAGTGCCTTAGATCTTCTTACATTACATTTAATTTTAAAATGGAACTAATGGTTATAGTACTGTATAAAGTATTTAACAAAGTTAGGTTCATGAGTAGCTAAAATCCAATGATATTTAGTAGATGAGTTAAGATTCTAAAATGATAGTTAAATTATTCTGTCGATTGGTACTGCTAGATTGGCAACTTACGACGGTTGGCTCCTGGACCTTGTTCTCGGGATCGACGCTTTGATAGCGATAGAAGTTCATGCCGATCGCCAGGAGTGGGATCATGCCAAGCAAAGACGTCATTGTGCCAAACGCCATGTTTCAGTAATTGTCAAATCCACGGATCCTCCTGACAGTGTTTGCCCGGTTGTCCGGTTGCTCCTACTCCTACTCCTGATCCTGATCCTGATCCTCCTCCGGATGTGGTCCGCTTTCCCGGACCGTAACAATGAGCCGGAGCACTCGAGGATAACGCTGTCGATGTGCCGGTGTTCGTGTTGCTGCTGCAATGCCCCGAAATACTCGATTCCCCGCTGGCCAAGATCTTGGGTGTATAGTTGCGAATGCCTCCTGGACGAGCGGATTTGAAATGCGCCCGTGCCCGCTCGTCCTCCTCCAAGATATCCAGATAGGACTTGATGTACAGGTGGTGGCTCAGGTAGTGCTTCTGCTTGTCCAGCGATCGATTCGATTTGCTCGAAACCAGTGAACTGGGACAGCCTCTACTGGAGCTACTGCTGCTGCGACTGCTGCTGGCACTACTGCTAACGGCCGATATCGAGGATATGGAACTGCAGTGGCACGACGAGTTATAAATCCCACTGTCCGAACTCTGCGAACTGCTCCTCTGCAGATTCAACTTGGCGTAGTGCGAATCCGTATCCGATTGACTGGTACTCGCTCCACTCGCTGGTATTTTGCTCCTCTCGTACGTTTGTTTGCTCAGATTGTACTTGTGTCGCAATCGGTAGTTCTGATTGTTGTTACTATTAGTATTATTGTTATTATTATTATTGCTATTGTTGTTTGTGGTGGTGGTGGTGGAGGTGCTGGAGGAGCTGGTGGATAGGTGGCTGGCGGGCGTGTAGATCGGCTGATTGGTGGTGCTAATGCCGCTGAAGCTTTTTCGCTGTGGTTGTCGTTTGTGATGGGGCGGTTGTTGTTGTTGTTGGTGCTGCTGGTGGTGTTGTTGGTGTTGCTGATTTTGCTGTTGCGATATCTCTTGGCCCATATTTTGACAGAAATATGAACAGAACTGCAAGATACAAAATAAGGCAAATAATTAAAAAAATTATCACAATTGTACTTTAAGAAATAAAATTAGTAGTACTATTTCTAAAGTTTGTGTATAATATTATATTATTCGGTGTCTTATCCTTTTTTAATAAATCAGTTTACTAGTTATTGTTTATTGTTTATTGACAATTACTTGATATTAATTTTGATTATATTTGCTGTATTTAATTTAAACCCCAAATAGACTGTATGCCACATCCATTACAAAATATATCTAAAGTAAATCGGTAGTCAAATACAAATTGAAATCCCATCAATTTCAAACCACCACGTTTATGTCACTGTTTCCATAGATTTTATTGCAATCGTTATTTAGGTTCAGTCCGCCATGTCTCAATGTTTCCCAGCCTAATCCATTGATGGAGCAACCAGCTCTCGACTATATTCAGATAACGACATTCGAAGCGTGGGAGCGGCGCTATCACTCATCCATTTATGGATGATGGGTAACTGATGAGCATTGTAGTAGTAGTTTTTTTTTTTTTTTTGGTTTCTTGTTAACATGTTTGCCATTGTTGCATGACTTGGCAAACGAAAACGAAAAAAAAATACGAATACAAATACAAAAACTGGCTCGAAAATCAGCAACATGCAAGCAATAAAGTCTGGCGGAAGCCGCTATATGTGCGTATATATGTATATATACAAATACCTAAAAGCCTGCAGTTTGGCAATCGTTGGCCAACAGATGGCGCTGTCACACGCGCAGCCAAACAAAAGACTTAGGCAACGAACTTGTTTACACTTTTCGCAAGCAACGAAAAACTACGAAAATAAAACGTTATCAAATCGCATAGAAATTAAATTAAAACTATATAAATATTCAAATGATGTCAGCAACATCTCATTAGCCATCCATTTCTTTTCTTCTTTTTTGTTGTTGTTGTTGTTGTTGCTATTGATTTTTGTTGTCTTTCCCGGCCTGTATATTTCTCTATTTTTCTTTCTTTCTCTCGATGGCTAGTTTTTCAAGTTCAATGCCGTTTGGCAGGCGGAAAGCGCAAATAGCAAAAAAAAAAAAAAAAATCCTCGACTACATTTTGTCTCTTGTCTCTCGAGAGTCTCGAATGTCTCAATGGCTCAGCCTGTAAAATGCAATTTCGTTATTTTGTATGTCCATTGGCGGCATCGGGCTTTAATTGCCGTCCAGCTCCTGTTGTTGTTTTTTTCTGCGGTTTTTCCAGTTTTCCCCCCGGCGCTCTCGATTTAAAGCGATCGCAGTGAAAGCCAAGCGACATCGAGCTTCCTACATACGGTACTCGTATTTCATGTAATCACTTTTGTATGTAATATTTATTTTATTTTTCCCTTTTCTTGTTTTTAGTTTTAATCTTCTTTTTTTTTTTTTTTTTTTTTTTTTGGGGGTACCTCTGTCACAACACTTGAAAATAAAAGTAACTGGAACTGCTCTCGATTAATTAACCGCACCGAAAATAGTTGTCTATTTTTAGACGCGCAAAATGCTGTTAACTAAATTATGATATATGTGTATATATAACTATTTTTGCCAGGCAATTTCGCTTCAGCGATTTGAACGGCTCGACGGTTGCCATGTAACTAACGAAAACTACAAAAAAACAAACATCATCAGCGGCAGAAATTAAATCCAAAATTCGAAAAATTCATTCACTCAAATCCCCGTTAAAGGCAGACGCAACACTGGCCGCTAATTTATGCAACGCCCTTGGGCGGAGTGACAAAGGAAAACCCTCCGAGATATTTTTTCTCGCTTGACGCAATATTGGGCCAGGTTTTCTCGGGCATTTTTACATCACATTGATGTCGATTCATCCATTTACTTCGTCGGTTCCGTCGTCATTATGCAATTCACACATTGTTAGCAACTGGCCGCAGTTTCTGGCTCGGTTTATTTTTTTATTTTTTCTGGCCTCAACTGCCTGTCAATTATGATTTGACAGCTTTTAATTATGGCCAGACTTTATGCCCCATAATTGATGACATTTTCACGGATTTCTGTGCGCTCGTTTGTTTTCTGTTTGCCCTGCCCTTTGTGGGTCGCATCGCACACAAATCCAGTCGGAAAGTGGTAAGTAATTTCAGCTACTTCACTTCAGCTGAACGCTTTCTCGACAATCGGCTGAGTCATGGTACCGTGACACATTAAAGAAGCTCAACTTGGCTAACAACAACAAGCAAATAACACGAGAAATCATAAAAAAAATGTATAGAAAAAAATCATGGCGCATTTCCGTACTAAGTGAATTGCAGTTGCTAGGTGACACCTAAAATGGAAATAATTACCACGTTTACCACTCTTTGGAATCAATTATTTATTAGGGTTTTCAACTATGAAAGCCGTATTAAATGACTATTAATAAAGGGAATAATAGTCTTTCGTTTTGATATGTATATACAATTTGGGATATCCTATTCTAGTTATTTAAGTTGTTCTCTGTTCCATGTTCACTTTTTCAAGCTGTCCTTTAAAAGTTTTCTATTACAATTTTCAAATTTTTCAATTTTCGACTAACTGATCCTATAAGCTTTTCCCTATTGAGATATCTTATTAATTATTTCTCCTGTTTTATAAAACCTATACATTGTTTTAAAATACAAGTTTCTTATTTTAAATGTTCTATAAGCCCCATTTCACCTTTTTCTTATTTTCTGCATCATTTATATATTTTCTATATTGTTTTATTTTGAATTTATTAATTTATTGTGTTAAACATTAAAATGCAGAATAAAATATAGATCGTATTTACTTTTACCATATACGTACTTATACGGGTTCCGTTTTAAATAGTCTTAGTTTGTTTCTAAATTGGTAAAGTCGTTTAGTTTGCGTAATTTTTGCAATTAATTTAACATCACACTGTGGAAAGGGTGTGCATTCTTGGTTAAACATAAACTCTACCTTTCGTAATGAAGAAACACCACAGATTGTTGATAACTTTAGATATGGGATAAGTTTTTGCTACTTTTGTATCCCCCCTAGGGTATTTTCCATTCGTTACGACTGCCCTATTTTGCTCTCCCTCTTTCCCACTTGGCCATCGCAGCCATATGGTTACATAGCAGCACTTTCTTGCTGGCCTGCTTGGCGCTTTTAATTGCCCGAGTCGTATGCATATGCAGTGCCACCGGCGATACACGCGCTCCATGATTGCCTCTTTATGGTCGCGACGTGCACAAATTGATAATAATTCGCACAGAGGTGTGAGTCGGTGGATCGTCGTATCGGTGGATCGTCGGTGGAGTAATGCCACCGAATCGGCGGTAGAAAGTGTGAATAGGCCAAAAACAAACAAATCAAACCAAAAACCGCGAAGGCGTGGCCGGTAGGAGTCTTGCATAAGAATTTGGCCCAGCATATTCGCCTCCTTTTTAGTATTTGTTTGCTTCTGTATCTTTCTTTTTTTTTTTGTTTTCCCCACCGTCGTATTTTGAACCTTCAGAAATGGAAGTTGTTACATAAAATAAAAGTGAAAATGACCGCAGTTGTAGTACGCCAGTATGTGGTCTTGTATAAATGCAAATAGGTGTTAATGTACGAGTTAATGGTTATTTGTGGGTTTATTAAAAGCTGTGTTTATACAGGTTGTAAAAGTTGATTTTTTATTTATTGAGTATTTGTTATGATAGTTTAACCTGTTATCAAGATGTGTACTTTAAAAATACATCAAATATATTTTGTCAAAAGGGTTAAGCAGCTAAATAAATAATGTTATATACTTGTATGCTGGTCTATTATCAAGAATAAAACGATGTTAAAAATACTGTTTGCCAAAATTTAAGATAAATGGGAAACAAAAATAAATTAAACAATTATTCAATTGAATAGAAAGAGAGATTTGTTTACTTTTTTGAAAATAATGATAAATTGTTAAATGATTTTTTGATGTATGAAAATGTGTGATGATAAAATTATGCTATACAAACTTTAAAAAATATAAGTTAATTATTCTGGTTTAAATTCCCGAGGATATCTTTGTTTCTGCACTTGATTTTGGTACACTTGCCTCCGGTTTTTTATTAGTATTGTGACCGCTGCTCGGGTTCCAGTAGCTGCTGTTATACAGTTGTTGTTGCTGCCGTTATTTTTGCGGATTATTTATTTATTTATATTTTTTTTTCTTTTTTGTGGTATGGCGGCTTCAAACTGAACGCGACTGCCTGCCACTTTCCTTTGTCTCACTCACGATTACCATGACTGCTGCTGCCGTCTTTCATCTCAAAACAGCAGCAGAAAATGCAAAAAAAAAAAACAATAAACAGAAAAAAATATAAGGGACAAAGTACGATTGATTGCACTGTAATTTCTTCAAGTGATAATTGTCAACGGTGTTTTCGTTTCACTCTCGATAATTCCAATACACATATATATATAATATTTCGCCGCTCCCTGCGAAACGCACGCCACGAGCTCGTCTTGTTCAATGAACAATTCGCTTTTTGGTTTTGCTTTTGGCCACATTGGCCGAAGACGGCCAAGATGATGAAGAAGCAGCTTTTTGGACGGCCTTCGAAAGCTTTTACCCTCGCACTTACCAATGATAACAACAAAATCCGCAGAGTCCAAACCGAAACACAAACAACAGTCCGAGAGAGAGTGAAAAAATGAGGGAGAAATATCCGTAAAGCTGCTTACAAAATTGTTACACCGAAAGAAAATTGTACAAATATTTAATTCATTTGACTGTATCAATATAACTTGGAATCTAGAAAAAAGGCATTGTCATTGTATCATATCATTAATATAAATGGTACAAGATTATATAAGGTACAGCAAATATTTGAAGAGAGGTTAAAAACCATTTTTTTTTTCTTATCAACCCCAATTTATGTATAACTTAAATAAAAATAAAATTAAATAAAAATTAGTAAATTGTTTGGCAAATATTTAAATAGTAGATTTTTAAGGAACAACTTTATTTAATGATTTTTTTTCAGTGCCTGACAATGAGTGAGCTGCACTTTCGATTTCGTTACCATTTCTTGGGGCCTCGGCTGTCTTCGGTTTTTTTTTGTCATTGAGCTACGTGCTCCATTCAACGTTTGTGTTACCACGGCGCGAATGCAAAAGCTTTTCGGGATTTCGTAGAAAAGGACGGGGAATGCCAATCAGAAAGAGATCGATATATTGGCGGAGAAAGAGAAGTACTGAGGCCGGTTTGGAGGCTTTCTTTGGCTGAGCCAAAACTGCTCGCAGCGATCATCGCCAGCGATTTACAAGTCTGGCAATCGACTTACCATTTTATTATTCATGATTCCCAATCCAAAAGTTTAGCGTTTAACTGGGGGCCAATAGCAACAAGGCCATAAAGATCGGCTTCGAGATGGAGATTTCCGGTTTGTTTACTCGCACTCCATTCCATTTGGCGATGCAATCGAAGGGTAAAAGTGCTCAATATTGAAATCATTTGGGAGTACTTGTGGCTGGGCAATAAATTGAAATAGTGAGATACTCACAGCAACAAAATAAGGCGGTCACAAATAATAATAGTCGATGTATTCGATCTATTTTCTCTTTTATCACCCAACATACATCATTAGCACTAATACATTATTTTTAATGGTATTTTTTTTACTACTTATTTTAACTGTTTTACAAATTTGCCATAGAATAATAACTGATACAAGAATTGGTACCTGTTCATTTTAAAATCCTATATAAATTCTAGATATTTATAAACTATAATTTTAAATTACTTTTTAAAGTTGATTTCCCTGCCTAAAATGTTGTCATGTATTTTGTTTAAGAATGAACTTATTTAAATTACAAGATGTTTAAAGAATTAAATTTAAACGTCTTGTAATTTAAACTCCATTCATTTGGGCATTATTATTGTCAAATGAAGATGCCGCCTAGCCACCGGAAAAACCGCAACCTACTCGAAATAAATTCATTCACATTCGCTCCATTCATTAGGCGAGTCAAAGAGTTGAACAACTCTGTGAACCCTGCGATCTCTGTGGGCATCATCACATCATCAGGTGCAATTGCCCCCCATTGAACTCTATGCAAAAACAGAGACCGAAATAAATGATTGCCGGGGGAAAGGAGAATGATTTTCGCCAACAGAGCGGCGCAGTTTGTTGTTCCGCAGTGATCGCAAATATATTTTTGCATGTTGCCGGCTTTAAACTTGACATTGCACTGAAAAAAATTTGATTTAAAACATAATATACAATTATTATTATTATGTTATAATAAACATATGATTTGACAATCTTTTGCAATGATGAATTCATTATATACAACTTTTAAAGCACTGTAAAGAAATAGATTTAAAATTGACGAGAAATTTTAAATATTATGATAAATTACATAATTAATTTGTCAATCTTTTGCATGGCAAATAATAATGCCAAATTGACATACTAACTTACATTTTCTTTTAATATCATATATGACCCGTAAAATGCAAAGTTAATCTTAAATGTAAATTCAACTTTGCATACACATTTTTGGTTTGTGGATGGGTTTAAAATGGAACAGCTGGGCCAGGAGCTTATAAAGGGGATCTGCGGGGGCTGAGAAGCCCCCGGTCGTGGGCAACTTTCATTTTCGTTCAGATGACTGCAAAATTTTGGACGGTCATTGCTTTGCAGCATAAATATTTATGCGTTGCACTTGAGAGCGCTGGAATTGAAATTGAAATTGAAATCGGCCTTAAAGTTGGGCCTTAACGCTGCACATGGAGATGGAATCTGGCCGGGCTTAGATTTATGGCCGTCTTCCGCGACCCAAGTGGTGAAAAAAAAACAAAATGGGGGGATCTATGGCTAAATGGAAGGCCTGCGGCAATTAGCCAAGCACACAACGCCTTGATTTGTAGTGCATTTTGTTAACAAATTATTGGAGCCGGGCCAAAAATGCATTATTCAATTGGGAATTATTTATTGTACATACCTCTACGCACCGTTAACTGCTGCGATTGCTAGCCTTTAATATGTACTTAATTATGATCATCATCGGTTGTAAACGAAATGGTAAATGAAATTGTACAACTGCTATTAATTTGCCGAAGGGAGACTATCAGATTATGGCATTGGCATTAACGCATCTAACCGCATCGCATATATATCCGATGTGAAAAAACGAGGAACTGCATTGGTTATCGGGTTGCATAACATTTCCTTGCACATTTTATGAGGATTAAATAAATGTATATATCAAATCAAATATACACATTCGGAAATAAAAGTGAACTCATAAATAATAGTAGTAATGGAAAGTCTTCCATTTATTTAATCGAATAGTTCTTTTAAATTATCTAGTTCACAAGTTTAAATTTTAAATAAGCCAAAAGTTCGATTAATCCATCTAACCGTTTTAAATTTATTTAAATACACATATTAATTTCTGTTTTTTCTATTTCTCCATTCAATAACTTCCTTTTACATATTTTTCCCCCGCTTTTATATCTCTACTTATTCATCTCTAAAATAAATTATTAAAAGCCCTTCACTCCCAATTTTTACAACCTTGTAAATACCGTTTTATTCCTTTTCAATTATTAAAATCCTTTTCTTTTAAATATATATTTATAATGAAAACTACATTTTTATATTAACATTTTATGGTTGTATTGCTTTACTTCCTCTTTCCTCTAAATAAAGTTTTCCCAACCCTGGCTTAAAAAAAAGTTTCAACTTTATAAAAGCTTTTAAAACTTTAAGCCTGCTTTAGGGCAACTTTTCAAATATCTTAAGCTCTCATTTGAAAATGATTTTACTAATAATCTCTTTTTATTTTCTTTCATTACAGGTAAGCTTTGTCTAAGCTTTTAATGGTGAATTTCAAACTGTGGGCTAACGAAATAACCTAAGCCGATGTCAAACTGTAAGTAAGCATGGATTAGCGATGGAATCTCAAACTATTAGGTGCCAGTCGTTTTAGTTGAAGCTTTTTATCGTTTTTAGAATTGCGATTTTACATTACGTTTGCAAAACCGATTTTGCAAATTTTCAAAAAATGGCCTTGCAGAAAAGTTACCAAAAAACCTGCACTTCTAAGCCCATAACTTTTTTTCCAGACATCCGACATCAAAGTGGCATACCTCAAAATGATTGTTGTTTAATTCTCTAAAAATCTGTATTTTTACTTTAGTTTTTATTTTTTGGTCGATTTTCGCCATTTTTAACAATGTAACCCCTTTCCAAATTTTCGAAAAATGGGCTTGCAGAAAAGTGACCTAAATCCTGCACTTCTAAGCCCATAACTTTTCTCACAGAAATCCGATTTCGAAGTGGCATATCTCAAAATGATTGTGGTTTAATTCTCTAAAAATCTGTATTTTTACTTTAGTTTTTATTTTTGGTCGATTTTTTGTCATTTTCAATGATGTTACCCCTTTCCAAATTTTCAAAAAAATAGGTTTGCAGAAAAGTGTCCAAAAAACTGACCTTCTACTCTCATAACTTTTCTTACAGACATCAAATTTTAAAGTGTGATACTTCTAAATAATCGTGGATTAATTGTCTAAGAATCTTTGTTTTCATCTTGGTTTGTATTTTTTGGTCGATTTTAACGTAATCTATGACGTTTTCAAATTTAAAAAAAAAATGGTTTTGCAGAAAAATGACCAAAAACCTGCACTTCCAAGCCCATAACTTTCCCTACAATCCTCCGATTTTAAAGTCGCATACCTCTAAATAATCGTGGGCTAATTTGCTAAAACTCGGTGTTTAAGTCTTGGCTTGCCTTTTTGGGTCGATTTTTTGGTCATTTACAGTGGTTCAATAAAACAACGCATGAGGTAATATATTTATTTATTCGATTTATTGAGTTCGTTTACATTTAAGAACTAATCAAACATTTGCATCGTAATCGTAATCTTCGACTTACGGACTAATTGAGGTACTCCAAGTGTACGCGGCGTCAAACAAACAATAAAAGTAAAAACAAAAGTACACATTTCGATTAGACACACACAAACAGACGAGCGATATTAAAACAAAAAAAAAAATGTAAGAATTAGCATAAATGACTCGATATTTACATAAAGCGCTTAAGTGACTAAGGTCATGGGTTGAGGGGGGGTCAAGGGGTGTTTTGTTTAAGGAAAGGGAAGTATGCATACACATGTATGTACTATATATTTTTATATTTTGGCTAACAAGCGAAAGACAGTGAGAATGGGAAGCAAATGAAGCTTAATAAATTAAATTTATTTTGAAGGCGAGAATTTGTGCTAGAACCCCCCAGTGAACCGAACACCCCGGCGACCCCGCTTGACCCCATTTTATGAGAAAAAAAAACACCCCCGCCCCCCCTCCGTTCCTTAAATCGCTACGACCTTGGCAGAGGCCATTGATGAACTGGCGATGATGTTCCGATGTCCAAGTTTTCACTCGTTGTTTCCGTGGAGTTTAACGATCGTTTAATACGCCACTGGGTGCGTGACGTTGGGGGGCTTGTACTGTGACCTTGACGCGGACTTGGGCCCTGACCATGACCTCCCCCACCCCCCGCTGGCGCCGTGGTGGGGGTCAGCCACAGCTGCTTGATCATATCGGCGCCCTTCTCACCGATCATCACCACCGGTGCATGGATATTGCCATTCGTGATCGCCGGCATTATGCTGGCATCTATCACCCGCAGACCGGGAATCCCATAGACCCTCAACTGGGGATCCACCACTGCCCAGGGATCCGAGGGTGGACCCATTTTGGCCGTCCCACTCATGTGGTATATCGTCATCGTGTACTGCCTGATGAAGCAATTCCAATAGTCATCGGTGAACAGGGTCAAATGCTTACAATTCGGCAGCGGTTTGTTCCAGAACCTTGCCCCGAATCTCTTCATCGCCTCGGTTTCACCCATGGCCACGGCCGCCTTGACGCCCTCCCTCAGGACATTCACATCATCCGGATGGGTGAGGTAGTTGTGATACAGCAGGGGATAACGCAGTGGATTCTTGGAGGCTAATCGTATGTAACCCCTACTCTTCGGTCGCAACATCATGGGAAATATGCCGAAGACATCGCGATTGTTCACCTCGCCGAAGACCTCCTGGTAGAACTCGTCGGTCAGACCGTGGGCCGTCTTCACCTGCGTTCCCCCATCCGACATCACCGATGCCGAGGTCATCATGAAGTTCATATCGGGCCAATCGTCGCTGGCATTGGCATACTTGGTGTTGATAAAGGCCACCGCCTCCAAGCCAATACTGGAGGTCAGAGGACCATCCTCCGTGATGGCATACCTCAAGGCCGTATTAATATTAACCATCCTCTTCATCACAATCGAAATGGGATAATCGATGAGGAAGGCTATGCCGCCGACGGCAATGTGATCCTGTAGATTCTGTCCCACGCCCGGCAAATGTTGAACCAATGGGATACCCACTCGAGCCAACTCCTCGCCGTGGCCAATCCCCGAGAGCATCATCAGATGGGGCGATCCAATGGCTCCTGCCGACAGGATCACCTCCCTGGTGGCGTACACATTCTGTAGTCTGCCATCCCGGATAAACTGAACTCCCGTTGCCCGTTTCGTATGAGGATCGGTGAGGACCTTGGTCACATGCGAAAACAGGGCCACATGGAGATTGGAACGCAGACGAGCTGGTCGCAAAAATGACTTGGCCGTGGAACTGCGGGAACCGCGTCGCATGTTGAACTGATAGAAACCGAAGCCCGTCTGCTGTTCCCCATTCACGTCCACGATGTCGTAGCCCATCTCCTCGCCAGCCTGCAGGAAAGCCGGACCAATGGGTGTGTTGTACGGGGAGTCCTGCACCGTCCACAGGCCACCTAAAAAAAGGGGTTCACAAATATTACTAATCATGTCTTTTAGAACAGTTTAATATTGATCTCTGCTTGTCCATATTAAAAAAAACATTTATTAGCCTACATAAAATAGCCTTTGTTTCCTGGGATATATTGTAAAATTTTAAATTAAAGAATAGATTGTTTATTGTGAAAGGGAAAATAATAATATCCAATTAATTTGTAGTTACCAAGCTTTTGCTTTCGTTTAATTTCACTTTAGAAATTAAATAGTTGGTGCCACTGCTTTCGAAAAATAAAAAAGATTTGTAGCTAAAAAGATTTATTTATAACAGTGCAAAAACTTTTCAGTAGTCCCTCAACGAGAAATGATTTATGGCGGCAACATCGCAAAAGTGATAAATAATGTTTATATTTAGCTAGTCTAATTGAAAATTGCTCATAAATCTATGGAACTTATTAGGCTTATTTATATATTTTTAATTAATACAAAATGTAGTAGGAACAGTAGTAGAGATCACATTTGCATATCCAAAAACCAACCTGTGCCATGGTAGCGCTTGTTCCTGGCCAAATACGGATTCCGCTGATCCTCGGACTTTCTGAAATAGGGCAGGATCTCCTCGTATGACCAGCCCGGATTTCCGAAGTCCGCCCACTGGTCAAAGTCTCGTTTATTTCCTCGGATATAGAGCATGGTGTTTAGCACCGAACTGCCACCCAAAACCTTTCCTCTCGTCCAGCAGCAGCGTTTGTCCTTCATCGCCTGACAGGCCGTCGATTGCGGTTGGGTGCTGTAATGCAAATCATATAAATATATTACATATTTTTGTGGAATGAGTAAGCAAAATCAGGGAGAAACTTTACAAAAACTTCAGCTTGTAGATAAAACCAAAAAAACATATAGGTATAAAGTAGCAACGAAGATTACGAATGGGAGAAAACAATTAGCGAATCTCGCTAAGCCCAAACAAGCAGAGAAAGAAATGTCCGATAATTTTTGTGGCCAAGTAAACAAAGCGACAATGAAAGCGCATTAGTCAAGATGCCATGCCCACTCTTCCGAAAATAATACAAATTGCCCAGTGGCCAACTTAATTACAACACAACAAAAGCCGGTGTTAAACGCTCATTAGGCCAAGCTCAAAAAGTATCCATGAAGCAATGAACCAACGACCTCCCCTTCGCACTTTTGCCCTTTAACTGCCTATATAGTATCTGGTATCCGTGAGATTCGGGTATCTGTGAGTACGAGTGCCTTCGAGTGGCATTTAAAGTGTGGCTTTGAAAAGTGCAGAAAAGTTGCTCAAGCACGGATTCCAAATCCAACACTTTGCCAGCGAATAGTGGTTATTGCTGTGTATAAAGGCCATAACAATTTATGAAAACTATAAAATGTAAAGATTAAAATGTTAAAACATAGGTAACAAGGGGTCAGATAAAAAAAACATTAATCGAAATGTCTGTTAGGAAGATGTTTAAGCAGGTTTGATCAGGTTAACCAATAAATATTTATAAAGGATTAAATATAAAGGAATTTTTATGACAAGAAAATGAATAATTAATTCAATGATTAGTGTTTAAGCTCGTACATCAAATAATAAGAACTGCTTTTTCACAATGATAAGTGCAACTACTAAATGCACTATTTAAATCCATAAAGAAAGTCTAGTGTCAATGAACCAAATAGGAAGTCAAGCAGTGCACTTTTTTTTCTGTATAAGAAAATATATTTAATGAAAAAAACTCAACCAAATTTGCGCAGAGAAAAACACGATAATTTGCACCCAGAAATTTCAAGCTCTACCAATTAGCGGATATCCCAGCCGCAGTTACGCATTTGTTAAGATAGTAATCGCCGCCCAAAGTTCCCAGCATTATTCGGATATTTTCCTGCCGTGAGTGCAACCAATACAAACGGACAAATTGGCCAACAAAACGTTTTGACAACTTTGGGCTGTGTTTCGCTTTTGCTCCCGTTCCAAAACTGAAACTAAATCCGAATTCCATTTCTTTTGGGTGCCCATTAGACCACGTTGCTAAACATATAGGAAGACTTTTTTTTTTGTGTTAGCCGTTAATGAAAATACAAATTACCAGTGACAGGCAACAATCAAGAGAGACAACTTAACCACATTCGGCTGAGAAAGGCACGACGAAAACAAACGGAAATCAAATGTCAGTTGCGGAAAACTTGGTCAGCAATGATTTTACTTGGCTAACGGGGGGAAAAGCGTGCCAAAGTGAAAGAGAAAGAGGGAAAAGCTTAGTGGAAAGATAACTACGAAGAGAGTAATGCCCTTTAGCCCTAAGCAACAAATTAAATACAAAATAAATATTAACGAGCTGCTTAGTTTGATACAAATATATAGAATATTCCAAAAACCTTTAACTTATACATTTGTTTTGTGTATTCTATTTTGATTTGGAATTGCCACTTTATAATTTCTGTGTAAACAGATAAAATATAAGGACTTCTCTAGAAGAAAAATAGCTAGGAAGCTAATCAATAGAGTTGAAAGCTTATGTCATCATAGTGTTAATTATTTAATTGTATAATATATTATATCATATTATTATTTATTTAATCATATTTAAAAAAGCAGTGATTTTCCTCGGAATAAAAACTCAAGAATTTATTTTAAAATGAGAAGTTAAAGCTTGAATCTCTTGGAGTTGTGAAGCCAACGTCGCCTCACATCTTGTCCATGAACCAGGGTTGTCCGTTGTTCCCGCGCCGCCTGGTGAGGATCTCGCATCCGGACTCGTTGACCAGGAGCGTCTGCTCGAACTGGGCGGAGTACAGGCCATCGGCGGTGACGGCGGTCCAGTCATCTGGCCAGGTCTCTGTCTTCTGGACGCCCATGCAGATCATGGGCTCGATGGTGAAGCAGTGACCCGGTGCCATCACACCGACGGCCAAATTGTTAGCATAATGCGGCACACTGGGGGCCGTGTGGAATAGCCGATGGATGCCATGACCGCAGTAGTTGCGCACCACACTGAATCCGTGCGGAGTCACATGCTCCTGGATCACGTTGCCAATGTCGCAGTACTTCTCGCCCGGACGCACAAACTCAATGGCCTTGCCCAGAGCCTCGTGGGTGATCTGCACCAGCTTCTTGTGCTCCTCCGTCACATTGCCCACGAAGAAGGTCTCGTTGAGATCGCCATGGAAGCCGCGATGATAGACGGTCACATCGATGTTGCATAGATCGCCATCCGCCAAAGGTCGCAGATCGGGAATGCCATGGCAGATCGCCTCGTTGACCGAGGTGCAGCAGGATTTGGGGAATCCGTAGTAGTTCAAGGGCGAGGGATAGCACTCCCGTTCGATGGCCGCCTCGTGGACCAGTCGATCCAGTTCGTCGGTGGTGGTGCCCACCTCCACGCCCTTGGCGCCCGCATCCAGGCACTCTCTGCCCAATCGTCCTGCCAACCGCATCCCCTCGATCTCCTCGTCGTCCAGGACCTTGATTGCATTGCCACGCAGAGCCTCCTCGTCGAAGGAACGTCCCGATGGCTCATCGGCGTAGTCCGGACGGGGAATCCCCTCCGGAACATGCCGCTTGGATGTCTGTGCAAATGGTCGCAACTTGCCGGTGAAACGGAACTGCGGCCACGAATCGACGGGCACTTGGTGTGGCGTCACAGTGGCATGGACTGCCTTGTGCTCTTTCCAGAATCCCTTGAAGCAGGACTGCGAACAGAAGTAGGACCCCTTGATGCCCAGCTTCAGGCAGGTGGGACACTGCAGGGTGGCCTCTTTGCCACAGTTGGTGGTCTCGCACCTTTGAGTCATTCTTCCCGGGAAAAATATGGCAAATAAAATAGGAAAGAATTTGTGTGCCCAAAATAGTCCAACTAGAGCTGTGACAATTTAAGCTGTTTCACTTGACAGTGTTTTCATGGCACCTGTGTTTGTAAAATCAAATAATCACTAGATGATTGATAATGATGAAAAATCGTATTCTAAATATCCGATACCCATCGAACTTTGAATTAACACACATTTGTTTTATTATATCGTAGTTATATCATCACTAGATGACGGATTATATGAAAAATCATATTCTAAATATCCGATACCCAGCAAATTTTGAATAAATACAGACATTTGTTTTATTATATCGTAGTTAGAGTTAAGCTTAATTTAAATAGGATTTTATGAAAAAATAACAATTTCAGAAAATCAAGACTAATCCGCACTGATTTTAATTAATATCAGCAAGTGATTTCGTATTTCGCATCTGCATAACTTGCAAAATCTGTAGTAACTTGAAAACATGTGGTCGAAATAGCAATACCATCTGGTAGTGTATAGTGAAGATGTCAGTCAATTTGAGCCGGTTGCTTAGTGTCCATCTTCAGGCTCTCAACGGTCCATCATCCGCTTGTCTCGAATGCATTTGCATCTTTAGCGATTAGGGTGTCACACCCGTGTCCAAACCCCCCACCCAACCCCTCTCTATGGTGGAGGTTGAGGGTAAGGGTAAGGGTAAGGGTATGGGGGTAATTAGCATAAGACATGCACACACCGACTGTCTGATTTATGCTGCCCAGATCGGTGATGTATATTTTCCATCGCTTTAACCCCCTGACGAGCCATCAATATCAATTCGCGCCACCGTAACCCCACTGTGGCACATTGTTTGGCATACTGACTTATTGGCTACGTGCTCCGGCCATTTCCCATAGATACAGGTGCAAAACACACACCCAAACTGGCTGGTTAGAAAATAGAGGGACAAAAAAAAAAATAACTTTCGCCTCAACTCCGGCCTCGACTTCCATCTGAGTGTGCGAGACGACCGCCCAACTGACGCAATTTGTTTGCTTTTTATTAGCCATTTAACAGTTAACTCACATAAACGTAACAAATTATTATTAACTCATTTCGCTTAGTTTATTTGCCTATTTTTCGTGTGCGCGTAAATCTCTCTTAAAAGGGCAATTATTTAGAAACAAGAAAAAAATTAATAATCCCTCCTTTAATTTGGAACTTCCCACTTCTTAGCAGAAATACAAATTATTGATCATTCTCAACCTTATGTATTTAAATAGTTTTATTTATCTAGGAACAAAAAATGTTAAAAGAGGAATAAGTTATAAAAGGGAAGCAAGAATATATTTCAAGGAGGAATACAAATATTTATAATATTTTAGCATAACAGATAAATTTTTATATATTTATAAAAAAATGTTATAAATGTTTTTTGAGGCTAAAAAACTATCAACCTAATCTTCAAATTAAGATCAAAAAGACATTAGTGACATAATCTTTAAAGTCTTACGAACGGTGCGTTTCATTTGATGAAACAGATAATGTTCAGAGATTGTAAATATTATTATTTTTTGCAAAATAAGTGCAGATCTAGAAGCGGAGGATTTGAAGCACCCATTAGGGACATGCAACTGGCTCAACAATCATAATTGCCGCTTATGAAATGAATATGCATGCCGAAAATTCGAGTTGATTGCATTATTTTCGTAATTGTTTAATGCTCGTTAACCGAAAGTTGGTTAAGGCCTCGCCAGAGTTCCAAAATCCATAAAACCGAAAAAAAAATAAATAAAGGGGAAACGCATTCGGATGGAACAGCTGTTGATTGCCATATAAAATCACTTAGCGGCCGTATTAAGCTGTAAAACGGCAACGATTCCAAGAGATTTATTAATGGAAAGGTTCACGGATGGAATAATAACTGAATCAAATGTGGGAAAAATGTTAAAAAGGAGTACTAAAATGTTAGTGAATGGAATGTATGAAATGTATATATATTTATTTTTATAAGGTAAAAGTGAAAAAAGTATGCTTAGTTGCTTTTCCTGGATCTATTTTGTTTCCATGAAATTTTACCTTTGGCTTAAGGATTTATATATCCTCTTATACATAAAATATAGAATATTATATATATTAAATCTTATTCTTTTATTATGTTCGTATGTTCCAATTTTTGTCAAGGTTTATATCTTTTTTTTTCACTGACTGATTCAACTTACTTTCCATTTATTTTCCACTTTACATAATCTTCGGGCTCACTAATCAATTGATGTTAATTAGATTAACAGCAAATATTTGGCATCCGTCTGGTGTCATAACGAATTGCATGTTTTCGATTGGGTAAAATCAAATATATCAATAATCATATCAATATTTAGTCTTATCGGTCGTTCTTCTTTCTTTTTTTTTTTTTTTTTTTTTTTTTTTGTTTTGGCATACGTGGTAATGTGCAGTTGTCTTTTTTATTGCCCGGTTGACACAATTCGAGGTACGAGGCAATGGTCTCGGGTATGACGACCCACCGAAGCCTGTCCATTTAACCGGCTCACGTCGCCCCCCTCTCCCCTCCCCCCTCACCCCTTTTATACCCTGTTTGCTTTTGGCTTTCGGCGATTGCCGATTGGCAACAGTCTGAGAGCCCGGCTATTCAGGTGCAATTGCCAAGTATCAGCGCCGTTTCATTTCATTTCGTTTCGTTTCGTTTCGTGCCATTTTCATGGCGGCGCCAAACCTGTAGACCTGCAGACCTGCAGACCGCCTAACCCACTTTACCATACCCATACCCATACCGCTTGGGGCCGCTCCGATCCGATCCGGTTTTTTGTTGGGAAATTGGACTGGACCGGCATAGGATATCCCGATCTTAGAATGCACACAGCGAGAAGTGATGAACTTGGTAATTGGGTTCTAAGTTTTGGGATCATGTGTCAAAAACAAAACTGAGCAGGATTTTTCAAATCTACATAATATGATTTGTTAGGTTATTTAATTTATTAAGAATTTATTATTGAAACACCATTGGCGAAATATTGATAGAGTAATAGATATTTATACCCTTGCAGAGGGTATTATAATTTTGGTCAAAAGTGTGCAACGCAGTGAAGGAGACATCTCCGACCCTATAAAGTATATATATTCTTGATCAGGATCACCTCCTGAGTTGATATAGCCATGTCCGTCTGTCCGTCTGTCCGTCTGTCCGTCTGTCCGTCTGTCTGTTTCTACGCAAACTAGTCTCTCAGTTTTAAAGCTATCGGATTGAAACTTTGCACACACCCTTCTTTCCTTTGCACGCAGTATATAAGTCGGAACGGCCGGGATCGGCCGACTATATCCTATAGCTGCCATATAACTGATTGATCGGAAATGCCATAACTTTCGTGTTTGTAAAGTTAGGAAGTTGGGATTTTCTATGGGTTTTATATTTGGCCAATCAATCCGACCTACCAAATTTCATAAGGATCGGCCGACTATATCCTATAGCTGCCATATAACTGATTGATCGGAAATGCCATAACTTTGGTGTTTGTTAAGTTAGGAAGTTGGGATTTTCTATGGATTTTATTTTTGGCCAATCAATCCGACCTACCAAATTTCATAAGGATCGGCCGACTATATCCTATAGCTGCCATATAACTGATTAATCGGAAATGCCATAACTTTGGTGTTTGTAAAGTTAGGAAGTTGGGATTTTCTATGGATTTTATTTTTGGCCAATCAATCCGACCTATCAAATTTCATAAGGATCGGCCGACTATATCCTATAGCTGCCATATAACTGAACGATTGGAAATGCCATAACTTTGTTGTTGTTAAAGTTAGGAAGTTCGGATTTTTTATGAGTATTAAGAATGCATCATATGAATAATTTTGGAGAATATAATTTACAGAGTATTCTGCAAGGGTATATCAACTTCGGCTCCGCCCGAAGTTAGCTTTCCTTTCTTGTTTTAAATAGCTTTGAAAACTAATTTTCTTATCTAAAATCAATAAGTAAAAAGTATTAAAATTATAAATATTAAGAAAAATTTAAAAATGGACAGCAATATTTTCAATATTACATAATAATCTATAATTTATATTTTTTTTTGAAGGCATGTTATTAAAGAATGTCCCAGATAATGGTATTACTATGGATTGAATGGATTTCCCAAAACTAGAAAAATACTTTCTCATCTTGTTTATGTTATTTTATGAACCCTCTTTCTGCCAGTGTAGTTGCTTCATGAATTAATATCCGCTTGCAGCTTGCACTCGAAATGCGAACCCGAATCCGTCAGCTTGCACTCGAAATGCGAACCCGAATCCGTCAGGGGCGTGTCTCCACTGTGGATGCCAAAATGTTTCTGGCATTAACGAACGCGAGAAGGGGATTTAATGATGCGGATAAGACTAGAGGTCATCGCCAGCTTCGTCTTGCATAACCCCAAAGTAAAATGCACACCGTAGACGGGTTATTTGCGGGGGCTGAAGAGTCAGGTTGGATTCCTAGGTGCCGCATTCACTCCCCCGTCTCGTTGCTTATTTACCCTCTAGAACCATTGTTGGTTTTAGTCGGCGCCTACTGTTGTCTGCTGCGAATTTGAATACTTTCAAATGGCTCGCAACGATCGTTGCACACGAATGGGTTATGAAATATTTAGCAACAAGTCGTAAACTTTAAGGCATTTATCCTGTAATCGCATTCGAAGGTAATTGCATATGGCTTGGTTAATTATCAGTCTTTATGTTTTTAATAAATGTAATTTTTAAACAAAGCATTAAAGCGTTACTAAATGGTATTTTTTTCTTTAGTTTTATTATTTCAAATATACGTTTAATATATCCAATACTTTAAATGCTATTATTTATTTAATAATTATTATTTATTTAATAATTTAATTAATTGAAATTCTCTTGACTTTCTTTATATGTGCAGAAATTTAAACTTTTTAATGTAATTTATAAGATAGTTATTATCTGTATTTGATGTCCTTCCAATTTAGTTGGATATAGCTCACCTACTGTTAAACTAAATATATTAAATGAGAGATTATTTCCGATATCAGTATTATAAAAATGGTCAAGTCTAATCTGTGTTTTCCCACGACCTTGAACCCCACAAATTTGACACTGAACTCAAAAAGATACCAAAATGATGACACCAATTTGGTGACTTTCTCAGGCGGGTGAAACTTCTGCGCCCATGAGTGAGTCAATCAAGATTGTGGTCGATGATTGACGTGAGAGTGATTGGCGAGTCTCTGTTTTGGTAAACTCAGTTTCAATTTCGATGCAGTCTGTTGACTGAATTTCCCGTTGCTTGTAAAGCGCTTTTCGAGTGGCGATTTGTACACATTGCACCCAAAACAAACACTCGAGACTCACTCTTTTTCTCATATACTTCGTATCTGTGTCTCTCTTAAAATCCAGCTGACTGAAGTTGGGAGACACAAGATACAAATACCGAGATACAAAAATGCAGATACTGCTACCGACTCTCCCCGAGTTTGCCAATGATGCAATGATTCAGAAACACACTCGATTATATTGCCACACTCGAAGCACTTTAGTTTTGGTCTTTGTTTTTATACAGCTGGTGCACTGAACAATTTTTGGTAATTTGGTCTGGATATTAAACAAAATATATAGATTAGTAAGTATAACGCGGCTCAATGATTATAAATAACATCATTTAATATATATTATAATAATATCAAATCGCGAATTGAGGAACTTGGTTTTTGTTTTCGATGGATTATTTCAACTTGATTTTAATAATATAAACTATTAAATAAAGAATAAATAACTTTGTATATTGTAATATACTAAGCTAAATCTTGCAGATAGATCTATATCTTTTTTTTTCGGTGTGACTATTGTTTCTTTTTCCACCTTATGATTTATTTCGCATGCACTTAGCCGCCGGTTGCATTCAATTACGCAAAATAAGATGGAATTGAATGGGATTCGGGGCTTGGAATGGAAACGGAAAGGAAAGATAATGCAAATTGGAAGTGGAATGCAGGCAGGGGAATGGGAATACTAATGGATGTGGAATTCTGAAAGTGAAACTCCAAGTTAATACGAAGAAGCTCCCATAGAGAAACCAAAAAATCGCCGCTAGGCCTACAGACCCAGCCCAAAACACCCAGCCCCTTGTCACATTAAACAGTTAAATGGATTACGGTATTGGTAACACGCTCGAACAAAATTCCACAAAAAAAAAAAAAAAAAAAAAAGAAGGAAAAAAAATGCCAATGCTCATGAATAATTAAGCAGCGGTTCGATTTGTTAATTTGAGACCTGGCCACAGGTGTCCGGTGGTTGATCATCAGCTGTTATTAATGAAATGCCGTGAGATAGAAAACGATCTGAATGAAACGCGAGACCCACCCCAAAAAAAAAAATTGGAGCCTCGGGGCAGGCCTTTCTAACGGTAGCCCGTTCTAATTCGAATCATTTTCCATTTATTGTTAACCCAACATTTCCGTCTAATGGAGGCTCAACACTGCTTAACCCACCATATAAAGCCGCACTTAATTGCTTTTTGAAAGCGACACACAAAAGGGGAAGATGATCATCCATCGAGATGATACTGGTAAATGGTAATGGTTTACGTTTGTCTTTTATCTAATTGGAACATTCTGGAGGCAGGTGACCGCAGGTGGGGAGGGGGGTGGTGCTGAGGAAAGTGGGCCGGGGAAAAGTGAAAGATCCGAGAAATGGGAACACTGAAGAGCAGAAGCCACAAATGAAGAGAATTGAAATGAAAACTGTCGTAAACTTATTCGAGTTAATAGTGTTACATGGAAAATATAGAATACAGAAAACAAAATGGAAAGCGATTATTCCATAGTGTTCTCAGACTTTCAATAGATAAAATCACTTTTGAGGGGTATTTTAAACAACTATTTTACAATAAAATGGATTTGCCATAAAATAGTTATTCAAGAAAATAAAAAAATAAATCTAAAAGTTCATTTCAAATAGTGAGAAATAAAAGGAAATCTATTTTTATTAGAATAATGGATAATTGTCAATTCAAAAGAAATGCAAATTTAAATTTTGCTAATAGACTTTTTTTAACTGATTGGAAGCTAATAACAGGGATCCAAAAGGATTACAAAACCTTATCCCAATCGTGTTCCATTGCAAACTTGTCACATTTCCTGTGATGTGAAATGTCAGTAAGTCAAATTAGTCAGTTCGTTTTCCCTTTCTTTCGGCTAGTGCTGAAATCGTTTTGCTGTTTGCGTGTGAAGAGAGCTGGCAAATAGTCTGAAATTTGGCAGGCGGTCGCTAACTAAACGAATCCGGCCTTTGGCACCATCAACATTAACATTAACATTAACATCATCATCATCATCATGATCATGGTGATTGTGTCGTCTCGACTCGCCTGAACCCAAACCTCGGCCATGTTAAGTTGGTCTATTCCGAATGCTAATGATGGCTGCAACTCATCGATCGCTGGCTCACCCGGCGAGATTTGCATATGCCAGAATTTGGTGTTTGTTGTTACCCAGCCAGCTTTTCAAAAAATGGCAAAGTCATTGGGATGAGCTGAGGTAAAGCCGGTCAAAAAGGGCGCAAACAAAAAGCAAACTGGCTCAGTGTTAAGGCCAAGCATTCGACCCACCCAAAAAAAAAAAAAAAAAAAAAAAAAAAAAAACAGCACTGCGACCTACCAAAGTACTTCGTACTTTAAGCAAATGTTTTCGTCATAAAAACCAGGAAGTTATTTAGTGCAATATTAATGGCTGTAGTTAGTAAGATTTACAACTTTGGTTCTTTAATTTGTTTAAAGTTTTACTTAGGTAACCATTTAACATTCAAAACTACATACATAAATGGCGGTTTACTTGCAAGTGTTTTGTATAATTATAATTATAAATAACATTCAAAGGCCTTAAGGTCCAGAATTTAATTTGAATTTTATTAAAAGTCTTATGGACTCAACCTTTTCATAAATTATGAAACACTAAATGGTATGAAAGGCACTAAAGATTTTTAGGCATGAAAGTGGAAATTTCACCAGAGTTTGATTTTGGGTAAATGATAAGGCTGACTCACCGATATTTCCAATCCATTTTGCTTTTATGCAAATAGAGCGATAGCAGGGGCACATCCGAGATTTCCGTCTCATGGCCGCCCGCTTCCAAGAGCAGGATCTTCCAGTGCGGGATCTCGGACAATCTGGAGGCGAGAACAGTGCCCGCGGAACCGCCACCGATGATGATGAAGTCGTAGGCCACCTCCACTTGCTGGACATTGAAGGGTCGATTCTCCGGATCGAAGAGATCGTAGTTATAGTAGGCGATGGCTGCTATCAGGAAGGGCAGGATGGTCAGTTTGCCGACGCCAATCACGGCGGTGGCCAGTTTGATGGCGCCCGCAATGGCCAGTCCCAGTTTGGAGGCGCCCGCCGCTGCCACGCCCGCTGCCGCCGCCGCCTTGGAGGCGGCACTGGCCTTGAAGAGCAGTCCGCCCACGGAGACCGCGGCGGCGCCCAGAGCGGGAACTACTACCATGATTTTTGGATGGGTTCGCTATCGATTTTGAGGAGGAATTCCTCCGTTTCTTTCTTTTAATTTCTTTGGACGGTTTCTTTGCTTTTATTCAACTTTGATGCTGTCACTGCATTGCATTGAGTTATTCGGGCACTCTCATTCTATTTTTGCATGCACTGTTAACGCACACTGAGGAAAAAGATAACAGCATGGTCATTAAAATGTTTTTCATATCCTGGTTTTTGAGCCAAGTGATTAATTTTTATTGACAACAAAAGGATATTTACTTATTAGACTTCGAATTTCTTAAAACAATTAATTTTCTAACCAAAATCTATGGGTTTAACTAAATTTTTCAGTGAAGGTAGTTTATGAATTCTTTTATCTTAATAGAAATTCAACTAAAAGATTAAGATTGAGTTAAAATGATTCTCTGCTCAAAACCCATTTAGCAATCAACTTTTATCGAGTAACAAAAAGTTTTAAAAAAGTTCTACTATATCATTTTGTGGTATTTTGAAACTAACCGATTTTTGAGTGAAAGGAAAATTATTGACAATTTGTTGACCGATTTCGGGGATATTTTCTCGATGTGCCGTCGTCACGTTCGCATTCACAGTCACTTGCCTTTCTGCACTTTCGTTTAGGCCTCGAAAACACATTGAGTAAACAGAAACAAAAATAAATAAATTGTAATTGAAATAGTTGGCCGCGCGCGCGTTTTGGAATCGGGTAATTGTGTGATGGTTAATCGGTTAACCGGTTCACTGGGTAATTCGCCTCGCCAACCCGTTTCGTTTTAGGCCATCCGCCTCGCTTGGCAGTCGCTGCGTTTCTGAGCCCCAAAAGCCGCCAGCCTGCGCCGTTTTGTCTCCGCTGCTGCAACGCCGGCAGAGGCGGTAGCCGCGACAGAGAACGCCCGCGTCGCTGCCGAGAAACCGTTGCGCATGCGCACATTTCTTTCCAGCGAATTCAACTGCATTCGGTGCGGCAGCAAAGTTTTTAAATCAATTTTTTTTATGGAAAACATTGCCACATTAATTTAATTGAATTTAGCACCGTTATTATATTATTTTCGCCAGCTATGATAAATGTACTACAAATTAGCGTTCCACAAACATTTTTCTTTAAAGCCTGGGCATTCAGCAATTGAATTTTAAAATACAATTATATATTTTTTTTTTTCAATATATATATATATATATACGAAATAAAAGAAGTAGTGAACAAAATTACTTAATGTATCCAAACTTAATTGTATATCAAGTTTTTTAAATATCATTTACTTAGAAAGTATTTCAAATTGAATTGAATTGGTTAAATAGTGTCAAAACTTAACCGTTTCGACCGTTTCCTATTTCCACTCGTGCTCTCTTGCTCTCTCTGCTCCGTTTTGTGGTTGCGCCTGCGCTCATTTTGCAATGTGAAACGGTTACTGAGCCTCTCTTTCGCACTCTTCCACATTCACATCCACATGTGATGCGGTTGCGGTTGATGGCTGATGCTGTGCATTGCAAAACGGTTACATATAACCGCTTGCAGATCCTGCCTCTCGCTTGCGCACATACGCAAATCTGACATTTGCGGTTTTTCCCTGTGTGTCTCCCTCTCTTCTTCTTCTTCTTTTTATTTCTCTTCTTCTTCGAATCCGAATTTCCTTGCAGACGCCAGACGACCTTCATGCTCAGTTTACGGTTATGTGCACTTCTCCCCGCGGACGATGGGCTCGATTTTGAGTCGGAATTCGAGTTGCTTGGCAGTTGTGTAGTTGGGATTGCGCACGTAACCCATTTAAGCAAAGACGTCAACAAGATTTACAGTCAAACTTCGACAAGAGCGAAATTTTCGAACTGGAAAACATTCTACCGATACGAACCGATTTCCTTAGCAAGGTGTAAGAACACCTTAACCAAAGCTGCTGACCGGTATCAACCTATTCAGATAAAAATATCCGTGCTCAATACCTTTATGATATTTTTTGCATCAAAGGATCTCCTGTTTATGATAATAAAATCTGAAACGGTTATTTGTTTCTGAATTTTCTGATTAAACTTTTAAAATGTACCTGTACTCCAAACTTTCAATGTATGTACACTTCATTAAGAGACATTTACAGAAAAAAATTACATTTCAAAATCAGCTCGCTTTTTGAATCAATGTTGGAATGCCAATACTTCTTTGAATTCGTGACAAAATTTTCAACAAAGTGGCTTTTACAGAAAAATATTTTTGAAAAAATCCATAACCATTTAACATGTTTCTTGCGATACATTACAAGGCCTTCATAAATAACTAGCCACATATAACTTAGTGTATCATCACTGTACAGCATTATCGACTTTAACTTCGACATGGAAAGACAGCTGGCAGAAGAACCGCAATCAATTGACCAGTTTTTGGCATTGAAGAAGCCGAGGAGTTCAATAAAAAACTGGAGATCAAAGTGAAATTCGTGGCATTTAGTTGTTGGATGATGGTTTTCCATTGTTTAACCGGTTTGTTTTTTTTTAGTGGTGTTTTATGTGTGTGTGTGTTCGCCAATTGACAAACCACAACACGAATTTTGCCGAGTAATTGACATTACATTGCATTACACACCTGATGTCGAGCGGATATTGAACGCAACTAGTTTGTCGTATTAATCGTCAATCAATGGAACCACCGAAATTGCTCCGATTTCTGCCTATGGGGTGATGTCTTGTTGGTGGACCCCAAAAGTCCAAGTAATATGTTTTTCGGGGGGTTGTACACAGCCACAAATGTTTGCATTTCTCTGAGTTTCCTGGTTTCATTGTGCATTGTTACACAATATGATATCCGGGATGGATTAAGACGAATTTGCTGCGTTATTAATTTTTGATATCGTTTCAATTTTTACATTTTAAAGTATTACTTTCAATATATAAAATTGTATAGGAAATACGAAACACTATGACAATTTACAATATAAATTGTGTGCTTATGGTTGCCACATAAAGCAAAGCATTACATTTTTAACGAAAATAAGGAATACATTGCGTATGAGTAATACAGAGATAGGGCAACCGTGCGTATGAGCTATAATATGTGCTTATAATATTATAACTCATACGCACTGTTAGAAGATACATTTTTGTCTTTCTAGTTTCGAATTGTTTTTACACCAGTCACTTTCGTAGTCCATCTTCTATTTGATATTATCTTTGGTCAGTTATCTTGGGTTGACACAATTTTAGTGTTTACTGGAACATTTCCCAATCGACTAGTCCCTGAGACCGAAAATTTGAAACACTTCCACCTCCAAAGGAATGACGAAAGTCGCACACACAATATAATGCCAGCAAATTAACATTGCCACGATGTGACGATCGTTTGATATATCACCATCTAATGGGGCAAGGTCAGCACAAGCGATTGAAGCAGAGTTTTCCATGCGAATGTCGAGGAAACTTCGCTTCCCCCCACTAAACAAATAAAACTTGACAACAAAAAAAGCACAAATAAACTTGTCAAACTTTTTGCGATGAGTTGTGCGTCTTCTAGCCGTCTTTTGTTTTGATTTCTTCTTCTCTAGTTTTTTTGTCCAACTTCAAGTCTTAGGGCCTCCATTGGTCAAGGGCTATACTTCAATGGGCAGGCAGAGTGACCCTCATTTGAAGGGAGGCCCAGCTTTTAGTTGATGGATCTTGGGAATATATATTGCACTAATTGAGTTTGAAACTTGTTCTTGGGTTTGATTTGTGGTTATAATTTTAGACTATTCCATTTATTACAGCTAAGGTTGAACTATAATAATCTTAAAGGTCTTATAAAGAACATTGTTGTGAAATTGCAAGTGAACAGTTAACAAGGAAACATCTCTAGAAATCCAAAATGATTGTCACTCTTACTAAAAACCAAAACTCTCTAATGATCACTAATGGCCCGAAAATATTTTTTGGTTCCCAGGCTTCTGTGCATATTTAACCAACAATTTCCGCTACAATTACAACTAGTGTTACTATATCTATGTGGGTTCACACATAGACCATTTCCGGCACTTACCGGTACTACTATATGCGCCCATGACCAGACGCAATGTTATTTTAGGCCAATTGCCCAATCAACAAACAAATTTAGCTCGAGGGCAATTAAAAGTGAAAATAGAAGAGGCCCCAAAAACCGAAAAAAAAAAAATAATAAAATAAAGTTGGGTAAAGTGAAGAGGCGCCGCCAACTCCCCTTTCTCCTGGCCAATCTCCCCCAGAAGAAAGCCCTCTGCGAGGTGACATAACAATTACCTCCCCACTCAACCTCCAACCATGGCTTTATCTTTTCGCTGCGTCATCCACATCGGTATCTCTAGTTTGGGCACTGGAAATGAACTTCATTAAACGACAAATGCAAGAAACGAAGTCATGGAGTAATATCAGCAAGTGCGCGGCGTACTCGTAACTCCCTTAGAGATGGTTACGTGAGCCGATTCCGGGAATCGGGAATATTCGGGGATTATTTGTCAACCCAATTTTATGATTAAATATCGCCCGGTTTCAAACGAACAAGGAAAGAACACAACTACACCGGAGTTTTCGATATTGTAAACATAAATCTTTAAATTATTTATTGTCAGTTATAATATTACTTAACAGGTTGTACGATTCTACCTATTTTAAGTTAAGAAAATGTAATATATCTTTAGGATATTTCTTAAACTCCTATAACCATGTAAGTTTTACTAAAATTTCAATGAATTCAGAGGCTGTTCTAAATTCAAATGGTTATGTTGGAAATATTACAAATGAAACACAAATACATGATTTACATTTTTGAAATATAATTTTTCCTAATATTATATATTATTTTAAATAAATTGCAATATTCCGTGAGTTTTCCAGCACGATCCCACTTCAACTCACGTCCATCTCCGATTTGTCTCTCGGCTCGTGTATCTGAACAGCAGTCGAGCATGGCAGATTTGGACGACGTGCCCAAGACTCCATACAAATACATGTATACCCTATGTACCATATGTATGTAGGTTACCATGGGCGGTTGTCAAAAAGGGGCGTGGTGGACAGTGGCTAACTGGTAGCAGTCAAAAACCACAGCGAGCATCTCTCATCCCAAATCATTTGGCTAAACTGCTCAGTTTAAGTAGTTTTGTATGTCTTTCGGAATTTGGAATTTCCATGCGTACTCCCGCGTACCACTTCCCATTTTTCATTATTCATTTTCCATTATTCACTTTTCACTTTCCACTCACTGAATGTGTCAGGTATTATCTCGGCTTGTATCGCGAGCGATTTCGTTTAATTGGTTTCCATTTTGCGGTTTGGTCAAGTGCATGGAAAGAAAAAAGAGTTATTACGTGACCTTTGTTAATTGTTCAAAAGGAATGTCAAAGGGGAAGGGGGCCCAAAGTGGGTGGAGACTTAGATAGTGTAACCTCTTACAATACTTAAAGCAATTGAGTTTTCCAATTCAATTTAATTTGTAAAATGCCAAGATTGTAGTTTAATTTAATACAATTTGATGGCGAGATATCATAATGTAAAGGCAAAGCTATTCAATTCTGTAAAACACCGTTTAGCGAAAACTTTGTCCTTGTGATAAGAAAAAGTTTAATACAATTTAATTAAAGGGAAAATGCACAGAAAATTTTTAAGTAAGAAAACGTAAACATACAATACATACATCGAAATAATAGAGTTGTAGTGAATATGATTTTAATACTTTTTGTTTATAATTTAAACTAAAATCTTAAGATAAGAGATAAAGATCACAGTTTAATATGTAAGCTAATTTGAATCCTAAGAAAAAATATTTAAAAAAACTTATATTTATATTGTATTTAATTTAACTTCAAAGTGAAAAACAAAATGATCTGATTTAAACAATTA